CTTTTTTTTTCTTTTTTTTTTCTTTTTTTCGCCACTGGCTGACTGTATGGGTGCGCGTGTGTAAGTGAGAGCCAGAGTAAGGGTATAACCGGAAGTTCGTGACGCTTGGCATGCCGGCACACGCACGTACGCACTAATGCCCCATCCAAATGGGCGCACCCTTTGCTGCACACACACATAGCACATATCAACAACACTGCACGTACACTCACACGCGCGCAAGAGTTAGAGACTTGTATATTATTTACTCGGACTATTTTTCGCTTCACCGACGATGCCCTGTCTACGTGTATACATATAATATGCACACACGCACATACCAAAGGTGCACTTGGGCCGGGGAACCGACTGAATAACGAGCGATTTGATGCGACACTTGGTGTTACACGCCGAGGGATTTGGCCTACTACTGGCTCTCAACCTCGTACATTTTATTCCTTTTCATTAATCATCGCGTGTGACCTTATATCTACGAGAGAGAGAAAAAATCGTTGCTCAGCGAGTCTCTCGGATTCGTTGAAGAGTCGCCAATTAATCGTATCTAAAAAATATGTAAAGCTCATATTTGTACACGAATTCGTAGCTCTTGTGTATATCATTCGAAATAAAAAAAGTTAGACATTAAAATTGAGTTATCAGAAATGAACCGAAACGATTCAATTCTGTACTCACATCTAAATATTTTAATAGAAAATTATATTTCAATGGTAATTTTGTTGTATTAATTACTCAACAAATTCATGAAAATATGATCATAATAAATTGCAGCCATCGTCACTAGATGGCAAGTACCTTTATCTGTAAATCTACAAGTGGCAAAGTGAAAATCATTGCATAAGTAATTCAAGCCCAGTTTTTGGAAAATTAAATTTAATGTGGATCTCTATCTTTTCATTCGTGTACGTCAAGTTTTAGAGACCTTGAACTATTTAACAATACGAACCGATTTTTATTATCTCTTACATACTACATAACTGCGAACGTTATTACACGCCAATATCAAAACCCATGAATCAATTTTACTTTTATTATAAATTTTGAGTTATCTAAATAAATTTACCCGCCTAATTTTAGCCGGATATTGAGAAAGTAAGCGTTGTAGCACTAATGTGTGATGTAGCAAGCTTACAATTAGAGGCAAATATTTTAGGGTGAAATTGTGTTGATCGATCCTTTGGAGGAAGCTAAAAATTATTTAGATCCTTCTAAGCTTGTAGAGAAACCGCGGTAAAGTATCCTTAGAAAGTAAATTAGTAATATGTCAAAGGATGAAACAACTTTTTCAATTCCACAATAAATTTTAATTTAATGGCAAAATTTAAAAGCTCAAGTCTGAAAAGTTTGTCTGAATAGCATCAACAATAATGTTTTACTTTTTCTTTTCCAGCGTCTTCAATTTTCAGTTGTCCAGTTTCGTTCGACGAATTTTAGTTTATGTCAGTTAGCAAACTTCTTTTATGGTTTTATAACAGAACAACCTCATACATCAAAACAATTTTAAAAACATAAACAAAACTGTTGAAATAAAATGTTTTGGATGTTTAATACATGGAGTTGAGTGAAAAACAAAATTTTTCCAACGACTATAAACTTACGCGATATATTGAAGCATTTGTGCCTTTAATAAATGGTAATAACTGTTGCATTTAAAATTTTGAATTGCTTTCTTCAATACGACGCGAACGTCAGCTGTGGACAGGAGTGGGAATTACATTGTAACTTGCGGGGATTCGACGTGAAAGCAGCGGTACCGACAGTCAGTATCCATATAGGAATCTACTTTTACCGATGGAAAGCATCAGTCATTTGAATTTTACTCTATGGGTAATTCCATTACCATCAAAAGATTTATTTAAAAAATATTGCTAACAATTTAATATTATTGAATTAGCAGTACACTTGATCGAAAAAAATGTCTTTGAAATAAAGATCACTTGTTTTCGTTGACCAAAAAAAGTTCTTACATTTAATGTAATAATTTTAACTTTCAGTTATACATTGAAAATGTCACCAACTTGGTAGCATATAAAGTTATTATTCTATTTAAAAAATCATGGGAAAAGCAGCCTCTCAAAATTCCTAATTTAATTTGCCATACATGCATTTGAAAATCTCGATATTGGCAGTGCTTTAATTTACGTCTGTATTTGCCACCTATCAGTTAAGTAAAACTTTCATTTTAACTTTCATAAAAAAAAAAATAATAAAATATCAAATAAAAAAACGTTTATTTTTGATTTTCTTAAAAGTAATTGCTTGAATACTTTCATTGAAAGATGATTTGTACGACAAGATTTTTTGCTTTAAAGATCAGTAGGCCGAAGTATGTGTGGCAGGTGTCTCCACTTTACTCTCTTCTTTAATCGTAACTGACAGTTCTCCGACACGTGCCATGCCAGGTTTCAAAACAATTTCACGATTTAGTATCTGCTATTGCCTGAATGAACTACACTCGGCAACAAAATTATCGCAACAAAAAAATTCATCGAAATTTTGTCGATTTTCAAATGCTTCTATCTTGGGCTAGATTTATCGTATTGACACGCTTTTTTTTTTAATTTCTTGGAAATTTTGTCCTCTTTAAATCCATATAAATTAAGATAAGATTTGAGTTAATGTTGAGTTACCAGTAGTATTTGAGCGTGACCCTAAAAATTACTGAAAAAAAATGACTGTTTGAACGTGTACCAGTACCACAGTGATTTTTTTATCGAAATCTAACATACACCATCGCAAAGTGCTCTTTTTAACGAGTAATTTAAAAAAAAAAAGACTTCTCTACGATTTTTTTAACGCCCTGTAGGTCGATTTGAAGGTACGGTTTATGTACGCAAAATGCCCAGAAAATCGTCTTGATTTCAGGTAAACGGGGAATTTTACGTACTTTAAATGGTATCTTCAAATCGACCTACAGGGCGTTAAAAAAATCGTAGAGAGGTCCTTTTTTTTTTAAATTACTCGTTAAAAAGAGCACTTTGCGATGGTGTATGTTAGATTTCGATAAAAAAATCACTGTGGTACTGGTACACGTTCAAACAGTCATTTTTTTTCAGTAATTTTTAGGGTCACGCTCAAATACTACTGGTAACTCAACATTAACTCAAATCTTATCTTAATTTATATGGATTTAAAGAGGACAAAATTTCCAAGAAATTAAAAAAAAAAGCGTGTCGATACGATAAATCTAGCCCAAGATAGAAGCATTTGAAAATCGACAAAATTTCGATGAATTTTTTTGTTGCGATAATTTTGTTGCCGAGTGTATTTTCTATTACATTTTTTATGACACCTACTCACGCATTTAAAGTGCACTTTTCGAATTTATTAACTGTTAGCCTTGTGTAATATAAATGATTCAAACGCGACCACTGCACTTATTGTCTGTTTATAGCTATATGAAAAGATTTTTAAGATAAGATTTAAATGGTACTTTCATTGAGATTACGTCAGAGTTTGAAAGGAACGTTATCAATAATCCTAGATCAACCGCAATCATTTTTTATGTTTATGAAAATTTCGAATTTATATTGATCTAAATTCTTGATTAAAATATTGCTTTTAATAGCGATAGTCATAAAGATAATCATGTGGTAAAATCAAAATCAAAATGATCAATTGAATCATATTTTCTAAAATTGATGAGTTATATTCTAATTGTGAGGTCAAGATTCACTCGGTCAAATAAGTAAATGTACAAAATGCTTAGTCACTTGAGCACTGCTTTACTTTCAAAAAGGTTTTATCATAGAAGCTACGGCATCGGTTAATTATGTTTCTTATACACTTGGGCATTGTATCAACTCTCAACGAAGTTTTACTACCTATAATAAAGGTGTGAAAGTTCACGATTACTTTTCAATTGGGCTTTGATAAAAATGTACGTGAGAGTCATTGTTTTAACTTTATGACTTGGTCAGATTTGATTGAATAGGCGATCTGTGATTTCTGAACAAATACTCGAGTATATTTTCCCCGTTGAATTAAATCTATAGAGAAATCTCAAAAAAGCTAATGCACTGCTTTTGATATTGGCTACATGATGGATCATGAATCGAGAAACCTTTATTAACCTGCTGGATATATTCGAATCATAGCCACGCCACTCAAGTGGTATTGCCGGCCGTCTGTAGATTAAGACACCTGTGTTAAATCTTGTACATTAAAAAATATAACAATTTAATATTAAATTATGTTTTTACAAGTTTTTTCACACCAGAAAGTATGTTACTCGTATCTTTAATTATTTAAATTATCAATCTACTATTCAAAAACTAGCAATGAGCATAAAAAATCTTTTTTTCTTTAAGATTTTCCAAAAATTGCATTCATATTCATGCAACACAGAACTTTGCAATCATAAGTCATTATAGATGAATCCTAGATTAATTTAAATGATTAAAAGTACAAGAGACATACTTTTCGATATGAAAACACTTGTAAAAACATAATTTCACATCAAAAACAAAAATTTCAATATCAACATTTTATCATCATGTTTTTGAAATAATAGGATTTAAGGTGTGTCCCCTTAAATCTAAACTCGAAATCGGTTTAAAAAAATTTACCGAACCGATGGTGAAAAATTGGCAGGTTTGCGGGTCATTGCTTTATTCGAATGTAGCGCGCCAAGTTGGTTGCGATTCTCGAGAGCCGACCGATAAGAAGTGCAGTGAATGGTAATAAAGATGCGCGACAGGGCGTTCCGAGCGCTCGCGGCCCTACACGATTGCCTCGGCTGCTGCGTTTCGCGACTTATCGTCGTTCATTGTACGCGATCGAGTCTGGGTGCCCATGCGATGACGCGGATCCAATATGAGTCAGTGCAGCGAAAAAACACATATTCACATGGCGACGTCGAGTATACGAAGCCGGTGGCGTCGGTGCACGAGCTATATGTTACAGAAAACGGAGCAGATATATACACTTTCAAGCTCGCGAAAGTATAACATAACACATAATGTATATATCTCGGCAGCGAGAGACCGTATAAAAATAGTCAGTTGCTATACGTCTTGGGCATATATACCTTCACGAGAGGAGAAAGAGAGAGAGAGAGAGAGGAAGAAAAAAAGCCTTTCACTTTTGGCGAGTTCGTGACTCCGCGTTCGTGAAATGCCGTGTAGACTCGCTTATTAGTACGGGCCCGTATTTGGCTGTGTCAACAGGTGCGACGTTGCAGAGTGTTATACCTCATTTGTTATAATACACAGTGCGCAAAAACAGCAGCCGCCTTTCCGTACGTACAAAAATAAACACAGAGATCAAAAGCCAACAATACGATCTCATCGATCTCAATCTCCGATGCTGCTGCTGCTGCTGCGTCGGATCTCCTCGTGCTGAGGTTTTCATCGATCGACGCAAAAGTATACAAACACAAGCTACCGAGCGCGGCCGTATCGCTGCCAGACGAAATCGACTAACGGCTTATGTTCTGCTCCGTCGTATAGACAGGATCGGCCGGCGAGTCGTCGCTCGTTACATATAAAATATATCGATACGGACCAGGCCTTATCTAGATACGCGCGATAAATAGTCTACGTGACTGAAAATGACGCACTTTTTTTCATATGCAACCGTTCTCGGCCGATTCAAGCAGGTATTTATTATTATCGATTCATTATCGTGCTTCGAGTTCAATAACGTGAAAGCAGATACAAACTCGATAATAGCACCTCGATGTTACAATTGAGACTACTCAAAATTATATTATACCTGTGTACTGTTTTTTTTTTCAACAGAACGTGTGAATTAGCCAACGCACACATATTATCTCTCGACGAAGATTTCGACTGCAGTATACTGCTACCATATACTGTATATACGACCGCAACGAGTATCATTACGTTTTTAGAAAGTGTGAGTGCGATTGCGCGCGGGTGTTGTATATTCAGGAGGAGAAATCTCATTAATACCGGTGTCTGTGTGTACATTGTGAGATAAGTACAGCTATAATATAATAATGACGGCCGGCATGTCGCAAATGATGAACGGGAAAAAAAACGAGGCGAAGAGGGAGGAGGAAAAATTACCCTCGGACAATACCCAGAGGGTCGTGTTCTTCTCGCTGCTGATGGACTTGTTGGCGTTCACGATGATACTACCACTGTTTCCGGCGCTGCTCGATCACTACCGCAGCGTCGACGACGGCCAGGGACTCTACTCGGTCATCCAGACGCAGATCCAGAAATTCAGCAGCTTTCTCAACGCCCCCGATAAAGTCACCACGGTCCTGTACGGAGGCGAGTCGATCGGCAAAATCTCACCCTGCCCCTTTCGTTCGGTTGTTTAAACTTTAATCATTGATCGGCAGGCTTCCTGGGCTCTCTGTACTCGTTCCTGCAGTTCCTCGGCTCGCCGATCGTCGGGGCCTTATCCGACGTCTACGGGAGAAAACCGATGATGCTGCTCTGCTTGGGCGGCATCGCCCTGTCGCACCTGCTCTGGGCCCTGTCGAGCAACTTCGGCATCTTCATACTCGCCCGAGTGATCGGCGGCATCAGCAAGGGAAACGTCAGCCTGTCCATGGCGATCATATCCGACGTCACGACCCAGAGCACGAGGCAAAGGGCAATGGTACGTACCACTGTACGCCGCGGGCCGATTCCCGCTCGAAACGCAGGCACAAATAGTAAGACGGAGTCGCGATTTCACAGGCCCTCGTCGGGATCGCCTTCTCCGTGGGCTTCGTGATAGGGCCGATGATCGGGGCGTACTTCGCCAAGGCGACTATGCTGGGCGGCCGCCAAGGACCCTGGTACGTGGTGCCCGCCCTGTGCGCCTTCCTCCTCGCCGCCTGCGACCTGATTTACGTGGCCTGCTGCATGAAGGAGAGCCTGCCGGCCAAGGGCAGAGTCAAGTCCCTGTCGACTGGAATATCGGGGGCGCTCGCCTACATCAATCCGACCGATCTGTTTCGATTCAGCAGCGTCAGTAATCTCACCGACACCGGTAGGGCTCCTCGATTGGCTTTTCCTGTATATCATGCTTACCGATCAAACTCTCTCGATCATCGACTGACTCTCTCGCTCGATCTGTCTTTTTAGCTACCAAACAATTGCGCAGCTTGGGAAAGGCTTACTTCTTCTACCTGTTCATTTACAGCGGATTGGAGTTTACTCTGACGTTCTTGTGCCATTATACCTTTGGCTTTAGCCGCATGCAACAAGGTTGGATGTTTTTGGGAATCGGCACGACCATGGCACTCCTGCAGGGTTGCTGGGTCAGGAGGATCCCACCTCAAAGGACTCAATTCTACGCAGAATTGGTAAGCGATCCGAGCAGGGTCTGAACATTTTTCACCATTGAATTGGAAACTTTTGACTACATTTTTTTTAAAAAATGTACAGGGTTTGTGGCTGGTCGTACCGTCGTACGTGATCGTAGCTTTGGCCAAGAGCATCTGGACTCTCTGCTTCGGAATATTTGTTTACTCAGTCTGTAAGTTGCAAAATTGCTCTATAAACGACCGGATCGATTTTTGCATGAATAATTCAATGATCATAATTCCTTCGCAGCTACTGCCATGGTGGTGACCTGCATGATGACCTTGGTCTCGAGAATCGGCCCGGAAAATCAAACGGGCGCCATAACCGGTATATTCCGCTCGCTCGGTGCGTTGGCTCGGGCCTGCGGTCCAATCGTCGCGTCGATCGGTAAGTTTTCATCGGGAAATTTTAAAATCATAATGACATGCCTTTGACTGTGAAATTCTTGTGCAGCTTTTTGGAGCTTGGGCAGTTCGACGACGTACTTGATCGGAGCGGCCGCTCTGGTGGTGCCGCCATTGATATTGCGAAAAATACGTATATAACTCGACGACCCCTTGGATAGGTCGTCCTCTAGACAATAGACAAAGTAGAAGAAAACTTATGCAACGAGTAGATTTTGTATTTTTATAAAATACGTCGTCATCTCGTTAGAGGATGCGTTACGTATGACGTTTTTGTATATAATAGTAGATTATATATATATTTTTATTTTATACTTTGTATTATAATGCGGCACAGCGATCGAGAGTTTTTTTGCCGTGCAAGTGTCGAACGACGAGACAGTAGCGAATCCCGCATGGTTCTTTTGTCACGCGCACCTCGTAATACGTGTGTGTTACGGTGCGCTTTAGAATTTAAAATGCTTCAAAAATCGATGCGACATTCGCCGCTTGTGTTGCACGTATACGTCGTCTTCGCACACTGTGCACGAGACCGACTGAGCTCGATCCGCCGCTGCTTTTCCATGACCATTATATATATGCGTATATTTTTATTTGCCATGTATACACGATCATGAAGTCCGTCCACGTTTATATGATATTTATGTATATTTTTTAGTAAATAACGAATTACGATGTTGCTTGTATACACGTGCTATACAAATAATCGTTGAATAAACATTGATATATATATTTTTCATTTATATTGAGCTCGTCTGTATTTGTACTATTTCTCTGGTTCGATCGATCAGGATTTTTGAAATTCCAGGCCTTTGTTCTCTCTCTCTCTCTCTCAGCGATTTAATCCGTCGATGCGGATCAAAATTTACGTGCTCCGGGTATATGTGCGTATTGACGTAACGCCTCAATGATGAATATTAAAAGTGAAGGCGCGTATAAAAAAGAAAGAGACGAGGATCGATATTTAGCCACGGTGATAATTTTTAATCGGTCCAGAGAGAGGCTGCGATAGGCTCGAGCGCGTCCACTGTATCCACATTATAGCTGGTCCCAGAGGCCATCTGTGCTCAGCTATATCTGTCTCTATCGATACGAGTATATTCTATATCTGGCCAATAAAAAAAACGAAGTTATTGAGCTCCCGAAGTCTGTTTATCTGATCGATGTGCGTTAAGTGTAGCATTACCCGTCGCTTTTCTCGTCTTACTCTCGCGCGATATGTGTGTGTGTGTGTGTGTGTGTTTGTGTGTTTTGCTGCACTGCCCAGTGCACGACGAGCGAGAAGCAAGAAGAAGCAGCAGCAGCAAGTCGAACGGAAACGTTTACATATATAGAGACATGATAAAGCTATGTTTTTCCGGTAGCACGAGCCGAGTAAACACGATCGTGCCGTACATAATAGGCATTGACGAGGCGATTGGACAAATCGACGCGCGAGTAAAAGTCGGAGCTGGCCGGCTATCGTCGGGATTTTTTTCCTTTTTTCCTTTTTTTTTATTTATTCATTTTGTGGCGAGTCATTTTCCATTGTATCCGTATTATAAGCGCGCAGAGCTCCTCGTTGAATAGTCAATGAGCTATGAGCCATGATTGCTGCTGCTGATGCTGTGCTGGTGCATCACGTGCCGATCTCGCGCGTCGTTAAAAAGCGTAACAATATATAAAACGCGAGGAGGGCTCGATACCGTTACATATTCTTACGCACACGCGCGCGTAATATATGTACATGTTATATGGCTGTACAGAGCTCATATGATTTCATTGGCACGTATCAAATGTACGGCGGCTTCGCCCAGTGCAACATAGGCTCGTCTTATACACACACACACACACACACATACGCAATAGTGATTTATGTGTTTGCGTACGTGTGCGGCATGTAACATAAGCAATCGATCGAGTCAGCTACTTTCGTCTGGCATGTGCACGGTAAGGTTTGTTTTCTGTCTCGCGTTGCTGCCCAATGTACACCTCCCTCGCGGCCACAACCGATCCTGCATAACGTCACGAAAATATATATACCGCGGCAGAAGCATCGGCAGCTAATTTTTTTTTCCTCTTCAAATAATGCAAAATGTCTGCGCAAATATATTACACGCTCTCGCGCGCGCAGTTTTTAGCGTTCTATACGTTCGAGCGAGTGCAGCCATCAGTTGCCGCAGTCGAGTTTTATATATAAAGTACGCGCTGCATACGTTTGCGTGTACATGCGCAGTGCTGCTGTATTGTATGCATGTATTGTGTGCACAGCAGTCGCACATGTATATATTATATATACACACACGTACGCGTCAGCTTTTATTCAAATAAACAGGATAGCACGAGTGGAATATCCATATAGATATACGTGCATATCGAAGGGAGCTGTTGCGCACATTAGTGGGCCCGAGCGCATTCGCGATGTATATGGCCGACTCTATCTTGAATTCAATTGCGCGTACGAAATATTATTTTTCTGCTGACTCGAACGATTTTGCTTATACATTGAAAAAAAACCCGTGCTCAGCCAGGAGCGATTTTGGGAAAAAGTGCTGGAGAGCTTTTTAACTCGAAATTGTACGAACTTCGGGAAAAGTACTAGCATGGAGGGTCTGAGTACTCTGAGAGCTTGTTACCGCGAAGAGAAATGTAAAAACTAGACTTTTTTTTAATACGTCTCTGACGAAGGGTCACGAACTTAAAATTTTTTTACGACATCGGGGAAAAATATTATTTCGAAGGCGATTCGATTTCGCGGAGAATCGGCCATATGTATTGTGCATTTGCAGCCATGCGCAAGTAGCAGCTATACATAGATAAAAAAAAGAGCGAGTAGGAGCAAGCAAAGAAGGAATATAAGTATAATGCACGTTTGCTGCGTGATAAAATAGCATAGCCGCGCGCGCCTGCCTGCCTGCCTGCCTGACTGCTGCAGCGAAAGACCAAAGAAGAGAGAGAAAGAACAATTTCGAGGCCTGCAGTGGGGGTAATTGTCATTCCGTGAAAAGCCTATCGTTTGCACAGTCTACCATACTAAGTGTTTCCTCCTCTCTTCTTTTATTTCTGCACGCTCGCTTCTCTGTACTCGTGTGTACGTACATACGCGTCCGTGTTATGCTTATTGTACCCTTCTCTCTCTCTCTCTCTCTTTTTCTGCTCGTGTGCGTGTGTATGTGTGCGTGTACCGAGCGATATGTGCACTTTGCAACGTCAAAAAGTCCTACCTACCACGCCGTCTTTGCCTCGCCTTATGCAGGATCTCTCCGAGCTTTAAGCTCCAACTGCAACGAGCCAAGAACTCGCTGCACCGACTCGACCGCTCGATATCTTCTACATACGTACAACGTATTTTTGCCGTCTTCGCTTGGTCGTGTCGGCGGCCGCGACATTGACTCTCGGCTGCACCGAGGCCTTGCCCACGAATAACTTGCTCCGCTCACCTCGATTTTTGCACCCGATTTTTTTTTTTTTTTTAAGGAAATCGATCTCGATCGTAACTCATGCCAATCAGATAGATCCCGTTCGCGAGCACCTAAATCATCCAAAATCCGATATATATACGCATATAATACTGATTCCGGTCGATGCCGATTATTCCGCGCATTATAATATCGATCGCGCGGCGTAGTGTGCGGTCGCGACGACCAAGATTATATTCGGCCGTTAAATCGCTGATCGCTATATGACGAAATTAAAAAATGCGCGATTTACGTTATTTATGTGTGGCCCACTAAGCGCCGCGTGCTATATACAACTTACAAGTAGTGCGTATACGAGACGCGTATCCGTGTTTAATATGATACATAGCAGCGCAGCATACGTACGCGATGATGCTCGGCAGCTTCGAATAGACTCGACGTTTTTCCCGTGTCGGACACTATACGGACTTTAACGCACACACGTGTAATAATTAAAAGATTTGCTCGCGCGCGCGAACGCGAATCGCTCGTAAATCGTGTCCGGCTGCCTACCTCGTATAATAGCTGCCGCGAAAGAAAACCGGTAGGACGTGCAGAAGCAGCGGCAACAGCTGCTGCCGCCAACGACGACGACGACGACGTCTTATCTCGACGTGTACTCGCGATTGCGCCGCGAATTAAACTCGTGTAATGTACATGCACGCTCATTATGTGTATAATGTATATTATGTATTCCGCAGCCAGACTTCCTTATTTTTGTTATTTCAATCGTCGCGCACTCGATGCTTCTTTCGCGTATATCGCGCAGATTCATTAGCTTGCTATATGTATATACGTATATATAGGGGGTCGCTTTTAATCGTCTCGTTGCGTACATAAGCAGAGCTGCTGCGATGCGATGCGATGATGCTCCGAAAGCTCGGCCGAAACGAAAATAAACGCACGAGCGTGTATAATCTCGGCTGCGCGTCTCGTGCTCGGTGTTAATATCGCCGAATTTTTCCACAGGTTCGCGATTGATATATTTTTTTTTTTTTTTTTCATAAGCCATCGTTAGGACGTCAAAGTTTTATTAATAAATGTTCACTCGAGCCGTGTACGTAAAAATAAATCTTTTTTTTTCTTTTGACTCTCGGCGTATATACTTTGCAAATTTTATTAGCTCGCCGGCTCGCGATGTGTCGACCACAGAGCGAGTCGCGACTTAAAAATGTCGCGCGCTAACTCTATGGACGGGGCGAGTGTCGAAATCGATAAATCGATTGAAACTACCAAGTTGCCGCTCGCGAAAGTTCCGCACACACACACATGGGCGAACGGAGAGAGAATATATTTATGCCTGGCACACGGAGTACTTACTTGCGCATACATATATTCGCTAAAAAAGAGACAATATCGGGGGCGAGCCCGGGGCGTAAACAATAGACCGACGACGACGACGACGACTGCGACGTACACGAGGTACGCGCGTATGTGTGTACGCGATATAATAGCGCGACTACGCAAAAATTCGCGGAATTCGTCATATTTATAGGTGGGCAGGAGCACAGGTTTACTACACATAAGTGTAGGACATGCAGCAGCGGCAGACCACCGCAGCCGGCGGCCCATTATAGGCATATGTGTACAACACCATACAGAGGAGCACACGCGTCCCTTATTCGTTCGTGGCGTAAATACATGCGTTGCGTGTCGGATACCTACCTGTACGCGTCTACCTACGACATTAATACATATATATATATATATATATATGCAGAGAACATATGCGTGTGTGCGTAAGGTAGAGACTCGAGCACAATATATCTTTCTTCGTTTTTCCAAGATTCGTCCGAGGCCAGCAGCTCCGTACATCGATTGGCATGCGCTCGTATAACTGCTGATTTTCGCAGTCATCCACCCGCGCCCCCCGCTCTTACGCTATACACGACTTTTCCGCCTCCGCCGACACACGACGCACGCCTATATAATACCTAATATACTCACCCCCGTTGTACAAAGCCGATCTGCGGCGGTGGCCCTTCGCGCCTACGGCCTATGATACTTACAACGCGCGTTTAGTGCGGCAATCGTCGAGCACAAAGGACTTTTCTTCCTGTGTATGCGTACACGTACTCGTCTAATTCAGAGATTTACGCGCGCGTGTGTGTGGCGCCTGTTACGTGGCCCCGATGGCCATTGAACTTTAGCCGCCACCGACGCTGCTGCTGCCTCGCAAAGTCGCGTAGTTCCATAATAATATCATAATATGCGTGCAGCACACATTTACATTGTGATGATCTCCCCACACGACCTCCTACTACCCCAGAGTTTGAGTTTTTACAATATGTGTTCGCTCGAGAGAGAGAGAGAGAGAGAGAGAGAGAAAGAGCTCGCGGAGTTCGAAGCCGATCAGTTGGGGCAGGTCGACGAGTACCGGTTTCAAGGTCGGCTTGAGAACTTGATTTTTTTTCTTCGTTGCACGTCGATCAGATGCTGCTACCACTGCTCAGTGTAAAGAGTATGAGATGTGGTCTGGCGATAAAGGTACAACGCATTCTCGACTGGATGATTCGAGGATGAAAGAAAGTTACGATGAAAAAAAGGCAGCTAAAAATGCCGAGTCCGAACGGAACAAGTCACTCGAGAAGCTCGAGATTCTACTACTACTACTACTAGTACTATACTCATGATGGCTGGCATGCTAGCGGCCGTTGGCGGTGGCGGCTGCGAAAATCGATAAATTCGATTGGCTTTCAAGTGCGCAGCGCCGTCCGCGATCGTTGATCGCTAGCTCGGATCGCACGCGACCATCGTAATACTGATCGTTTCCGCAGATCGATTTTCCTTCGGAAGCAACTGTTGTCGCTCGCTCGTCGATCAGACGCGTTATGTTATGATCGCATTGGCAACGTATATGCTCGCCTGGGAAATTAGCCAGTCGCTCGACTCGCTGTCGAATCCTTTCGCGGGGGTATCACTGCTACTCGCGTATCGTGTGTCGCTGCTCGGAGTCGAGCATAATCGACGACAGGTACACAGGTATACGGCGTGAAAAATTCACCTGCAGCAGCGCGTGCATATATACGTGCAAGCAGAGAAATAGGAGCGGCCCCGGCCGGCGGCGTTGCGACTGCAAATATATCTCATTATATTACGTATCTGGCTGCACTTGCAGTAGTTGCACTTGCGCGTAGACGAGTTACACGGAGGAGACTGCACCGGTTACACGAGTGTCGAGTGCGCGCCGGCCGCCTCATTGTGATGCGAGCCTGCTTTCGCGAAACTCCACGTGATCTGCGAAACGGCCAATGAACGCCAGGATCGCTCGCACACAGAGAGCCAGTTGCCTTCGTGTGTGTGCGTGAGTAATAACTTTTGTCCCCCCTCTGCGCAGCGCTGCCGAGGATTACCCTCCACCGTCGCGCGAAACGAGCCTTGCGAATACGCACACGGACGAGGCCTCGCGTAGCGGTGTAGGTGCGCGCGGGGCTGTGTGCGTGCGAGCGCAAGAGCACATGCGAAACGAGCGCGGGGGCTACGAAATTCTCGGAATCGGCCGAGCTCCGCGCGTCTCTTCCCGCCCGCCGTGCGGCGCGGACGGAGTATCGGACACGGACGCCCGTGGCCGCCACCGTCACCGCGAGCTCTAGTGCCTGCTGCCGAGAGGCCCGAGCCGTGCTCCGCGATTGCTCCTGTGCTGCGTTACGACGATCTGCCAACGCTGCTACTGCTGCTACCGCTAACTGCACTGCGTCGGCTGAGATAACCCACCGAGGCAATAATCAACGCTACGACGACGGCGTCGACGCTCGACGCCGATCTAACGCGCCAACTCCGCTCTATCGCTCTCTGTATTCTATATTCTGTAGCCGGCCTCGGCAGAGCCAAGTATTTTACTCCGTTTTTAGCCTTTTCAACTTCCTTCTTATTTCTTTACTTTTCTCTCTCTCTCTCTCTCTCTCTCTCTTACTCATACTTACTCACTCGCTTTTTTGTTCATTCGATTCTCGAGTGCTCGCAGTGTAGTGTCTCTCCAGCCGACAACTGGCTGCTACTTCTCTCAGCTCCTTCTTTTTCTTCGAGTGCCGTGCACAGTGCAAGTTAGCAAAGCCACAAGTATATACGAGGGACGACGACGATCGTCCGAGTCGATTTGTTTTCTTTGTCAAGGATCGACCGATCGATCGATCCAACAGTGCGAACGACCAGTGCCAATTGTGCAGACGCATTAACAGCCATTCGAGGGCGAGCTTCGACGACGAGTACATCGTTTACGATATTCAACGTTGTTGGCTGCGGGTCATCCAACACATACGCACTGACACACAGCGAATCGAGCTGCAGCGGCGCACTTGTTACCCATCGTCGCCCAGCGCGCGTCAATGTGCTGCTGCTGAGAGTGTCAACATAGCATATACGACATAATAATACGAGTGTGTCGCGAGGCGGCGGCAACGACAACATCGACGCACACGTCGTATCATTTCATATATATATGTGCAGTCTAGTCCATTGGAAAGGCAGCAGAGCCCGGCGGACGTAGCTGTCGTCAAGCCGCCGCCGCCACCGTCGACTCCGAGTCAATAGTCCGAAGGTCGCGAATCGTCATCGTAGCGATGCTTCGACTCGACGAGGATTGAGGCGCTTCGCAGCCGTGTGGCGCGTCGTGCATCAACACTTGCCGCCCCGCTGCAGTTTTGTGCGCAAAACAATAATATACGGACGGTCATCCGGTCATCATCCTCGGGGCACCTCGACACGCCGTGACAATTCAGCGTTCGTCATCGATTCGTAGCTACTCGTCGCTACTGCCGTTTTCGCAGCATCTTGCGAACAGCTAAACAACCGGACACGCCGCGTTGTTCTTTTTCTGCAGTGTTGTGCGTGTGTGCGGTGTTGTCTTTTTGTTTATTCCTTCTCGCTCGCTCTCTCTCTCTCTTTCTCTATCTGTCTCTACATTTTAGGGGACGAGAAAGAAGAAGACCTTTTCTGCGGAGCCATCGTTTTGTGGTTCCGCCGATCTCCGTGTCAGTGACTCTCAAACATTAATTGGTAAGTCTAGTTTTATTTATTGATATCAGCGGGTTTGGTCGATCAGACACGTCTTATCGTGCGCGAATAAAGCAATGATTAGGCCGTCTCGCGGCTGTCGCTTTATCTCCTACATGTATACCCGCGAGAACAAAAAACTACAAAGCTACTGTGTACACAGAGATGAGCGCGTGTATTTGCTCGCTCTCACACGTTCACACAGAGCCAATATACACGCATACACAAAGAGTCGGACTCGGAACAGAAGAAATATCTCAGGGCAGTCTGTCTTTTTCTCTCTCTCTCTCATTTTCTCTCGTTCTCTCGATCGCTGTATTTGTCTCTTTCGCACTGGCTGCTCTCTCTTTCTCTCTCTCACGAAGAGCGACGTTCTCGCAATAATATACTTTGGTCGTCATGCGCGCGCGACCCGTGTACGATCCGTCTTTCCTTTTCTCGTATTCGTGTATGTTCGTTTACCCGGTCTCTTGTCTCTCTCTTTCTCTCGCTCGCAGATCGCAGTTCGCAGTTCGGAGCTCGGAACTCACAGCTCACTCACCATTCCTCATGCGTCCTCTCTAGCAGTGTGTGCCCCCCTCCCCTCTCGTCCCGCGCTCCTCTTTTCCCCCCCGCGGGGGCCGCCGCGCTGCCTTGCCTTCCACCACCTCCTACTACTTCTGCTCGGCTACATATACTACATTCACGCATGCACGAGCCAATGCTTACTCTCTCGCTCGCACACACACATACATATGTAGGTATAAGGAACGTTATATACAGCGCGCAACTCGTCACTGGTTTTTACGATTCGTCTTTTTCTGGCTGCTGCTTCTCTTGCCTCTGTCTTGAGACTTTAGAGAGCTCTGCGCGTATTATATACACAGATATACATATATTCCATATCTACACATCACATATAGTGCCGAGGCTTGCGGCGGCCAGGCCTACACGGGCAGCTCTATACATGCCGCAGTTTAGTTGCTCGAGCGCGTGTGTTACAACAGCACGTATTATAATTCATATAATACACATACATTTCTTCGTAATGCCATTGGCATTCGTAGCTGCTTGCACTCGCTGTGAGTTGATGATTATTATATACCTTCTTCTTCTCTCTCTTTCTTTTGCTCACTCTCTCTCTCTCTCTCTCTCTCTCTTACCCTCTTACTCTTTTACTCTCTCTGTGCTTCTATATGTGATTTTGTGTTTGCATGTGTACAAGTGTATCAGTGTACCGTGTATGTGGTTGCGCGCCCGCGTATTCGCGCGTACGTGTAAGTGAATATATAGATTCGAAACGCGCCAACAATGCTCGTTTGTATTTTTTTGGCTATACCCACGAATGCCTGTACGAATTTTGCAACTGTACATCGCGAACCAGTGTTCTCGTCGAATCGTTCCCTTTGTGAGTGCCTTTGTGACATGTTTTCGATGCCGATGTTTTTGTCGATATTCTTTCTTCCTCGTGTACTAATAATCAAAAAGAGGCGAGAAATCGGCGAGATCCAAAGGGTTACTGCCAGTGTTGTACATGGGAAACCGCGACAGCGATTACACACGCGCCTAATTCCCGGAAATGAACATCACACATTCCTCACTTGCTGTTCGCGCTCATACGCTACTCGTCGTTTTAAATTCGTTTTAGCTCCTTCTGTGCATTGCTATCTTTCTCTCTCTCGCGCGCTCTCTCGCTCTGTAAATATACAAATATAGGTGTATGTGTATACAGTCGGCGAGCGATGATGCGCAATTGTGGACACATGTGTGTTGTGTCGCCGCCGCCGCCGCCAACGACACCGACTCCGACTCCGACTCCGACTCCGACTCTTGCTTCGCAAAGCAGTGCTTTTATGTGCACTGCCAGTCGAAATCGGAATAATCAAAAAAAAAAAAAAAAAGCTAACGAACGAAATCTCGAATCGCGCGACGATCGTTGCCACTGCCGCTGTACCGCCGTCGCAGCAATAGTCACCGTTGTCTCTTCGTCGTATATGTGCGGTGGTGCGAAATGAAAGTGATGATGCTCCGCTGCGCGCGCGGGACTTGTTTATACCGAGAAATTCGAATGTATGTAGGTGTTGCTTGGTATTGGTGCTCTCTGCCTCGCTTGCTTCGCTATATACACTATGCCGCCGAGGACATTTTTTTATTTTCTTTTTTCTCTCGTATATATAAAGCTCGTTTTAACCGGAGCGTCCAATCTCGCAGCGGCACCAACGCGCCAGCTTCTTTTAATAGCGCCCTGCATAACAAAGCGCGTTGAGCAAAAAAAAAAGAAAGAAAAAAATCGGTATTTTTTTCCACGCTCGACGATGTGTGCATGTGTGAGCCTCGATGTGCAAGACCTATACCATCGTCGTATTGACCGAGTGTGACTGCCAAGCGTATAATAATGTACGACGCGATAATTGAATGATGCAAATAAATTACACTTCTTAGTCTCGATAAGGCAGGCACACACTCGTTTTTCAAAATTATTATCTCTGGAAATGTGTCGATATCGCCGTTGGAAATTAATTTAATCTGACATTTCGCGTTAATCATTTGTAATAATTGATATTTTCATTGTATTTAAGATTTTTTAACTATTCAATTCTTTTTTTTTTTTAGCTTGAGTAATTGTAGCTAAACAAAAAAGGAAAATGTCACTTTGGGCTAAAACGCAGCAACTTCCACCCGAGCTGTTGCAAAAGGTCCGCTCGGTATATGGCGAACATTTTCCGATCGAAGTACGTCACTTTTTAGCAGGATGGATCGAAGAAAGAGTGTGGTTTGTGAAAAATTAAATTTTTAGCTTCTTATCAAGTCATTCTTGAAATTTATCAAAAATTTTTGCTTAAAATAGGACGAACGTTGATCCAGAAAATCCACAAAATGAACAGTACATTACCACCCTCATTCAATCTCTTATTCAAGAGCTGGAAACAAAGGTTCAACAACTCAATACTGAAGATCTTTTCTTAACAAAAATTAAACTAATGGAAGCTGCAAAGACTTTTCGTGTGAGTACCTCTAAGAATTTTAAATTGAGTCTGTCTATTCGTGGTCCAAGATAACACAATTTGAATATTCATATATAAAAGTTTGTACATGCAAAACAATGATATGGGTTTTTGAACTGCTAATAGACAGTCTCTTAAATTATTGATGAAACAACTTTTATAACCAAATTTTACTTATCTATTTCAGCAACGATACAATGCACATCCAATCACATTATTTAATTTGATCAAACATTGTTTGATAACAGAAATGACATTAGTTAATCAAACAATTGATGGTAGCGGAAACTTGATGAATATTCCTGGTAATCGAGCAGGATTAGTAGCAGGTGATTCAATGGCAGAAATTGCCCATCAAATAGATCTCCTCAGACGTAAAACACAAGAAACAAGTGAAGAAGTGCGAAAACTAGAGAATGATCAAGAATCTTTTGCTATTTCCTATCATGAATGTACAAAATTAAATGCTCATTTGCAAAATATCACTACTCAACCACAGACACCTCAAACCATGGAAATAGAGAAAAAAATTCGTCGACAAAAAGAAGCTCAAGAGCTTAAATTGAATAATCATGTGCAAAGTTTACTTCAACAGCGTATAAATTTAGCAGACCGACTTAAAGACACAATTGGCAAATTGGCATTTTTACAATGTAGAGTACTAGATGACGAATTAATTAGGTATGTAACTATATTCATGTCATGGTGTTATATATTTAGTCGCATATTTTAATACTGAAAATAATTTTTTATTTAGGTGGAAGAGAGATCAGCAACTTGCAGGAAATGGAGCTATGCTCACAAGTAATTTAGATGCCATTCAAGAATGGTGTGAAAGTCTTGCAGAACTTATATGGTTGAATCGTCAACAAGTTAAAGAAGCTGAGCGCTTGAAAACAAAACTTACTCTGGAACCACCTAATTCCCAAGATGTGTTGCCAGCCCTTAATTCTCAAGTTACTCAATTATTAAGCTCGCTTGTGACAAGCACATTTATCATTGAAAAACAGCCACCTCAAGTAATGAAGACTAATACACGCTTCACTAGTACAGTGCGACTTTTGGTTGGTAGTAAGCTTAATGTATACATGACTCCTCCACAAGTCAAAGTCAGCATTATTAGTGAGGCTCAAGCAAATGCTCTTTTAAAAAGTGATAAAATGTGCAATCGTGGAGAAGCTAGTGGTGAGATCTTAAACAATTCAGGTTCCATGGAATATCATCAAGGCACCAGACAATTATCTGTCAGTTTCAGAAATATGCAGTTGAAAAAAATTAAAAGAGCTGAAAAAAAAGGAACAGAGTCAGTTATGGATGAAAAATTCTCACTTTTATTCCAATCTCAATTCACTGTAGGAAATGGCGAACTAGTTTTTCAGGTAAAGGTTTTATAGTTTTAGAAAATGTATGCACTTGAAATGAAAACTAATTTTTAAAAATGATGTATGGTTTCTTGCAGGTGTGGACATTAAGTTTACCAGTTGTGGTAATAGTTCATGGAAATCAAGAACCCCATGCTTGGGCTACAGTCACATGGGACAATGCTTTTGCCGAACCAGGACGTGTTCCGTTCTGTGTCCCTGACAAAGTTCCATGGTGTCAAGTAGCTGAAGCTTTAAACGTTAAATTTCGATCGGCCACTGGTCGTGCGTTAACTGACGACAATCTACGATTTCTAGCAGAAAAAGCCTTTAGAGGAGGTGCAACTTGCCAAGATTATACAAATTTAATGTTAAGCTGGGCTCAGTTTTGCAAGGAACCCCTTCCTGAACGTACTTTCACATTTTGGGAATGGTTCTATGCAGTCATGAAGCTCACTCGAGAGCATCTCAGAGGTCCTTGGAATGATGGATATATTCTTGGTTTTGTTCGAAAGAAGCAAGCTGAAGAAATGCTCTCAAACTGTTCTTCTGGTACTTTCCTCATGAGATTTTCTGATTCGGAATTAGGAGGAGTTACAATAGCTTGGGTGGGAGGTAAGTAAAATTAACATGAAATAATAAATATTGTTTTTACAGAAAATACTTTAATTCATTTTTCACAATATTTTTTTTTAGAAAATGCTGAAGTTTTTATGCTGCAGCCATTTACTAGCAAAGATTTTGCTATCAGAAGCTTAGCTGACAGAATATCAGATTTACAATATTTAATGTATCTTTATCCTGACTTATCTAAAGATCAAGCTTTTTCAAAATACTACACTCCGTTTCAAGGTAAGCATTGAAAATAAAAATTTTTTGGACAAATATTAAGTTATTTTTCATGGAAAATGAAAAGAATTTTTAATTTTACAAAAACGTTTATTTGCAGTTGAAAGTCAACCATTGAATAATGGCTATGTAAAACCGTTATTGGTAACACACGTGCCAGGTTGGTCATCCGTTGGTGCTCAAACTCCTTCGCACTCGTCCATGAGTGGAATGGGCCCTGGTCATGGACATGGCAGCTACCCTTCGACGCCGTCTACTATGTTCCAAGCCCATAGTCCGGATCCCTCGGTAACACGAGATACACCCTCGGTCGCGTCGAGGTCAGTGCCTTGGATGTAGCAATCTATTTTCTAATTATAACTTTTTACGTCCTTATCTGTTATTGTTGCAATTCATATGCAATTACGAACAAAAGCTACCTCTTTTCGATTTAATAAGCTAGATTTTATGAAGGTGCGCCAAAGTTTGAGAAATCGCGTTATTTTTCTATTTTAACCATTTAAATATTGTTAATTATAAATGAACTTTGACATGATCTCATTTTCCTATTATAATTTTTATTTTTTATTCGAGTTAACGTCGCAATTTTATAATAATTGAATTTGAAATCCAAAAACATGTGCCTTGAAAAATACTATTTCAAAGTCAAATGCAAAACATGTAGAATCGCATTCCATGATCTCTAAAGATTTGATAATTTTAATTTTGATAGCTTCATAATGAAAAATTTTACATCATTTGTAGCTTAATCAGTATTTTAAACTAGATTTCTTTACACTGACTTATATCGTAAAAAAATTTTGTATTATTGACGATTACAATATTGTATACAAATGAAACTTTGCGCAACTTTATAAGCTAAGACATTCATCCACATACTGCATCAGTATTCGCAATTTTTTATAATCTTTTCGCCTTTTTTCCAATATAAGAACACAAGTTGCGTGACAATATTATGCGATGAATTTTTTAATCGTCGATTTTGTATACTTTTTTTTCTATTTACATGACATTTCCTTATGATAAGATTATATTTGATAATGTTATATTTGATATTTAACTACAAGCAATACATAATTTGAATAAAATGTATTGAGAAAAAAACAAAAGAACAAATTGTAAAAAAAATTGTCGATAAAGTTCGTCAAACTGTGATGATTATAACGACTTATTTGACACGATGCTCTTTAAAAAAAATTTTATCAAATCTACAATTACTTACGATTTATTAAGAATGAATTTTTGATTATTTATATATGAGTACAATAAAGTTTTTATTGAAAGCATACATGCAGCTTTACTTGCTTGCTAAAACTATTCATTATAAGATACATTTTTTTATCTAAGTAATAGAAAAAAATCAGTATATATTCTACTAATCGGCTCTTTCATGGCTTTCAACTTTGATTTTTTCTTCTTTTTTTTTATCACAAACTAATATCATCATAAATAACCATTTACATCTACACAGTCATAGCTACTATGTGTGATCGAGCCTATCATTCATCGTTCATGAGTAAGTTTTGAATCGCAATTAATCTGTGATTCTTGCATCAAAAGCAAAAACATTGAAGATCACGACATTTATCATATAAGGCAAAGGCCTGGAGCAAGCCGGTACAACCACATGTTGAATCACAAAATGTATCCCATGGTTTTTCTCGTTTTGATGAAATTTCATTTTTGTGGGCAGTGACAGAAGTTATAATGTAAGCTCAACTCACTGTAATAAAGGAAAAAAATGAAACGCAACTCCAATCACTACTCGATGAATCAAATATTAATCAAGTTTAACTGGCAATCGAGTGGAGATGATAACCGCAATTCACGTGGAAATCAGCGCTATGAATCGTTACAATCGCGTGCACAGAAAAACTAAGGAGAGCATGACATGTGTTACTGTATCCTACTTTTTTTATTTGCTCGATCAACTGCTCGATTTAATACTCCATTATCTTCATTCAATGGCTAGTGATAATGACTTGATGCTGCTTTTTTCATATAATTTTTCATTAACTCGATATGTTCTTTATAGACATGATTTTATTGCTGTATATATTATATATGTAAACCTAGTGATTGTTGTTTTGAATTTTTTAAATTTATTTTTTCAAATAATTCGTAAATAAATTGATTTTCACCCAAACGACCGATTTATTTTTTAAATTGAACCTGATTTTTTTTACATTATTCTGTGGTTGCTTGCATGTAAAGTAATGTAATAATGTCGATCAAATGTAGTTGTACCGGCTTCATTCGGAATGATTGCTTACCAAAAATAATAAAATCCAGATTAGAAAGAAATATCGGTCACGCGATAATTTTTCAATCTAATCCGTGATTAAATTCAGTAAGAATTGCCAGTTGATTGGGGTTGTGTTTTGATTTTGCAATTCAGCTACGCTCCGGGTCTCGGCCAATCGGTAAGGAGTAACGCTGACATGGACTACGTGGAGCTGATGAACCACAGTGACCTGTCGGGCATGGAGGATAATCTCAACAGCTTGGATCAGCTCAATAACTATGGAAACTTTTCCGACTTCATAAACGCCCAGCAACCACCGGAGCAGCCACCGCCAAGTTACGACAGTATCAAACATCAATAAGGCAGGGAGAAAAAAAAGACCGATTTACACATAAACACACCCACACCCAAACACACGTATGCATGAAGTTGGAAAATTTTTAAATAAACGATCAACAATTCTAGAAGCCACATTATTCTGCATACATTAGATATTAATTATCAATCAAATTTGAATAATTTATTATAGTTTATAGTTTAATAGATCAGTTTTGACTGTTTTAAGAATGGCTGAAGTAGACGATACGAGTGTGCTTGTGTATGATACATATGATGAAAACTGAATTTTTACTATTATGACTTGTCGACTAGTTCGTCGTTCTTATTTATTAGTTTGTTGAAACTTCTGTATGTATAACGTAGAATTTTGTCCATTAAGATCTAAGAATTATTAACATATAATTTTATTATGCTGTAATTTTATGCTTTGTATTAGTGGCATTTTTGTTCAGTAGATAATGATTATAAATTGCATTTCTCATTGTCTAAATTCACATATTTAATAAAACATGAAAACAGAAAAGAAGAAAACTACAAGACTACATGCGAAAGAAAGACTAAGTGTACAACGACGTTAGTTATTTTGTCAAAAACTCCAATAGATCTTCCCAATCATGATCATATCATGATTTGATGAACGGACTTTAAATTTAATTGTTGCATGAATTGGGGAAAATATTGAAGTATTTTGGGAAATAAATAATACTTTAATGTGCACTAATGTAATATTATATACTATCTGTATGTAACTGACTAGTATGTTATTGAACAATCATTAAATTTTTTAGGTGTGCATTATTCATAAATAACGATTGTTTACATATTTTTTATTTGTATAAGCGAATTTTTTCGTTGTCATTATTCTTTTGTTTCACAACAATTTTTAAGCCATTGATCACTTAAATTCGGCGAATAAAAACATCTAGATTTTAATTTTTTTTCTTTTCTCTACAAAATTATGTAAAACCCAATTATGCGTCCAAATTTTAATATTTTGTCTTACCCGAATCTTTTCTAATCGAAATTCAATGATTCCTGTTTAATCGATAATTGATCGTGCCACATATCGAGAACGTTAATCTTTCGATGTACAAGTTACTACGTATCTTTAACATAAAGCAGCCAAGAACGATGAGAAAATCGAGAAATTTCTGAGCTCATTTTCAGTAGATGTGCGAAAGTAAATTATAAGCCGACGGAAATTGAAAAAGTTTATTGAATGTACGTGTAATAGTAACCTTGGCATTATCGTCATACGTTATCTTATCCTATTTTATTTTGCACTTTACGCTCGAAGAAAAATCCCCGTACAATTAACATTGTGCAAAAACTCACTCAAGTTCCGGACTCGTAAGTAAATTTTCTTTTTTAAATAAACTCAGGCTTATTTCTCAAGGATAAACATTAAAATGGTAGAAAATAATCACGTAACAGGATTAACGATGTTTTCTTAGCGCGAATGTATAATATCTACAGTGTATGTTTACTTCGTTTTATTATTCATACGCGTGCACCTGCATCGATGCCACATGAATCAGACTTGTACGTGTATGCGATTAATTCGCGTGTTCATAGAGCAAACAATTTAACTGACAAAAAATACTTTTTTCAATCTTTTTCTTCACTCAAAACGTAATTATTTCACAAAGAGAAAATATTTTTTTTCGTGTTGTAAAAAATCCAAGCCGGCAAGGAAAAGTTTACTCTCACGCGTACGATATAGGCAAGACGAACCGTATGGAAAGAAGCTGAATATATCTAGCATTTATACACGTGTCTACTTACATAATCATAAATACACAATGATTTGAGATAAATGTCGACCACACACACAGTGTACAATGTATCGACTCGTCAATTGAATGTTCGCTCCCAAAGTCTTTTGCTTTGAATTTCTCATTCTCAAAGTATCAGTCATATAGCAGCAAAGCGCGTTACCGAAACGTGAAAACTGTTCTCTCGGCGTCCTCAGATCCTCCTTGTACCCGCCGATCAGGCTATTTCGTGAGTCTGAAGCATCTATTCCAACACATATTTGTCAAATGAAATATGAAGAAAATAAATAATAAAAAAAAAAGAAAATTAAAAATTAATTGTGAATTATATTTGAATTGTTGATTTATGACTGTATTTTATAAAATGTTTTTGTATGTTATACATTAACGATCGATATGATACAGAAGAATAATAATAAGATATTAAATAATATAATGAAAATAAAATAATAATGTTTACGCTAAGAATAGCGAAGTCATTTTTCTTTTGACTTTACGGGGGTTTGAAACTTTTGGTGTCAATGGTATCTTACAAATAGTTTAACCGATCCTTGTGAAAATTAAGGAGTACATTCTTTAAGTACTAAAAAAGGGATGATTACGTTTTTTCAACTCTCATGCTAAAATAACCATTTTTTATTACATGTACATAAACTTAACGTACATTTTAGTACTTTGTTACGGGGTTTTCCTGATAACTCAAATTAAGATTCTCTATAGGAGTGATTCTCTATTTTTTATGTAATAATTAAAAATTTGTTAGAAAATTAGAATCTTGGCAGAATAATCATTTTTTTTTATTTAGAGATTGGTACATATTTTTATCTAAAAAAAATCGGTCTTTTTTCTCATTGTATTATTAAAAACATTCGCCCTAAAAAGAACTTGCTTTGTTCCTAGTGAACTTTTCCAAGTCCATGTGCATTCTTTTCACTACACTCAATTTCGACTTTTCATTGGAAGTATAAATTATAAATGTATAAAAACTAGTGCCTAAAGACATTAAATAATTCAAACATACGGAGCATAACGAATTAATGTATAGCGTGACGAGGACGTAAATGTGATCTGAAGATCGGATTTCATGAACAAACTTTAAAAACAATTAATTACGAGATATTTTCTTTCCATCATTTTTATTATAATTTTTTCATCATTTTATTGTTTATATTTTTTCAAGCATCTAAATAAACGGAAAGAAAATGGAAGATATTATCCATTCGTGGAATTAAGCAGGCTCGTTTTAACTACATTTTTAGCATGTAAAACACAACAGTAAGTATGATACGCAAATTTAGTGCACGATCTGCATTTTTTTGGTCGCATGACAAGTATAATGATATTGATGACAGCAGAAAAAGAGGTAAGCACCATATGTAATTTATTCATGCTCAAACGATTTCGAACAGGATAGTTAATTTTGAAATGGCTTCAAAGTCATTGGCAATCGTCCGCGGATTGCTGCTGCTGCTGTTGGCACGGGTTCTCTGTGTCCTCCTCGTCCTCGCACTCCTCGACGAAGTGGCCGGGCGGAGGAAAGCTGGCGTGGGCCACCGTGTCGCTCTCCATTTTGGCCTCGGGTTTGCAGTAGACCCCCTTTCGCGCCCACGGCATGTCCTCTTTGGGCGCGATCGCCCACTGAGGATAGGACAGCTTATTGACGGTCTCGCCCTCGACCTTGGCCTTGGGCCTCGAGTACTGAATGCTGGGCCTGAAGTTGGTCACGGGCTCGACGGGGCCCGGCTTCATGAACGACATGGCGGTGGTGGTGTGCGTCTCGAGGGGCTTGCTCGACGAGCGGATGTGGCCGCACGGCACTATCGGCTCCGTTCTTTTGCAGAATTTCGGCTCGAAGGATATTTTGGTGACAGTTGCCGACTCCACGGGTCCCTCGCCGTCCAGTAATTTTCTCCTTCTCGGCAGAATTGGCTTACGCTTCTCCCCCTTGACCGTTCGGTAGCTCAGCTGCCAAATACCCGGTGTTTGGGCATGAGCGAGACATCGCAATAATTTCACGCAAACGAGTAAATTTTCACGCAGTCGCGAGTACCTTATTCGTCGTGTCGCCCTCCATCTTTTTATCCGAGAGCGAAATGTTGTTGGACCTCACGATCGGCGCCACTACGTCGGTCTGGCACGGCACAAAGCTCTCCCTGTATACCGTGCTCTCGACAAAGTCCACGCCAACTGGAAGCACCCCCGTGTCTCTCGGCAGGATGGGCTGTTCGCGTTTGGCCTTGTTCTCCAGGTAGCTCTTGCCGTAGGTAGTTTCGCCGGGCATCTCGACTTCCGGTGGCCTAAGTTCAAAGCCAACGAGTAGTTTTTGCAGCTTTCTATGAACTTTTAGCGAGAGGAAAAAAGCTCGAAGACGAACGCACTTGTAAACGGGTTTCTCGGCCCATGGGTATTTTTCCTTCTTGGCCGGTTTGCAGGGCGGATAGCTCAAGCGCTGAGTCGTCTCTTTGGCCGTGCTCTCTTTGGGCCTGTCGTAGAGTATCCGTGGCTTGAAGTTCGTCACCGGCTCGACGGGTCCTGGATTTATGTACGACAGCGTCGTCGTCGTTTTACCCTCGAATTGACCCTTGCACGATTTTATACTCCCCGACGGTATTATCATTTTCGTGGGCACGACGAACTTGGGTCCGTAGCTGCTCCGTAGCGTAGTGGTCGTTTCCATTGGGCCTTGCTGAGTCGACAGTCTTGGCGCATAATTTTAGGCGAGGTAAGTACATGAAAAAAGTGGCCAACGAGTCGAGGACTCGAGGGAAATGGTCAAACCTCTGGCGAGGCCTCACGGGCTTCGGCTTGAAAATCCCCGTAACGGGTTTGTAACTAAGCTTGCTCGTCGTGTTGTCGGTGAACTTGTCGTTGACCAGAGTGATATTGTGCACCGGCAGAAAGGGTTGGGCCCGCGAGATGCGCTGCGCCTTGAAATACGACTCGAGGTACGTCGTGTGGCTCTCGAACGGATTCTTCGCCGGCCGGATGTTCTGCTTCGGAGCGAAGGGCTTCGCTCGCGCCGGTTGCACATACTTCCGCGTGCACTGCGAAGGACGCGTATTTACGCACGTGATACAGCTCTCCGATTCCGGTATACGCCCGCGCGCGACAAAATATGATTTTTATCCTCTTACTTTTTTAGCCGGTCGATTTTCTTGATCGCAGGACGGTTGCCGGACCGCCGCCGATTGACAACACTTTCTATTTTGAACTTGCGGCTCGACTACTTCCATCGCGCCCCCTTATCTCGACGAGTTTTCCCTTTAAAGTTGTTTTTTTTTAATGTTACTTCAGTGTCGCATTTCCGACGACTAAGGTGAGTACGTGAACGGTTATATTATTGTTGACCGTACGCGGAAAAAATGACTAACCATAGGTTATAAAGGTTTTTGAACAGAACAACATACAGCCAATAAATATAATAGACTCTTCATTTTGTTAATTAATAAAATTCATATTATACATGTATTTATATCATAGTGTAATTTGAACATAAAATTAAACAAATAAAAAAATGTTCTAACTATTTATCGAATTATTTTGTTCAATTGAATAGAACCAGACAGATAAAGGAATAATTTAACGATATTTACACAGTATAATAAATAAGCATAATATACGTCGTGTGCATGCGACCATTGTTTTAAATCTTAAATTTTTTTTTTACAAAAATTACTGACCGCACTGTTTTTAGTTAACGCAAATTTATAAATTGCGTAATTTAATAACATATAAATAACTCGTTGAGTCCAAAATCTATTTTCGTTACCATTTTCATACAATTGCATGTATTATACATCGTTTTTCACACTTTACAAGTTTTATTTTCATTTCGTTTTGATCTATTTTTTGTACACACGTTACTTCACGAGACTCTTGTAAGTCACAATATAATATAAAAAAAAGAAAAAAACCCCCAGCAATTTAATGGAATGCACATGTAAATGAACTTTCAAGGATTATTTTCGTTTTAAGTAATTTCACCAATTGGCACATAGTCTATAAAACTCTCTTCGTTGCATTACAATAAATATATTCTTAGTTTTGGACTTATAGTAGTCCATACAATCGTTACTATATAGCAAATTTTTTACAGTAAAGTAAAATAGTATAAATCAGCGCTCGTGATTTGCAAAATTTCAATTCATTTTATGTGTTACATTCTTACAAGACATGCGTACAAAGAAGACTGATTCAGTGTAAATAACTATAAGCCTACAATGAACAACTAAAATAATCTTCACGTGACATTTTTTAAGAAAGTTATGAGAAACAACGCGATTCAAATAACTCTGTAATGAGTTGAACGAAGAAAATACATTTCGGTGAATAAAATTTATTTATAGAAACAGTAACGCGAGCACTTGAGACAAAAAAAATGTATAAAATGAAAAAACTACAAGTCCGTGGTGATCGAAGAAAAAACTAATTAACACCAAGAGAAGAAAGGACTCTTGTTTTGGAAGCGCTGTGTAAACGTGTCCGAGAATGAAAATAGCTTCGGTGCTTCGTTTCCTCTGGCCCTGCAAAAACAAAGAGATTTAAAATACAATCAAATTTATGCATTATATAGTGTGCGTGTGTGTGAAGCGTATGTTAGAGAGTTAGATATTAGATAGCATTATGTTGATTGCAAATATTTTTGATGAAATATCAATATTAACTCTTTAAAAAATCTGGTGTTGTTGTTGATAGAAGAGAGAAGTAGATAGTTTAACGTCTTAATTACTTTTCAACGATAACAGCCGGCATTTGGACGAGTTGCACTGGACTCTTGGCATCTTTCAAAGCCTGCTGAAGATTTAATATTTGGCCTCGCATCACACTCATTTGTTTATCAAATAAATGTCGATCAAATCCTTTATCTTGCTGCAAGTTGGATCAAAAATTAGAAAAATAAGTATTGAAGTGAAAATAAACCAAATATAAATTATTCAACATACTTTAAACAATTGATACAAGTCATCGCACAAATCTTGTACAAAATTTTGATCGGCTAATTGAGGTAAAACAAGTTCCCTTGTAGTCTCGCTAAAAGGCAGTTTGGCTTGGCTCAACCAAGCCCAGTGATAAGGATACGCGCGCCATGAGTCTGGGTGCTTGAAGGGAAATGCCAAACCATTATCGATTGCGGCAATTTTCACTTCGCCCTCAGTGCCATTCTTCGCTGAAGCTGCGTCGTATTTTATCAGCCAATTATCGTTACCTGCAACATTTTGCAACACGCATCTCTCTTATATAAGCTTATAATTTATTCACGCACTATGGTATTTCTCATGCACTGGAGTGTTTCGCAATCTTCAATTACATAAAAAACGAATAAATATTTCGCACTTGCGTAATTATTTTGACGATTGAAATTGTCACGCACCTCTATCCGTATTTCTAATAATATAGTCTAAAACGACTAGACGCTCGAATTGTAATTGAAATTGTGTGGCCAGGTGCGGTGGTGGTGGATCACTTTCCCAGCGCCTAAGCCAGAAGTCAGCATCTTTAAAACCATCGACGAAGCACTGGAATGAGCCAACTTTCGGCGGCAGACCTATCCTGTGGAAGCGCGACGCTACAGCTGGAAACTGCTCCAGAATAGCTTGTTTCATTCTAGCTTTCTCGCGGTCTATGCGGACGTAATTGAAAGTTTTACTGACGAGTCTTACGACCCTTGTTTTTGGAACAACACCTAGACCAAGTTTTCGGTCTACAAGACTTGCTCCAGCTTCGCTGAGGTATCCTTGATTTGGTATCAAGCAACTCCGGCCAAAACAACAAGGGCAACATAACTTGTGCATCCATTTGGTCCATTTTGGATTTAAACGGCCATATGGCTCTTCGTCTTTTGGCTTGAATACGCCAATATTTTTCTGTTAAGAAGAAATCAATTACTATCCTTTACGTTCAATTAATTTAATCATTCAATGCAAATAAATTTTAATATATTATGTTAATTATGAAGAGATTCTGATGCACTTTACTGTATGGTGTGAAAAAAGTAACAAAAAAATAACTCAAAAATATTCATACAGTATTAGTTGAGCTGTCAAATTGAGCACAACATGTGAAATTAATTAACTGATGATATTTTTAGTTGTCAAGGTTAGTAGATAAAAATTGTACAAGTAGCACAATGATAAGAGTAAAACTAAATATCACATAATTAAAATATGTACCCCTGCTGGATTTTTAACAAAGTAACTTCCACTAGAGCCTTGGTATATTCTTTCTGGAAATATTCCATTATCTATTGCACCTTCTGCTTGCGATATTAATTCTGAAAATTGTGGATCGTCTGCAAGAAAATATTAAAATGATAAGATTCATACACAAAACATTAAGTCAATTGAAAATACTTGAAATTATTTACCAGGAAACCTATTGTACGTAATATCCAGCTCTAAGCGACCAAGGAGAGGTTGACTCTCCCGGTCTGCTCCAGGTGAATCAATGGTTAATGCTTGATCAACACTAGGGTTAGGAGCAAATTCAACGTCTGGTATTAAAACTACTGGATCACCGTTGGCAAGTATGGCAATGTTACTGCTTGGGGTGACTGACAGGTCAACGAGAGCATCTGTTTCTACAAGAGTAGCTGGTGTTGTACTATTGTTACTGTTATACTCTCGATAAGGCACATGCAGTTGACGCTGTTCCGAATCACTCATCACAGTCTTCTAAATAAATAACTATTGTTCTACACTATATCACACTTGGTACAATTTTTAAGAGTTTTGGTATTGTATTACCATCAAATAAGCCCACAAGGTTTGATGTTTTTCATCTGCAATAAATCAAATATAATTAGATCCAGAATTTTGTATCATTAAACAAAATTGAATGACTGTAATACACTTGCTCAAGAGTTGTCTATAATCAAAATGCAATTGTCATATGAAACTTATAAGTAAATTCTTTAGAAGAATGTCTATATAATAATTTTGTTTGTGTTTGAAACTAAATTTAATCCCTTTACTTGGGTTATTCAACTAAAAAGTAAGCACACAAAAGACATCACTCAAAATATTGATCATTTCTTACTTTTAAATTGGCAGTGAAATTGTTTAAAGATATTCAACAATTGATCAATAATACATATCGTATGTACTCGAGACGAAAAAATAGTACATACTCAACGCACGGACAGTAGTATAGCTGCAACGGCAAGAGATATTACGGAAACCACATACACATACATGGACAAACCTGAGATTGTAATTCGATCGTAAGTTATTCTCGAGATATCCGCACGCAAAACAACATAAAAGAGATGCAAGAACGAGTTGAGTTACTCAATGCATACCACAGCATTTATAAAGCGCGACTCTCTGTCAGTCGTTTACGACGAGCAGATTAGCATATTACCATGGAACTCCGAAGAAAGTCACTCTGCTTATAGGAGCAGCAGCTATCAGACGACAGATAGCAGAGAGCTGCGAAACGCTCACCGAGTCTCGCACAGGAGAATGACATAAGCAGTAATAACGGATAGATCGGTCAAGTTTTTTATTTTTATCACTGCGCGGCTACTCATTGAATGGCATTCGTCGCGTTCAACGATTAACCGAGCACATAGATAAAGCAAAAAAATAATATTACCGAGGAGCTAAAGCAGAACGACGACGACGACGACAACGAGGCGGCGGCCGCGGCCAAGCACCGAAGCCACTCATTGACAGAACGATAAAAACGAATTATGTATACACATCTATTCGAAGCAGCGCGAGAAATTCACGCCGTTCTTGCAAATATTTAACGTCTTGAGGCAAAAACTCGAGAGCTTACCATCATGTCAGTCGTCGTTGTCGCGCGTCTTTGTCGCTGGTGGTGACGCAGACTTGGACACTTGTGTTATCCGCGCGTGCAATTCAACACTGCCATACACAGCAGCAGCACAAAGCAGCATGTGTCGTCAGCCTGCACGCAGCTATATGGCTATGTGCGTGTATATTTACATACATGTACGTTATGCGTGCGTGTGTGTGTATACACAAGAGGCCACAGTGTGTGTTGGACGTTTGGTAGTGGTCGACTCGTATATAGATATAGTCTCTCGAAGTCTCGGAGCTCGCGGTGCAGTGAACAGTCCTCAATGTACTCCGCACTCGCACTCTGTATGGCTTTATAACGCGGTTTATTCGCGTTTATTAGCTATCTGATTACTCGTCGCGCCAACTGTATACGCTACACCTATACGCGCGAGCTTATACTATTTTTATATATAAAAAGCCTACGCCTGATATACTTTTTTATCGATCAGTCTCGGCGCTGCAGCAAATATAAGTGCGCGGCGACTGTATCCGAGCGAGGCGGCCAATGACTAATAACATACGCGTATATAGAATAGTTGCCTATATAACATCGCGCAAGCAATAAGACCTACTTTTTGGCCAGGACAGCTCTCGACGGCATATGTTACGTTGCTGAATTTTGCTTCAACAGATAAACGTAATGATTCGGAGAGAATAGAAACGGAAATGAATGGATAATTTCGATTGCCTTTTAACACGCACGATACATTTTATAATTGAAAGAGCGTGCGTCAAGCCAACGGGTAGACGACAGCTGATCGCTCAGAGCTTGCGCAAAAGCTACTGCAACGAAGCGCGCGCATTTTTGACACAAGCTCCTTTCCGAATTAATGTCTGCTCCGAGCTGTCTTTACAATTTCAACGAACAATTTACGCATTTGATAGGTACTCTTCTGCAAGGAGTCTGGAAATTGAGCTGAACTTTCGATAAATATTTAACAATATTCGCGTTAGTACATCAATACTGAAAATGTATTAGGTATTCAAATAAATTTCCATTCTTCGCTAAAAAATGTATCAATGCTTTGATTCATAGCAAAATTTCTTGAGTTATAAAAAAAAATTATTATTAATATTTGAATCCGCGTGAATGACCTAAGCGAGCAATGTCTTATTGGGTTAAACCTTATCTTTTTTCTACATTGATTATTTATTATTAAAAGAATATTTTTCCCGAAAACAAATTTATTGCTTGTCAAAAGAGCAACTCGAAAAATATGCTCTTCTTTTTTCTTCAAGAAATGGTTAAATGCAAGTAAAATCTATCTACATTAATTCTTTAAAATTCAATCAATAACCTCAAACTATATTTATCTGAAATCACAAAATCTTAATTCATAATTATGTTTCTTAGATAAAATTAGCAGGTTATTTCCAATAAGATTCAAAATGCCTGAAAATGCTGGTTATTGTTAAAGAATAATTCTGTCAATATTACTCTTGTTGCATTTAATGCCAGCGCTCGTGCAAGCTCTTTATATTCAACTGCTCCGAAAATTTGAAATCGAAGATGTGCACTTAAAACTGAAAATTCATGGTCATCTGTTATTGACAAGCTGCACCCTTTTATTAAAATTTGATGCCCAATGAACTCGATCAACATTTGCGACAATCTCTTGTCGATTATAAAACAACATTTAACACCCAACACAAACATATCATAGTAATATTCAATATGTTTGTGTGTTGCAGTATGTAATGCGTACGACATATAAGGTATGAAATCGAGCGTCGATGCTCTTGAATAATACAAGTAACATATACAGTACAGCCGATGTTGCTCGCACTCAACCTTGAGAACTAGTTCGATACACGATTCGCAAACTTGATGCATTGTATAATAATCGGATAGGTGCTATTTTGGCTTGTCACTGGGTGCGCAATAAAATCGCGCTGCGTACGTTGGCCTTTTCTATAGTTTTTTTTTGTTTCGATAAATAGTTGTGAAAAATCGGTCAATAATAAAAACGTATAAAAGTATGAAAATTTGCCGTCCGGTAAGAAGGTAAGTCGTATGTATTCAGCGATGATTAATGCCCCGCTACCTATTGATTCATCGCGCGAGAGAAAATAAGGCGATAACAAAAAAAGGTATAAGCGCGTTGAGGCGCGCGCGAGTTTGGAGCAGCGCAGGAAACAAGTCCGACTCCGATCGCGCTCGCTCGATGCAGCGTTGCAAAATTAAAAGTCAGTCGAATGAGATAAGAACTTTGGGTGTATAAAGACACCACCCACGCGCACGTGTGACAGGCATAATATGCCTATATTATGTGTACCGCGATCGAACGACGCGTCATAGCAAAGTCTGCAACTCTCGAGATGGTATCCCGCCGCGATCTCATGCGCGAGATTTATCTTCCTGAAATGAAGAATCGCCGTTAGGCCTACATCGTTATATACCTATCTACGTTATACCTGTGTGCAACCTTGTAAGGCTGCACTTATAAGTACGTTTATATGTGCGATTCTCGGCGAGATGCGCAAGAGCAAACTTGGCCTTTTCTACTGCAAAGTATAGATCAGGATTATTTGAAAATATAGGTATTCTATGTATATAGTGTGTATGTGTGTCGTCACGCCGTGCGTAGATATTTCCGCGCAAACGTATAAAGCGATACACCACGGCTAGCAGCAGCAGCAGCTTTTAGTGTACCGCAAAGCAGCAGCGCGAATAAGCGCAATGGCCGCCGAAATATAGCTGCGGACTGTCGGTTAGGACGTAGTACTAATAAAGGCGCCAGTTGATCAGGCAAACTATAGCAGAGAAAACGCGCTACTTTATATTACTGACTGTTGCTCGATCGTGCGTGGCCTACAACTGAAGCTCCTGGATAACTCTCGTAACTGTTATACGTTTGTCAAACTAATCTCGTCTCGACTTTACTCAGTGATATAGTTACTTCGTGTTTGTTATTGTTTTTTTGCCAACTCGGCGCTGACTTTGACACTTTCTTTATTATTACTCATTGAGCGGAGCCTGCAGACTTTGCAGTCGAAAAGTGCCACAGTGACAATTACATGAAGTAAGTTCACCCTTTTCATTTTTCCGCGTTCTCGCGTTGATCGATTTTTGTGCAGTTAGCTTTTTGTCAGCCGCACTGCATGTATTGATAAACCAGAACCCGCGCATCGATTTGTCCCTTCACAACGACTTCGCATTTTTCCGACTTTTTTGTCCACGGAACAAAGACAAATAAATATAAGAGCTCCTTGGGTACACTCGTGTACATAACAAACTGATAACTTGGTTTTTTTTGTTACTCCATTGAAGCTTTGCGTTTGTTATTGTTGTCGCTGAGATTGTTTAGTGCAGCGAAACCTAAACTTAGGGTTATCGCGAAGTGGTTCAGATTTAGCTTCACACACTGTGGGTAAGGGAACGAATCGACCAAGATTCCTATATATGTGTAGGACGGCCAAAGAGAAGGAATACATAATACGTATAATAAGCAACTTCTATGTGTTTGTGATCGTTTTTGAATTTTTTTCCGAGAGTGGGAGACTGATATTGTCTTGGCGGACGGTTGTAGGTCCTCTTGCATAAATTACGTATCTTCTCTCGTAACTGGTCACGACTCGTGTTTTTTTTATGTGATTTTTGCCTTTTCTAAAAGTCCTTTCTTTCTGGAATTGCAGATTTTAAAAAATGGAAGAAGACACTGAATTCACCAAATTACCCGTCGAGGATCGTTGCGTGCACAAAGTGAGTTTATTTTTAAGCTACAGATTTATTTAAAATTGTTATATTTATAATAATTAAATGACTAATTTATTTAATTTTGTACTAGTTGTGGAAAGCTCGCTTACATGGCTATGAAGAGTGTGCTAAAAATTTTAGACTAATAGACGATGAAAAGTCACCTGAATGGAACAAATTTCTTGGTCTCGTTAAAAAGTTTGTCTCCGACAGTAATGCTGCTGCTCAAGAAAAGGGATTGGAAGCTGTGCTGGCTTATGTAGAAAATGCAGCTGTTGCTGGAAAGTGAGTGTTGATTTTTTCACTTGTTGACATACAATTTTGTCATCACTGATGGTAAATATTATTTCCGCAGGACAACTAATGATGTTATAAGTGGAATTGTCACAAAGTGTATTGCTGCACCTAAAGCTAAGACTAAAGAACTAGCTGTGCAAATAATTTTAATGTACATTGAGATCGAAAAGCAGGAAGCTGTTCAAGAAGAACTTATTAAAGGAACAGAGGCAAAAAATCCTAAAATTGTCTCAGCCTGTATCTCGACATTGACCCTTGCCTTAAGGTACTTGATAGTTTTTTGAATAATTTTATGTAGTGATCAATCAATTGAATTTAATATTTTTACAGAGAATTCGGACCCAAAGTCATGAATATTAAGCCTTTAATGAAGAAAATTCCTACCCTGCTTGAAGACAGAGATAAAAATGTTCGTGATGAAACTAAAGCTCTAGTTGTAGAAATATATAGGTGGTTAGGTCCTTCATTTAAACAACAACTGAGTAATTTAAAACCGGTCCAGTTAAGTGAATTAGAGACAGAATTTAATAATTTGGGCAATGATAAAGCTGTTCCAAACAGATACCTTAGATCTCAAAAACCAAAAGTTGTTTCAAATACAGAAAGTAATGATTGTGAAGTCGAAGATGGTTGGTATTTATTTTAAATTTATTAATGAAATCTGTATTTACCAAAGCATAAGCTATTTTTTTCATTTCCAGATGATGAAGTTGATGATGACGGTAGTAATCAGCCTGACATTGATCCATATGATCTCATTGATCCAGTTGATATTCTTTCTAAACTACCAAAAGATTTTTATGATAAACTTGAATCTAAGAAATGGCAAGAGCGAAAAGAATCTCTTGAAGCATTGGATACACTGGTCAAAAATCCAAAGTTAGAGAATGGAGATTATGGGGAATGTACTCGGGCCCTAAAAAAAGTAAGATTGCCATTCATTTACACAATAAAATTGATTTTATAAACTTTCTATGCAGATGTTTCATTAACGTATATTTATTTTCAGATTGTGGCTAAAGATTCTAATGTTGTTGTTGTGACCTTGGCAGTTAAATGCATGGCTGGTCTGGCAGGTGGATTGAAGAAACGTTTTCAACCTTATGCATTAACTTGTCTTCCTGCTATTTTAGAAAAATTCAAAGAAAAGAAACAGACTGTTGTAGTAGCTCTCAGAGAATGTGCTGATGCAATATTTTTGAGTGTGAATATTGAACAAATCTCAGAAGATGTCTTGGCTGCTTTAGAAAATAAAAATCCTTCAGTCAAGGCTGAAACTGCTTCATTTTTAGCTCGATGTTTATCAAGAACACCTCCTACAAGTTTAAATAAAAAGTTATTAAAAGCCTACACAGGTCCTTTGCTCAAAACACTAAATGAACCAGATCCTGCAGTTAGAGATAATAGTGCTGATGCTATAGGAACAGCATTGAAATTAGTTGGAGATAAAACTATGTCAGCTTTTCTTGTTGATGTAGACAATCTGAAAATGACAAAAGTAAGAATATCTAATTTAAAAAAATATTTTTCAAGCATCATGACATAACTAATTTTATTATTACCCTATGTTTTAGATCAAAGAAAGTGCTGAGAAAGCAGTGATTCACGTGAAAGTTGCGGCACCTAAAAAAACTCCTGCTACAAGGCCTAATACTGCACCAGCTAAAGTAGAAACAACATCTAAAAATTCTGAAAATGATAGCAAACCAAAAAGGCCTGCTACTGCAGCTCCTAAAAAACAAGCAATCAAAAAGCCGGCATCCGCTGGCTCTAATGCTGCAACAAACAAAAAAGCTCCAGTAAAACTTCAAACTGAGAAAAATTATAGCACTGAAGAAGTTGATGAAATGGCTGCTGAAATGCTTCCAAAAGAAATATTATCAGGATTGGTTGATAGCAACTGGAAAAATCGTTTAGCCGCTGTTGAGCAATTGACAACGGTAATTAATATTTCTTTTATTTATATCAATGTATAAGGTAGTTTTAAGAACTTAGAAAGTTATGTTTAATATTTTTTAGCATGTCAAGCAAATGGACGATGTACCCACACAAATAATTGTCAGGGTTTTAGGCAAGAAACCAGGTTTTAAAGACACAAATTTCCAAGTTCTAAAGCTGCGCATAGAACTTGTTAAAATGCTAGCTGAGAATTACAAATTCACTAGGTAATTCGAATTAATATTAAACGATGTAGAAAGATAAATGTTACATTTAAAAGAATTAAGTAAATTTTGCTATTTTACAGCACGGTTTGTGAATATTGTCTAACCGATATTACTGAAAAGTTAGGAGATGTTAAGAATACAACTACTGCATCTGAAACTTTGACTGCTATTGCAGAGGTCATAAGTTTCGAGTATGTAGCAAATGAAGTTATGACTTTTGCTTTTAATCAGAAAAATCCAAAAGTTCAACAAGAAACTCTACTTTGGATATCAAAATCTTTAACAGAATTTGGTTTCACGTAAGTGCTCTGGTTATTGTTTAGTACACTGCTTATTTTTAACGTGATTTTTTATATTTTAGGTTGAACGCTAAATCTTTGATAGAAAATGTAAAGAAGGCGATTGCAGCAACAAATCCTGGAATTCGAACAGCTGCTATTTCATTAGTGGGTACTATGTACATGTTTATGGGAAAGCCATTGCTTACATTCTTTGAAAATGAAAAGCCAGCTCTAAAACAGCAAATTGAACAAGAATGTGAGAAGGTATTTAATCTTCATTTAATTATTCATAATAACTTACTTTTAAAAAAACAAAAATTACTTTCCAAAATTTGTGCATAGTTTGAAGGAGAAGTGCCTCCTGCGCCGATTCGTAAAGCAAAATCAAAAAAAAGTGCTAAACAAGGGCAGGGAGATGAAGAAATTGAGGAAGATGTAGAAGAAAATTCGGCACCTGCAATTGATTTGAGTGAAATGATTCCGAGAGTTGACATTAGTAATCAGTTAACAGAAGCTCTAATTAACGAATTGTCTGATAAAAATTGGAAAGTCCGAAACGAAGCTGTTCAAAAAATTAGTAACATTGTTACTGAAGCCAAGTTGATTAAAGGGTCTCTCGGAGATTTACCCTTAGCATTAGCTCAACGATTATCCGACAGCAATATTAAGATCGCACAGGCAACTTTAGGTCTTTGTGAAACTTTAGCAACGGCTATGGGACCACCAATTAAACAATATATTCGTGCCCTTTTTCCCGGTTTTCTTCAAAGTCTTGGTGATTCGAAAGTATGTACTAATTATTTTTATCTATCAAAAATATGAACATGGTCTGAAAAAAAAATTTTTTTTAGGCGTGGATGCGCACTGCAGCTATATCGTGCATAAATTGTTGGGGAGATCAATGCGGCTACAAAGAATTTTTTGACGGTGAAATGATAGGAGATGCATTGAAATCTGGTTCTCCAATTATGCGGAATGAAATGTGGATATGGTTATCCGAAAAATTGGGCGGAAGTAAGATTTATTTCTTCATTTATAACTAAAACTTTTGTTATCATAAATACCCAATTGTTATAATACTAAATGCATTTTTACAGTTCCTCCAAAACAGATTCCAAAAGAAGAACTCATGGTTTGTATACCAGTTCTCTATAACAACTTGGAAGACCGAAATTCTGATGTTAGAAAAAATGCACAAGAAGCTGTATTAGGGTTTATGCTTCATTTATCTTATGAATCGATGGTGAGACAAACGGAAAAATTAAAGGTAATTATATTTTCACATAGAGTAACTGTGAGAAAACTAAACATTCCATGTAACTCGATATCCTGTTTTTAAGCCTGGATCTAAAAATGCTGTGATTGGAGTATTGGATAAAGTACGTCCAAATCTTCCGGTCAAGCCTTTACCAACTAAAAAAGCTCCACCTGCTGACGATGGAAGCTCCAAAACAGTTAAAAGTGGAGGAGCATTGCAGAAAGCTTCAAAAGCTGGAATCAAGACAAAAGTAAAATTAAAAAATTCAAAACATTTTGAAAATGTTTTAACTTTTACTGATTAATTTACAATTTTTTGTAGGGTGCCAATGCTGCAAGTAAACCTACGAGTGCTCGGAAGAAAGACGACGATGTTGATACAAGTCCCCTACTCGCTGTAAATAACATGAAACATCAGCGATCTATTGACGAGCAAAAGTTGAAAATTCTCAAATGGAACTTTACAACGCCCAGAGAGGAATTCGTCGATTTGCTGAAAGATTTGATGTCCACGGCAAATGTTAATAAAACTTTGATGGCAAATATGTTCCATGCTGATTTTCGTTATCATCTTAAAGCCATCGAATCTTTGACTGAGGTAAATCAAAGAACTATTATTTTTTTCATTTTTAAATTTATTAATACATTTTTTTCGAATAGGATTTACCAACCAACAGCAAAGCATTAGTATCGAATTTGGATTTAATATTGAAATGGCTTACCCTAAGATTCTTTGATACCAATCCTTCTGTATTGTTAAAGGGATTAGAATATCTTCAAACAGTCTTTAACTTTTTGATTGAAGACCAATATCATATGTTGGAAAATGAAGCATCATCATTTATTCCTTATTTAATAATTAAAGTAAGCATAATAGCTTAGATCTATTGTATTATTTTATAATGAAATTTAACTTATTTTCTTATTTTTCGTTCAGATCGGAGATCCAAAAGATGCGGTTCGAAACGGAGTCAAAGCCTTATTCAAACAAATAGCTATGGTGTACCCAGTTAGTAAACTCTTTTCATATGTAATGGAAGGTTTGAAATCTAAAAATGCTAGACAAAGAACGGAATGTTTGGATCAATTAGGAGTACTCATAGAAAGCTATGGTGTATCCGTTTGTCAACCTTCTCCTGCGGCTGCTTTGAAAGAAGTCGCTAAACAGATTGCTGATCGTGATAACTCGGTTAGAAATGCAGCTTTAAACTGTATAGTTCAAGCTTATTTTTTGGAAGGTGAACGAGTTTATAAACTTGTAGGACAAGTACGTTGAATTTTATATTCCTTCTATGATTGTGGAAGAATTTTTTTAAATAGTTTTAATTTGCGCAGATTTCAGAGAAAGATCAATCTTTACTTGATGAACGTATTAAGAGAGCGGCCAAAAATAGGCCTGCTAAACCAGCACCTACGGTTAAAGCTAAAGCTGCTACTCAAGCTTCTATACCCACAAACATGAAGGAAGTGGATGAGCCTAATTACGACGACGATGAGCCAGAAGAGGAAGAAGAGGAAGAAAAAATGGAAGAAGAAAATGACGAGTGAGTCTTTTTAACAATAATATGTAATAGATTTTCGCCATTAAGATGAGAAGAAATTTTTATTTTTCGTGGTTTCTATATTATTTTTTTAAAATATTTTTACACTTCATCGGATGTTTAGGAACAAAAAAACTCCAATCCAGGTAGAAGACGGCAAATATCTAGAATCAACATTTGTTTGCAACAAGGGTACCGAGTACGAAAGTGCCAAGTTGAAAGAGGATACTAGTTCTCATGAAAAACAATCAAAAATTTCGTCTTTAGATAAAATCAAGTCAAATAATGCAGTGTTCGTTTATTTCTTTTTGTTTTGATTGTTATTATTATAAAATGAGTTTTTATGTTTTCCATAATGGTGGTGGACATTGTTTTTCAGTATATCACTAGGTTTTGATTGTATTTTTTCGAAAACGTCGTAAAATATCATTTTGCTCGGTAGATTAGCTAGTACGAAAATTTGTTTTTGTTTTGTTATTCTAATTGACAAAAAACTGCAATACATGTATAAAGAAAGTACACTTTTTTAATAGAATAGAGTGCTCTATATTGTTCTTATGTTTAAATATAAGTTAAGGTAGAAGTAGAAAATAAAAATAGTAGTAAATTGTAAGATACACAAGGAAAGCAGATTAGTATTGAATGAATAAGCGAACTGTAAACATCGCAGAAAACATAAGAAAAGTTAACATAAGAACAGTACAGAGATATTCTATTAAAGAAAGTATACTTTCTACTTGAAAGTGTACTTATACATATTAATTAATTTTCTTTAGCAATGTCCCGGTGCCGCAAGTTAAGCCGCAACCAATAAAAGTACAGCCAAAGGTATCGGGACCATTTGGATTGGACATGGAGTTATTACACAAAATTGAATCAAGTGCTCCAGTTCGATGTCGAGTTCCTAAGTTAATAGAGCCGAATTTGGATATGGGCGAATCTGTTGAGTTGTTGAATTCTGCTCAGCCAAGGCAGTAAGTATCGATAATGTTTGTTTGATAATGATGTGACTTTTGACTTATTTAAATTTAAAAATTTTAGAATTATCCCAATATCGCCTCCAAAGCTTTTGCAACCTAATTCAGTTGATAATATTTCTCCTTCATTAAATATGAATAAAGAAGATAATTTAGACCGTACTATTCTTGGGATGGCTAGCTTAGATCTTTCAGTAGCAATTATGTCAATGAACGCCATGGAAACAGTAAGTAAAATTTTTTAGAAGGAATATTTGTGGCAGAAATAACTCATATTGTTATTTTTGCATACGCGAAAACAATATTTCAATGAACATGGATAAGTTATTTTATCCGTCAAATAGCCACACTTTTTCTCTTAGTTGGATCGAACATATATATCGATCCCTTAATTTTCCTGTATTTAATATAAATTATTTTAAAATTTGTAGTATTTAAAATCACACCACGTGACGATGTTGCAAAGTAAAGAAGACAAGTTTATTAATTCAGTAAACATGCAACTGAAGCTTTTGCAAACTTACCCATTGCACCATGGAAATTCCCAAGTATCAAAAGGTTTTAGAAATACATTTATGCTAATCCTCACTTTTTACGACACTGGTATACTTGGTAAAAACGTTTCAACACAAAATTTGAAAGACCTAGTGGATCAACTTATTGGATTTTTAGCCGAGAATAAACTTGAACGTATGAGTGATTCTGAGGCTTATGTGAGAGTCATAAATAATATAGTTCTAAAGATTATTGATAATTCGGACCATACCACGATCATATGGTAAATAAAAAATGATGTTTATGTATTGAAATTGAAAATTTATTTTAAAATGAATTACTGTTAATTAACATTTCAATACTTTTTAGTGTACTAATAAAATTATTGCACGAGCGCGCCGACTCCAAGGGTCCCATTAAGTACGAGGATTTGATTATGAAGTGCCTATGGAAAACTGTCAAAACTATACCTAATTGGGCTGGTGACTTGGATTATGATGCTATTCTTTTGGAGGCGCACAACTTCTTTAAAGTAAATTGAATACACAAAAAGCTTAATATTTTGCAGAACATGTCATAAATTTCTTGAATTCAATTTTAGGATTATCCAACCTCCTGGTGGAAAAAGCAAAAGAAGCCTGATACATCGATGCGCACTATAAAAACAGTATTACACAGTATGACTCAAGTTAAAGGCAGCACTATACTTTGTCATCTTACTCAAATTAATAATACAAATGAATCTGAACTTCGAGTTTACTTAATGAGGCTTATATCGGTTTGTATTCCTAACATACATTCTACAACAATTTAAAAGATTATTTATGTTGACCCATGCATTTTTTAACTCTTAAAGACGTTTAAACCGGATGATGTCACCAAAAAAGGAATATCTAAATCAAGCAACAATCAAATTCAAAATCAAAATCTTTCCGTGCAGCAGCAACTGTCGGAAATATTCAAGAAAATTGGATCTGAACAACATAAACGAGAAGTAAGTCACATTTAAAGTGTTTAAATAAATTCACAAATCTTTTTATGCTACATTTTTAAAATATAACAATAAATATTCTGTTTTAGGGAATTGCTCAGCTGTATGACTTCAAACTTCGTCATCCGGAAGCCGACGTTAAACCGTATTTAGAAAAATCACATCAGTATTTTCAAGACTACGTAGAACAAGGGCTGAAAGAAATAGATAGAACTCGAAAAAATCAAAATCTCATGACTGATCAAGCTAACAATCGTACAGGTATAAAGAAATGACAAATAATGATATGAGTGATAAATAAGCAACCACTAGTAACTGTTCTCCGTTTTATAGGTAATTATCGTTTAGGAAGTACCACTGAAGGGGGAAAGAGTGTCCTAGAAGCTTCAACCTTGCAGAGACTGGAAAGACTGAGAGCTCTGGAAGCTCAGTGTCAGAACCGATCGTGAATGAAGAAGTAAATTTATAATTATTTAGGGACGCGTTTTCATTGAATACAATTCTAATATCAGCCAATCACAGATCTGATCGTAAGTTAATGGGATTATTTATCCTTTTAAATTTTAAATGCAAAATAAAAAACTATAATAGTTGTGTATAGTCGATGTCATTATTATAAATTATGACGTTTGTATGTCCTTTGTTATGAAATCCATGATTGTATTTTTAAAGCAAAATATTCGAGCATATAAGAGTTCATGTAATCGAGCTTAAGAGTTTTTTGCCAGATTGAATTCTAGCATATTTTTTCATCCAGTTGACAGTTATTAAATTAGATTTATAACTAGGTTTTATTATTAAAATTTATTCGTAATTATTGCTAGAATTGATATGTATAGTTTGGGAATAATTTATTGATACTTGTGTCTAATTTTTTGTTAATTGTGAACAAGAATAATAATATAAGTCTCCTTTATATACTTTTTTTGTAGCATTTTAAGATGGAGAACATGAACATTTTAACCATCTTAAAATGTAGTATTTACAATATATTATGATTTTTTAATAAAAAAAGTTAGAATGCAATATAAATGAATCCTAATTGTTATTTACTTTAATATTTTCTCATAATCAAATAATGTACATGTAATAAAACGAGGTTTACGTCTCAGCTTCAAGAAGATGGATGATGAACAGTTCTTTCAAAACGGCCCGTAATAACAAAAATCATTTATGTATTACCATCATAACAATCTATAATACATGAAATTCTCATTTTCTACTTTTTAAAATATCAACGATATTAAGTATAGCTTGTTTACTAAGACAAAATTTCACATTAACGATACAAATGATCTGCATGTAAATTAGAAGCAATTTCAGATTCCCACTTATCTCCATTGTTCAATAATTTTTCCTTATTATACAACATTTCTTCGTGTGTTTCTGTAGAGAACTCGAAATTGGGACCCTAAAATAAAAATTATTGTAACAAGAGCGTATAAATATTATGTTTATAAATATATTGTTAAATGTTTTACCTCAACTATAGCATCAACGGGACAAGCTTCTTGACAAAAACCACAGTAAATACACTTGGTCATGTCAATATCATAACGCGTTGTACGTCTTGAACCATCTGATCTTTCTTCAGCCTCAATTGTAATGGCTTGAGCGGGGCAAATAGCTTCACAGAGTTTGCAAGCAATACACCTTTCCTCGCCTGATGGGTACCTAAAGAAATTGATTATATAAGATATAATTTATTCATTTTAATTTTTCTATGACACTTGGTATGCTTGATATTAATAAAATAAGTAAATTTTGATCACCTTCTAAGAGCATGTTCTCCTCTAAACCTAGGACTTAAAGGTCCTTTTTCAAATGGATAATTAATAGTTGCTGGTTCTCTAAAATAATAAGAAAGTGTAACTCCTAAGCCTCGAATCAGTTCTTGGAAAAACAAAGAAGTAACAGCTCGCTCCCTTATATCCTGCCAAGATAATTCATCTTGAGTTTTTTGGGGATTAACCACATAGTATTTACTACGAGAAGAGACGGCCAATATTTTAGGAGCTATGCTCTTGAGTTTGGCAACTGAAACATTTTAAGTCAGTTAATGTTTTGTGTTTACATAACGATAAACGATCGAAAAAGCCAGTGATAAGAAGATGCCATGAAAATGAAGAACACAATGGAATTTAATTTATCATATGAAAAATAAATATTCGTAAAACTTTGGTTAATATGCAAAGCTTTTCGCGAATCGTACAATAATGCAATAACTAAAATAGGTTATGATTACTCAATATTAGCAATCGAATATCGCACATTCTTATCACTTTAACAAATCACATAATTTATAATGTATAAAAATACATTACATCTTGATGGTAGCATCAAAGACATGATGATTTAGACGAGTTACTCCGAAAAAATGTATCCAAAACAGATCCTTCGAAGACCGTGCTTCGGAAATTCAGAACGAAAGCAGACTGTTTCTGACTGCCTGTGAATTGTTCCTTCGCGCAATAAAGAGGGGAGAGAGCCCGCAGTAACGACAAGCAGACGACGTTTGCTCTGCAACTGACAGCGTCACTTGAGTGGCAGATGTTAGTGACAACACCACTACAATAATGAAAACATCAATCGAACTTCATGCTCATAAGTAGTTCTATACAAAAAATTGTTGTTCAAAAAGCTGAACTTTTTGGTAAATAATTATAAACTATTACTTTGTAATCGATCTTCGAGAATAAATATAATTCTATCTAATTTGCTCCTTGGAGAATTACTCAACGAATTTCTGATATTCTCAGTGGGCACTACTAATCTCGTAAATTCAATCGTAAGAAGTAATGAAGTTTCCTTGAAAGTTGACCTGAAAAAAGCAGAAAAATCAGGTATTGCGAAGAAGATCAAATTATAAGGTAGCCAACTGTCGACTATCACAGGTGCTTCATGTTACTTCAATTCCCGCCAACGTCATATAGACGAGAATTGATCGTTGATATTTTGGCGGCTTGTCGAGCTTCCCCTGTTTTTGCTACTGCGTTTGTGCTCGATCCTCCTTGTGATGCGTCGTATTTTTGGGTTTCAAGTGCATCTATTAGAGCGAAATTCATTGGATCAAGTATTGAGAAATGGTTCTTAAGATTGTGGAGTTGACGGCAGTTCTAGAAAGAGAGTAACATTGAAAAAGTAAGAAAGTAATTTTGATAACAATGAACGAAACAGTGGAACAATTGATGGTGAGCAAAGACGCTCAAGAACGATGCAGCAAGTGGATAGATCAAATCGATCCTCTTCTATTGGTGACTAACAATTCCAAACATAAACTTGAAGACGACGGTGAATCGATTGTTGAGACGGACTCGGAGTTCGATTCTGTGTCAGAATGTGGGGCCAAGAGACGCAAAATTGCCGTTAAATTGAAAGCTGAGACTCTCAATTTGTCTTGCCAATGGCGTGATTGTACTTTTAGTGAAAAGTCTTTAGATAATTTTATCAAACATGTTTCCTATCATATCCCAGAAGTGGAATACAAAGAAATTTCTGATGATATTGGGAATTATTGTTGTTTGTGGGATGGTTGTGAATATCAGTGTGATGAAGATGTTCAAATCATGAGGCATGTGAATTATCATGCTTTTCATACTAAGATCAAAAGTTTAGGAACCAATATCAGGGGGAGAATAAAATTACCTGTAAGCATATTAATCTTGACATGATACACAAACAATTTTATAAACTTTAATTTACTCCTAATGCTATTTACTTTATTCACAGAAATGTAGAAGAGATGCTGATTGGAAAAATATCATTGAGTCATTACCTGATCATAAGTGTCAGTGGCATTCATGCACTGCAAAAGATTTCACTAATTATAATTATTTTCTCTATCATGTTCAAAGTCATGCTGAAAATAATCCTAGGGGCAACAAAATAGCTGGTGGAATAAAATGTTTGTGGGAATCATGTAAATGTTCTTTTCCAAGTTTATATAAATTAAAAGAACATCTCAGAACTCATACGAAGGAAAGAATTGTTGCCTGTCCAGATTGTGGTACAATGTTTGCTTCAAATTCTAAATTTCATGAACATTGCAAAAGGCAAATTCCTTTAGAAGGTAAAACATGCATTTTTTTAAATTAAATTTTAGTTATATGCATAAAAAATCTTAATTATGTTTCGTTTTTTAGTTCAAGGCTTTCAATGCTCCCACTGCAATAAGTATTATCCTACTGAAAATATTTTAAGAGAACATATGAGGAATCACATATTCCACTACAAATGTAGCATGTGTGATATGACTTGTGAATCTCCTTCAGGATTAGCAAAACATGTTTTGTACAGGCATACTGAAGAAAGAAACTTTCCTTGCAGTGTATGTTCTCATAGAGCTAAGTCACAACAAGATTTAGATAGTCACATGAATTTACATGGTCCTAGTTCTAATTTTACTTGTACATATGAAGGATGTTCTTATGCTTGTAAAAATGCATATACTCTAGATAGGTTTGTGTTTGTTTACAATCATTCAAGTTTGTAAAAATAGATATTTTTAAAATAAAATGTTTTAATTTTGTAACGTTTTTTCAGGCACATTGAAAAAGTTCACAGATTAGAAATAAGATGGTACTGTTGTCATGAGTGTCCCATTAAGTATAGAAAAAGTTACAGACTTACTAGACATCTTATTGAAGATCATCATTTACAATGGCTAAGTGGACATAAGAGATTTCAATATATACTTGAAGATGATGGTTGTTATAGATTACAAACAGTAAGGTATGAGAGTATTGATGAAAATAATACTACTGCTAAAGATAATCCACCAGCTAAAGCAGATGTGGATAAAGAAACTGTTGCAAATCAAGAGGTAAATTTCATTGTAGGCAATCATAATCATTCAAATTTTTATTATAAGCTAAAAATTCTGAATAAATTTTTTAGGTTTATCAAGTTGTTATTGAAAACACTGATTATTCTAAATCCATGCCAAATATTGTTATATCTATTGGCGAAATTGATGAACATGGAAATATAATTGAAAATAAATATATTGAAACTCAAGAAACCACTGAACTACCACCTTCTGCTGGACCTCCTATAATATTAACATAATAATTCAAAGAGGTTTGTAGATGGAAGAAAATTTTTTTTATTCTGTTTGGAAATTCGAAAAATACATTTTGTATTTTTATATTTTATAACATTTGTTGTACAACAACATATTTGGTTACACAGTAATGAAAAAAATTACTGTAACTATTGAATTTTAAATTAAATTTTAACATAGTGAGATAAAAGACTTATATCAATGTTAGAACAAACTTTTAAACCCATGATCAAGAGAAATATACAAAATTACAATGCACATTTTGTGAAGAATTTTTTGCCCTAATTCCATTTACATTCATTATAAGTCTATTCATAAAAAATTTAAAAGTCATAATTTTATTATTCCTACATTAAACATTTGTTTACATACACTGAAAGTAACAAACCTTAATCTACTTACAGTTATACAATATCTATTAAAGTCATTCACTTTACAGCTTTAAACATTATCGCAATAAATGAAATATCAACAAATTGATGAGAAAGCACATGTATCCTAAGCAAAGAATACACAATATTTTGTGTAAACTTTTTAGGTACTCAAAGTCTATAATAAAATAAAAACCTCATCTTTTATGATCTAATTCACTTTCGTTTTTTTCCTTTTGTTCTGCCTCGTCTTCTTTTTGGCGCCGTTGTTGTGCGACTCGAGTCGGATGCTGCTGCTCTTTTAGCAGTTCTAAAATCAATAATTAAAATATATTAGTGTAACGATAAATTACAAAAATAAAACATAGAAAATTTTAAAGTAAGTGATTTTTACCTTGACACTCTGTTAACATTTACAGTGGGTTGTTTTTTAAGTTGTAGATTTTGTTGAACTAGTTCTGCAAGTTTACCTTGTTGAGCTAACATAGACAAAAATGTACAGATAAATTCATCATAGTTGTGGGTTCTTCTGCAATCATCCACCTGAAATTTTATTTTGAATTATAGTATAGAAACCTTCAATATTGCAGTAATTGTTTAGAAATACATTTCTACCTTGTACTTTTCACGCTTATCATTTTCGTCTTTTAAAGCTATTTCACAAACGCCAATCTCATTTTCTAAATTCTTTAAGAGAGCTAATAAATCTTTAGGAGTGAAAGTATGTGGTTCCATAAGTTCTGAATCTTTTACAGTAAGTTCAGAGTCTATTTTTGCAGTTTTTTTTTCTTCTGTAAGAACTTCGCCATTAGTTGTTTTCACTGGAGTTTGTGGAATTTTGACTTCTCCAGATAGACAAATTTTCTTATTTACTGATGTATTTTCGGGAGGAATTCTTTTTCCATTTATGTTGATGTTGCTTAAAGAATGTGCTGTAAATATAGTGAATACATTAGTTTTCAACATAAATGAATTATCAAAATATAATCGTAAATATTACATACTTATTCCATTCTCTGTCTTATCATCTAATGCCATTTTGATCACAACAAATTTCTTAAAATCTTTTATTGCAGTTGGACTAAGATTCCCTACAATTTAAAATGAAAAATAGGTAATTTTTTTATTCTAAAATAAAAATTTAGTACAATAGTACAACAATGATTTTCTTACTTTGAGAAGGTGAATTGAAAGCAGAACCTATTTCAGATGAAGTTTCAGTACTAGATGTACTATTTGGGGATGGCGATGTTTGAATCTGCAGAGGCATCGCATAGTCTAGTTCACAGACATTCACAAACTTTTCAGGATTGCTAGTGCTAAAAAATAATATTCATGAGTACAAACTTTTCTCTTCATCATAATTCATCAAAAGCTTATTTACCTTGTAGAAGGCTTTGCATTAGAACTTGAAGCTTCTGTAGTTGACTGGGGGCACTGTTCTTTACTAATAATAGGGATAGAATTTGTACCATCAATTTCCATTTTTACTACATCATCACTATTTTCATCTTCAGTCTTTTCTTTTTTTTCATTTGATTTTTCTGACTTTCCAATGTCAGCATTACTATTACTATTATTCATACTACTAGCACTATTCTTATTACTATAATTTTCTGTACTGTTTTGATTAGTCAATTTCATGAGTTGTTGCAGAGCTTCTAAAACTATTTGACGATTAGTTTTTAACATTGTTAATTTGTGAGTTATTGCAATTCTTCGATCTGGTACAACAGCCATCAAATTAAATCTAATGTCTTGGGCTTGCTCGCCATTTGAAATACCTAAACGTTCAGTTATAACCCTTTTAAATTTATCTGTCCACTCTTCATCTTCAGACCATAGACCGTGATCAACTGGATATGGTTTAAGACCATCTAACTCAAATAATCTTCCATTTATTGGTACGTAACTAACAAAGTGGAAAGTTTCACCAGTAGATCTTGCAGATGAGACAGTTGTAACATTTTTATCAGGTGGACGTCTTCTTGCTTGAGGCATTGCATGAGAATTATGAGCACAAGCTATTTCTGGTGTGTTTCCGATGGCCCAGCCTTTATTTTCCGGATTCATACCAGCTGTGTGTTCTTTTAACCGCGTCAACACTTCACCTAATTGAATACTTGAACAATTAAGTAAAACTGACAGTAGCGCATGTGTTGCACAACTGTTAGGCACAACCTATAAAACATAAATATTAGGATAATTATGAGCTAAGAAAATATTTGATGTTAATTTTTGTAGTAATTGATTAATTCAAACCTGTTGTGCAAAAAACATATTGTTGACCGTCTCTTCATCTTTACAAAATGTTTCATCTTCCTCGACAACCTTACGCCTTGATCTTCTCTCTTCTATCCATCTGAATAAGAAGATGAAACCATAAACAGGCCCTTCGAGTGATTTTTGCACGTCATAGATTTCCTCAACTTGCACTCCTTGAGTACCAAAGTCCTCGAGGAGCAGTGTAAACAGGCCTGCAATTGTCAAAAAGTGAGCATTGAAATGCAGGTAGTGGTTGTTGTTGTTGTTGTTGTTGGAAAAGGACTGGACGGACTTTGACAGAGGTTTGTCGATAAAGCGAGGTAAAAAATTGCCAACGAACCTGGATCACTCTCGAGTTCCAGCCAACCATCGGTGAGCCGATTGATGTCAACGGGCATTTTCGTAGCATTATTCCTTCATATCTGTTGTGACGCGAGCAGCGAGCATAGGAGGTTCGGTGTACATTATCTCGGCTCGCGCGACTCTGCGAGACTTTTCGCTAATGTTTTTCTCCTTGTTGAGGCTGCCATACCATATCACGCATCGGCAAAAGTGTCAGCTGGGCGCCGCGCGATGCCATTTATGCACAAACACTATTTATTTCCACTTTTCAATCGTACGTATACACACAGCAGCTCGCACTCCTGCGATTACACAGGCTGCTATACATACTTACAACATAGGGCATATATATACACATTACTCGTCGTATATCAGCAGAGAGAATCAGCGACAAACATACTATGCGAATACGCCTTAACACTTCTTAGGTAGTACACTGCGTGAATGCTGCGATCGAGCAAACGTGCTGCAGTATAGGTGTATATATCGTTGTGTGCACTATATAGGTGCAGACTATAGGTCTGCTGCTTTACGCACACGGAGTACTCGGGACGGGCCAGGCATAGTCCAAAATGCAGTCACCGTGACGCGAACGTCTGGGCCGCCGCACACGTGTTGTTATGATTATCGCGCATTACGTGTGACGTGACAGTCACTGGCGCGGCCCGAGTCGAGTCGATTATAAATGTATGTAAGGGACCGCGAATACGTATAGATTGAGGCAGCTATTGACACACGCGAATTCCGCTTCGTGCCCAACTTTCGTTATGTAAATTATCTGCCAGAGTAATACTCGTCATTCGTACATTTCATAACTCGCACGCGCAAGATTGCGCAATCGAAAGAAATTGCCTATAAAGCTGTGACGCGAGATCTGCTGGGCTACGGAAGACATTCACCTATATGCGCGAGCGGCGATTCGCGAAAATAATATAAGCTCGACTTGAACTTTACGCGTCATTTGGGCTCGCTCGGCGCGCGTATAAGGCTTTCTTGCAATAATTTGTCGCTCGTCTGCGTGCGTGGATCAGCGATCGATTCTACGGACATTTAGTCGACTACTGCTTCGAGGCGTAAAAGCGTTAAAATTGCGAATTTGATGGGTGCAAGTCGGGGAACAATTACCTTGAAGCATCCCGAATATCTGCACCTGCGAGTTACACCGCAGCCGAAAAAAAATGCACTCGAGGCTCGAGTTGTTGTTACGCGCACGACGTGCACCTGTCTCATTGCGATCGCCAATCTGCAGGAGACTTGTCCACAGTTAGGGCGGCAAGGGCGGCTAATTTCAGCGTCAGTTAGATCTTTATCTCGAGCGCAGGACCCTCCGTGCGTAATAAGGGTCGATATGCCCGCAGATAAAGAAAAAACTTCCCAACTGCAACGCGCACCGCTCCGCACAATTCGTGGCCCATAAATTACTGCAACGGACTTTTTGGAAATAATGCGCGTACGTGCTCATACGCTTGCATAAGTATAAATTCAATGCACGCGACGCTTTGGACTTTTTTGTTGTTTTTTTTTTCAAATTCATCAATCATCGGTTGAATGCGTTATTGGCTAACGATAATATATACACGCGCTACCTGTTATCGACAAATTCATATGATTTTTGTACAGGATCGATTTTCGATCAAGATCGGCGCGCGATCGAGTGGCTCGACGATTGACGTCAATGGCAGTGGCACGATCAAATCACAATGGAGCTCCGAATCTTCATACAAGTGCTGCTTCTCCGTAATCTTGACTGAAAAATACATATGTGTGTGTATGTGTGCGTGCATGAACCGAGAAACACGGCTGTGTATTTATAGGTGCAAGCCGCGATCGTTATCGGGCACGCGCTCGCGCGCACCTGACGTATAACAGGCGCACGATCCGATAGTTTTCGCAAGAACCTTATCGATTTATCTCGCAGTTGACAAAAATTAATATTGCACCTCGAGCATTGCGGAGTGCAGCACGCGATCCAAGTTCTTTTTGAACGAAACAGCCAACGAAAATTGCAAACACCGCATTTTCTATCAATAGATGCCGAAGAGAGTAATAATTCTCTTAAGGCGAATAAGTATAAAGCTGGTCGCGGTGCATCGATACGCGGTACGTCGCTGCGGTATCGAGCGAAAGCGAACGCCGCGTGTCGAATTACCGCAGACGAAAGTTGCGACGGTATATATTAAAATGCACACGTTGTACGGGGTGTGTTGCACCCGCACACGTGTATGAGAAACGAATACGCATGAGGCAGCTCTAATTACGTAACGATTCGCCTGCATCTATGCATAGACACGACTCGACGTAAACGTGTTCGCGTGCGGTTACGTTTTCGAAATAATTCGCGCGCGCGCTCAGTTATTGTTATTATTTTTCCAAGTGTTCATACCACTGTTACTAAATATCATCATATATACACGCGCCTGACGGTACAGCGCCAGTTCCGAATGTAATCGTATTTGAGTTAGGCCGTTAATTGATACGAGATCGCCGCGCGGACAGCCCGCAGCATCGAGTGCTTGAACTGCAGTAGACTTTGCGCGTGTAATTGATAAGACAGCTACACAAACATCCTCGCGCAGCTCAGTTATTTGTACATCATGGCTCCAGCCTCATATAAGATAGAAGTGTATCTCGCTAGAGACACATAATATATAATGTACTCATTTTGCACTGAACGTGCACTCGTGTAAACATCATCATCATCATGATGCTCGGCGCTCGTTAGACGATCAGCGGCTAACTGTCATCTAATCGTCAACAGTCGAGTTCGAACTAGCGTCGCGCGCGCATATCGTCGTCGCGCGCCCTGTCAGTGGCTGCAGCGGCCACAACAACAACCAGCCGTACGTCCAATTATTACTCTCCTCCTCTTATCTCGCAGCTCGGTCAACATCATTTTATAGCTCTTAAATTTTTCCTTTTCCTTCATTTTCATTTTGTTAATATTACAATGCGCCTTGTTAATGGTCGCAGACATGGACGGGCGCAATGTTGCTAACAATTTCGACCACGACGACAATACGGACGCCAGCTCATCGGCCGATGCTTATCAACGTTTCAACGACAACTGGCCCTCGAGGAGAATCGATGCGCCTGCAGCGGCCTGCACCAGCAGCAGCAGCAGTAGCTCCAGTGAGTTTGACAGCTATCCACCTTCTCTCCGCGTATGAACCTGTATACCAGTTTCTCTTTTACATCGTATACCTACCTATATCATCTACTCATATGATTATGCGCGCTGCTTGTTGTCTGCTGCTAGACTTCCTCCTGCTGAACGTTTTAATGTGTAATACTTAGCTGCACCTTCTCGATTCGAGCTGATGCTTTAATTTCTGCTGTGCAGATCTCATTGTGAATAATAAGTAGTGCGCCGTGCTGCTGTTTATAAACCACCTGCGATGACTGCCTATTACGTCTTAGGCTCGAGTGGGAGAGACGATAATCTCATCGAGATTTGAGGATAAAAAATTAAATATAGGTATATTTAAATGCACGCAATCGGTCTAATTCTGATAAGAGATAACGCATTTACGTCAGACATTTCGACAGATGGATATCGCTGATTCTCTGTGCATACCATTTTTGTGCTTATTTTTTTTTGCGTGTCAATGATATATGTCTATCTCACCTTGTAATGCACGTAACGCGATTTATGCTTCGCTCTTTAGCTAATTATTTACGATACGCGGCGACCTACTGATTCTAATTTACAAGCAAATTACACGTTTATTAATAATTACAAAGCTGAATAATTTTCTGTATCCAAATGGCGCGCTTGCCCCCATTGTACTTCAGTGAGTATAATAAAATTCTTTTCAGCTACTCCCTTTAATTCGCGAGACAAAAGTAAATTTGAACAAGTGTTGATAGCAAGAGTATAATGTAACTGTACATACAAATTTGTAATTGTATTCTATTTATTTAAGTGAACGCGTGTGCAATCGGAGTTCTCGTGTGAGTCAGACAACAAAAAACTTGCGAGTGGAAAGTACTCTTATAATAAAAGTGAAATATGTGTCTTCTTGTAGTTCTTACTAGTTCTTTCAGTGTATCTACCCTTTTGCTGAATCAGTGAATACTTTGTCAATCATTTACGTGCCCCTTTCGTGGAATAATAATTTGTTTGTCATATCTTTTGAACGTTTATTTAGAAGAGTTTATTACATGTAGTTTAATTTATCTCTATATAGAGTAACTAAAGTGAAATCATTCAGATTTTCAAACAGTATATCAACGTCAATTGCCATTCTTAAATATTCCTTACTTAAATGTTAGCACGCTCAGTTCATAGCACTGCTTGCTTTTAATGTTTTTTTAGAATATGGATCTATGTTGTCTTGCCCTTTCCCAGACAGCCGGATGAAGATTTCTTTACATCATACAATGGATAATCCAAATGGATCCAGTCGCAGGAATGTTCCTGATATTGAATCTCATGTACTTTCCGAGAATGCCTTGCTTTCTCGCAATCCTGGTGCCAACTTTGATCCAGACATGTATTGGGAGATGAATTATCATGAAGCAGCTATTTTTCTTGAGGTAAAGCACTAGTGTGAATTTCAATTGTTAAGTCATCAATTGAGAAGTAAGCATAATTCTTTGATTTACAGGAAGGTAGAAACAATGAAAAATTTGACTCGCATCCCAGACACCCAGAAGATTTGCCAGCGTATTTGTTAGTTCATAATAGTTGGTATTATGGCCTTGATCTTTTTACTTCTTTAATTTTGTTGGCCTTGGCTTTTGTTGAAGAACCAGCTGTACCTCTCTTTCAAGTACATATAAATAGTTTAATAATTTTTAAAAATTATTTGATATAATTTGAAATTAATAATATTAACTTAATAGCTTCCAGTTTGGTCTCATGCCACTATTGAACTCTTAGCTCTCATGACAATAGGTGTTGAGCTAGCCTTAAAGCTAAGATGGATTGGATGGGGTACAATGTTAAAACATAAAAGAACAATGTTGAAGGTAATCAAATAGTTAACATTGTAACTAATGAATGAATAGAATGAATTTATAAAAAGCTTGAAGTTCATGAAATATTTACATGGAAAATAATACTTCTAATGTTTCTATTTATGTATCTATGCATACTTTAGTAAATGAGATTCTTATGCAATTAAGAAATGAGTCATAGACAGACATTACCAGTCAAATCCAGTATCAATCTAATATTTTTGTTTAATATATACATTTTTAACATGCTCCGAAATAATTTTGTTGCATGAAATCGAAATTCTATAAAAATTGTTTTTTAAATTAAAAAAAAAAAAAAATTCATTCAATAGTTACAGTTATTTTAGCGATAAAATATGAATTATTTGATCTGATAAATAATACAGATTGTGTTGAATTCAAAAGATAAAATAAAAATTAATTTCTATTGCAGTGCATTACTCTTTTTGTAATGTTTATCGAAGTTCTGATCGTTTTGGTGCGTCAATCATCACATTATCGAGTAACACGGGCGTTACGTCCGATATTTTTGATTGACACTAAGTACTGTGGAAATGTTCGTCGCTTCGTGCGTCAAATTTTGCAAACGCTTCCACCTATACTGGATATGTTGGGACTTTTATTGTTTTTTATGACGACTTACATGGTTCTAGGATATTACTTGTTTTATGAAATAAACAGAAATTTTGCAACTTTACAAGACAGCTTCGTTAGTCTTTTTGTTTTGTTGACAACTGCAAAGTACGGCATTATCGAAGTATTGCAATCAAAAAGTATTTTATAATTACAAAAATTTTATTAATATTATATTTAGTTTTCCAGATGTAATGATGGAGTCATTTTCACTAAGTAAATGGTATGGCATTTATTTTGTATCGTACATATGTACGATGCTTTATGTAATGATGAATCTCATGTTAGCGGTTGTAAATGAAACCTTCACATCGGCCGAACGCGACAAGTTTAAAAAATTATTTCTTCACAAACGAAAAGCGTGTCAGCATGCCTTTAAACTTTTAGTTTCCAAACAAACGCCTGATCAAATGCTCTTTAAACAGTTCGAAGGGTTGATGCGCTATTACGCCCCACAAAAGAGTAAGATTACTAGTAGCTACTCCTTCGAAAATTTAGCTTATCATTTTTCTACAAGCCTAAATATATTTTTCTAGATGTATTAGATGTTGTTTTGATGTTTCGATATCTGAATACATCCGGAAGTGGATACCTTACGTCTGATGAATTCCTCAACATTTACGACGCCACTGTTTTAAAGTGGGATTTGCACTATACCAGTATTCCATGGTACAAAATGGTTTGGAAACCAATGCAAATTTTGTGTCAAAGTGCTCATACTATCGTGAATTGGTCGTATTATGAGAGTCTAGTTTGTAAGTTCACAGAAAATTAAAATGCTGGAATATGTTTAGAAAATCATTGACAATATCTATAAATTTTATAACTTTTATAGATACTATAATCGTCGGAAATGCAGTGGCCATGATAACTCGTCTTATTGAACCAGAAACTGATAGAGAAAAGTCAGCTCATTTATTTGCAGCCAGTTGGGATACGTTTGTATTTGGTGGCTGTACGTATGAACGTTATTTTTTCATGACGGTCAAATGATTAATTTGCATAAAATATTTCAGTATTTGCTGCTGAAGCGTTAACAAAAGTACTGGGACTTGGTGTGCGAGGATATTTAAATTCTGGTTGGAATTTATTTGATTTGAGTACATCAATGATGGTATTGGTATCAGCTTGTGTACTCACATTTTTCCCTAGTGCTGTATTGTTTGTCGTATTTCGTCCACTTAGGACTTTAAGATTATTCAAAATGAAAAAACGTTATCGTGACGTTTTTGGAACTCTAGTTATTTTAACACCATTGATGCTGTCGACTGCGATTGTGATGCTTGTATTGTACTACTTCTTTGCAATCATTGGAATGGAGCTCTTCTCTGGTCATGATATGAGAAACTGTTGCAAGTATGTGGGACAAGTTACATTCTATGTTTTAGATTACGGAAATAAATTTTGAAGTTACCAAATTTTTATTTCAGAAATACTACAGTTGAAGATTTTTATAAATACTCAATAAATGAAACAACTAGTTTGGGATATTATTACTTGAATACTTTTGATAATTTATTGGCTAGTGGTATGACATTATTCGAGTTAACTGTGGTCAACAATTGGTTCATTCTAATGAATGCATATGCTATTACTGTTGGAACATATACAAGAGCATATTTTATGATATTCTACTTGGTTACTATGATTGTTTTAACGATAGTTGTGTCCAGTTTTCTCGAAGCTTTTAGATTCAGAATTCAATATAAAAGATCAACCACAAAACGTGACGGTAAGGCATGAATATGAAATAATATAAAATCAAAATTATTAAATTTATCTATTATTATTTAATACAATTTTCAGAGGAAAAAATGTTACACGAAGAAGTTGAATTAAAGCATACTGAGTTACAATCAATGATTGGAGATTACAATTTGTTGGAACGAACGCGTGAATTTTTACCTGCAGGCGTAAGTGTTTGAAACTATCACGACAAAATTAATTTTATTCAAAAGCAGAATTTACATCAATTTTTAATTTTATTTTAGTCCGATGCTGTATTCATAGGTACAAGACCACGAACTCGAGAAGTATTGCAAAGAAGAATGTACATTCATGAAATTATCGAATGGCTATCGGAAGCAAGATCGCAAGAAGGAACAACCATTACAAATATTAATTATGAATACGATGATGATAGTATTACAGAAATGGATAGTGCAATATTAAATGGTGTAACATTTACGGAAAGAAGGCCTAGTGCAGTTTTCGAGTCTGCGTGATTATTGTAAATATTTGTACAAATAGTTGTAAGCTACATCTCATTTGTTTCAGTTGAATGTCATTAGTTAGTAATTTAAAAGCACCTAGTCAAACAATTTTTTTACTGATTTCGGACATATTCAAGTAATTTGTTAGTAGTATCATATCATGTATTATATATCAAAAATTGTTTTGATATTCATCACTTTACTATTAGAAGCTCAGATGTATTAATTAGATTTATTATTATAATCTACCTTATTACCATATTATTTGGTATTTAAGATTATAAGTTTGCTGAAGCAGCGAATAAATCGCTATTATATTAGTTATATAATATGTAAAGTATGTATACATATTTATGTCTCTAAGAATTTTTATAAAAATTGAGGAAATGTTTAAGAAGTCCCATATCCTTTTTAAACAAGACAAAGCATAATTGTATGGAGTAATTTATCCAAGAATAATGTTAGTTATATTTTCTTTATAGTTTTTAAATATGAGAAAGATATTTTTCAAATTGAAATATTAATGCGCTTGAGTAAAATGAAAATTAACTTAAAAAAAATTGTTAGTAAATAATATTTTTATAAAACAAATAAAATAGACAAAAATTAATTGATCAATCTAAAAAACTATAATGAAAATTCAATTAAGGTATGAATTCTAGAGATTTGGAATTTTAAAGGAAATTGTACAAAAATGAAACTGTTTGTAAAAAGGTATTTTTTTATCTTAATAAATGTAAACATAATTTTAAAAATTAAAATACAAACACCAGAACTTGTGCAAAAAATTAAGAACAATAAAAAAATATTATACAAAATGTTAAGCTTCTAAATTTTGCATCCAACATATATCTTATAAATATATTAAACAGAGTGAATTTGTACACCCGAACCTCCTAGAATTGTTTCGGTAACAGAAAAACCATTAGATACAAGTTCAGAGTTTAATTTCTGCACTTTATCGTGAGATTCATAAGGCGGTATAAGAACATACGCGAATCCACCGCCACCAGCGCCTGTAAGTTTCGCGGCTAATCCATGATTTCTAGCTATTATACAGATGGTGTCGAGAGAAGCATGAGATACTTGGCAAGTGTTCAGAAGTCCTTGATTGATATGAATTAAATTCTGTAAAGTGAACATTTGTTACGTTATTTTCTGTCTTGCATTAACTGATGCTATTTGAAAAATTGTCAATGTAAATAAACTCACCATCAATTCTTTGCATTCTATTTCCATACGGTCCGAACACTCATCCAAGCTCTCCATTCTGTGAAATAAATCGATCGCGCAAAGTGAAACTTCGTCGATTGCATTGATAACTTTATCGAAAATTTGTGGATAAGAGCTCTTTAATTGAGCAAGCCGCGCAACGAGATCTTTGGTACTACGACCAACTTTGGTATCAACAAGCAAAGCACGAAACTGTTTATCACCGAGTGTGCGACACTTGATTGGTTCGTTACGTTGAAACTGAATAACAGCACCATATGTACAGACACTATTGTCTATGCCGGACGGCCGGCCGTGCATTATCTTCTCGCAGTTGTAGGCGTGAGTCGACACTTGACCAAGAGTTTCAAAATCGAAGGAAGACAGCGACGCAGCATCGGCTTCTGGAGATTGAAGTCGAGCCCATTGAATGAAGGCTGCAGTCAAGCAGACGGCGAAGGAAGCAGAACTACCAGCACCTGCGCCGATCGGTAACTCCGTCTCAAGTTTTATCTTGAATGGTTTGACTGTTAATCCTCGGTCTTGTACTGTTTGAGTCAAAGCATAGAATAAACACAAGAGGCTGTGGAACTGACGTGGATCTGCACACTCCAAAAGCTTAACGAAAGCTTCGATTTTATCGTAAAATATGTCGTGTCCAACGATCGATAGAATTGGAAAATCAGGAGCTAGAAGATTCGAGCGTATCAATGATAATGGCACTTTCTTGTTTAAAGATACCAAGGGCATATCTATGTGAACGTGATTTTCCGATGAAGATGCAAGCTCCGAAAAATATAGATGGCTGCGAAGATTAACACTGGCTGCCAGAGCAGTTTTTCCATAAACGACTGCATGTTCACCAAAAAGAATCACTTTGCCGGGCGCAGAAATTTTGAAGGATATCATTTTGCTTAAATTTTTTTATTAAGCTTGTTCTTTTTGTTTTTCCCACTGTTCTGGTGTTAACGTTTTCTGCGAGAAGGCATGAATGTCTTTTAGTTCTTCTTCTAGGATTCCATTGACAAGCCTGTGCCATCGAAAATGTTGCGTGAGAACGACAAGTATTCGTTTTTCAAATTTATCAACAAATTTTTATTAAAAAAAAAATACATTACCTGTGCCGCTGGAGGAGAGTTTTGCCCGCAAATTTCTCAGACACAACGAGTACTGAAAATTTACCGCCGCAACCGTCCGACTGATCCTCAACTGTCTGTAACAGAAACGACGTATGCGAATACTACTCCTCCGAAGTACAAATGGCAAAAATAACTAAACCGAAACTTTCGAATATACTCCCAGAAAATAAAAGTGAAAAAAAAACGAATCGGAAGTTATGAATAATGAGCGCGATTGATATAATCTTGATTTTGATCTTGATCTTGAAAGTGAAAGGAACAAGAAAAATGTATTCAATTCTTATACATAGCTGAGGAGAGCTTCGTTTTTTATTGACGACAATTTCCATGTAAATACATTAGCTCAGAGGACATAATGTTACATTGTCATGTATATCAATGATCTCTTGAGAAGAGTACACTGATCTTAATATTATGTATAAGTACATAAAACCTCACACATACTCATACATACATGTACATATTAAATATGTATATTTTTTGGTATATAGCACAACCATTATAAACATTGTTTAATTTGTTGCACATAATTTGCAACAAACTATTACACACATTCAGCACTTATTCAAGCTCTTACACATGTATTTCAATATATATAATATATGAATGCTTTCATTTGTATATATGGTCAAGTTTAGAACTTTTAGGTTTCATTTACTAAGTAAAAAATTGAAAAAAATCTCTAAAATTTAATAGAAAAAGATTTTTAAGATCACTAAAAAGAAATATATTATTACTGTTATTGATTATTTTGTAAATGGTACAATATATTAATGCATGTGCTTGTTTGTAATTTTATATCACTCTTCATTATTTTGTGGCATTAGTTGATCTTAATATTACTCTTTTTTAAAAAGTTTATTTAACTTTGTATTTTCTAGCTGGCACAGTGGTTGCATAAAACTGCTTGTAATTAAAGTATATCAAAAATACTACAAAGTGACCACAAGAATAGATAGATATAAGTAGAGAATATAGATCAGGATATTTTTTTGGTGCTTTTAAGAACTTTGCACAAAGTGATAAAATTAATACACCTAATATGGAGATTCCATACAAAATATTTATGTAAATATCATTGTTTGATAATGTAATTGGATTTTTCTTCACTTTGACTTTCTTTAGTGTTGATTTTTCCTCTTGTTTCTCTGTTTTAGTTTTTATTAAATCACTGATTTTTGATTCAAACCACATACAGTATACAGAAACAATAAAAAATATTAATGTAGCAAAATAAGCAGTATAAAGACCATCCTTGATTAACAAAGGTAACATGCTAAATACAGAAATAATAAGAAACCAAAAGCATGGTAATGGATCTTTTATGAAATGAAGTAAAACAGGTAAGCTAACTAATAAAATAGACTTTTCATGTACTTGAAAAGAAAACAAAAAGAAAGATAAAGAAGAATTAATGAGAGCTAGCAAAAACTTTTCTCTGGAGGGTCTAAAAAATAAATCCAAACTACTAGGCAATAATGCAGCAGTTGTTGAAACAAGACATATTTGAGCTAATTGTAGGTTTGTAAAGTTATTCCTTAATTTATAGATTACATTGATAGCACACCAAACATTGGCTACTTTATCTTCAAAGATACCTCTTGTAAGTGGAAATAATCTCAAGACAGTATCCATAAAAACTTTGCGATCTGTCAAAAATGGTGCCCAAATTAAACCAAAAGTTACAATAACTGTTAATGACACACATATTAATGACCTTAAACAAGTAAGAAGTGGTTTTCTTTTTCCTGGCATATTAATTCCAAGGATGTAAAAAAAACATGGAAGAGCATGGTACAGCTCCATTTGTTTATAATTCAATGCCAAAACAAAAAAGAAAGAACTAATAGCCATGGAACCTTGGAAAAGTGCAGAAACAGAAACAATAAAGAGTCCAAGTGATACACAGTTATACTGGAAGTGTCCATAATCAATCAAAATCAAACCAGGGTAAAAAAGAACTGTAGCCAAAAAATAATGTTTTTTTTTGAACCAAAGGAATTCTCTCTTTTCAACTTTTTCAAGTTGTTTCTTATTTTTGCAGTCAAGAATAGGTAATATGGCAAAAGCAAAATAAATAATAACTGGAATAAAAATCAGTAGGTCAATGGCTAAAACAGACAGTCTCATAAAGTACTTGTGAGTTGAAGATTCATGGCCTCTGGATTGATGTAGTTTTACAGAGTCTGGGTCAAAAATTTCAGCAACTTTTGCCAGTAAATAGCTATGATAAGCAGTTATTGGAGGATAATCCAATCCCCAGTATTGTAAATCATTATCTGTAGAATTTGAATACCACTGAGAAATGGGTAGGTTCAACGTAATTTCTTGCCAGTGCCTCTGGGCTTCATAATCCCCAAACATTGGAGGTGTGCCAGCTCCACTATAAGGATGATAAGAAACGCACCATCTCAAAAGCAGAGCGTGAAAAACAATGAAAGAAGTCAGTAAAAACTCCGATGCAAAGCCACCGGTTTCTTTTTCATGATTTTTGGCCTGCTGATCGAGATTCTGTTGTTGTTGGTGGTGATGGTCGACTTTACTACTTCGGCTCTCTCGTTCTCGCATTATTGCTTTATTAGATAGCTTCGGTAAATGCACTAATCCTCGAACGGTTAATTGCTTTATAGTCTTTCTTTTACGAAGAAGTGGAAGGTAGTAGAAGATAAATTTTGTACAAAAATATCTAGCGCATGAGCTGTAAAAGTGAGGTTATATGGTTGGCGTCGTTTGCCCGTGATGAACTAGCTTACATGCTAAGTGATTAGACGCTCGAGGCGTTAGTTTTGATAGGTGAAATGTACTCACGAGGTGCAGAGGCTCGAGCTCCTTTTGCAGCTTCTGGCGAATGTGCTCTTCGGAGTATGGCATATTTTGCCACGTAAGTGAATATGTCAACGATGACGTTTTGCAAACCCGTTATAAAATTTTCCTCGCAATCGGAATGTCAGTGTAGATTTCGCAGTCTGCGATGCTCATGTAATATCCTATACGTTGATGTAATCCGTATATCTATATGTGTTTATGCAGCGGTATTGGCACAGCCTGCGAGCGCATTTAGCATATACAGAATGTCGCCACTCGCCAGGCACGCACAAGCCGCAATAAGTGTCGGTGCCGACGCCACTGCGAACGATGCGCGCGAGCCGCGAAATCACATCTCACGGGACTCTCGCGCCCGCTCTGCAACTATTTTGGTCGAATTTGAACGGTTCCTGACACCTCAATCAAATTCATCCCTTTCTCGAGCGAGCACTCAAATTTTTCAATATTTAATTGCAATTCGATGAGTAGCGCTTGAAGCTCGGGTCTTAATGCAGAATAATGATCGAAAGGATGAAACATTAGTTAAACATTTATTATCACTAGAAATTATGGACAATAGAATGACTTGGAAACAAATAACACGCTCTTTAAATTATTAAAGTCACATTTGAGTCTTTGGAGTCAATTATACAGGCACTCATTATGCAGAGCGAAATCGATCTTTTCGAAATTAGCGCATTACGTAATTTAGCACCAAAATATGTAGGCCGAGTCCCCGAAAATTAATGTTTTTAATTAAAATGATGACTTTTTCACAATAATTTCAGTAGAAAATAGCATTCATTAAAAAATTATATAAGTAATCTGAGAAGAGATCTAGGACTAAGATCTTACACATTATAGTAATCTGATCAAAACGCAGTAAAATATACTCACAATCGCACTGTTTCCCACTTTTTTTTAAATTTCTTTAACAGTTCATTCGAATTTAAAAAACTAAAAAAAAGATACCTATAATTTTCATTCGCCTTAGTTATTAGAGTAGGTAATGAACAATAGAATTGATGAAATCGTGGAACGCGGTGAGTTTCTGTCATCATCTGGTGCAGAATGGTTAGCGCGGTCAGTGAACTTGGCGAGTAGAGTGCACTGGTATTTGAACGATAAACGAAAAGATCCGGCACAGGATTGATGGTTTCATTGTTCGATCGAATTATTTTTGTCCTTAGTTGTTTGTTTTTGAGATTATGAATAGCAATTATTAAAAATAGCATCAAAAAATAAATTTGAATTTCCCTCTCGTGTTCAAGAGAGCACTAAAACGCCGCACTGGAGGTAGCCCGTCGATTCACTCATGTTTCATTTCACGCCCGCCTGCCACCACTCCATTCCTTACGCTTACGCTACTGTAGTCTGTGAACTGTATAACCCCTCCTTGGCCGGCGACTGCCTTGAATTATACACGTGCCCAAGGCACTTGCATGCCTTTTACAACAGTTTGATTACAGTTTGATAAATTCCTTCTTCAATTTTTTTACCAACATTGTTGGTAATTCTTTGCTATAATCATGGCGCTTTACAATTTTAAAAAAATTGTGGTTGTTCCACCAGCTAAGGTAAATTTAGTCAATTTTTTATTACCTACATATTTAGGTTATTCTCAAGACCACATGTTCTAATGATTATTATAACTTTTAGGATTTGATAGATATTGTGCTTTCTAAGACACAAAGAAAAACTCCAACTGTTGTCCATAAGGGTTATGCCGTATCGCGTATTCGTCAATTTTACACTCGCAAAGTTAAATTTGCACAACAGACACTGCACGATAAGCTTAGTCAAATTATTCGAGATTTCCCAAAGTTGGACGATGTTCATCCTTTTTATACCGATCTTATCAATGTCTTGTATGACAAGGATCACTTTAAACTAGCTCTGGGTCAGCTCAACAAGGCCAGAAGCTTAATTGATAAGTAAGTTATCAATACAATGTTTATTTTATACCAGTTTTATACCAGTATTATAAAAGATTTTATGATTTATAATTATATGATTTTAGTGTTGCCAAGGAGTATGTTCGTTACATGAAATATGGTGATTCACTTTATCGCTGCAAAGTGCTTAAAAAGGCTGCCTTGGGACGTATGGTAACTATTACCAAAAGGCAAGGAGCTAATTTGACTTATTTGGAGCAAGTCAGACAGCATTTGGCAAGATTGCCTAGCATTGATCCTTATACCAGAACAATTATTATTTGTGGATTTCCCAATGTTGGAAAATCTAGCTTCATGAATAAAGTAAGAAATCATTTGTTCATGTTACAATTGAAAATTTTAGATATATTAAATAAATGACAAAATTAATTTCAATTTTCAGATTACTAGAGCAGATGTTGATGTGCAACCATATGCAGGCACGACTAAATCTTTATTTGTTGGTCACACAGATTATAAATATTTACCTTGGCAAATAATTGATACTCCTGGTATCTTAGATCATCCTTTGGAAGAGAGAAATGTAATAGAAATGCAATCTGTTACTGCCTTGGCTCACTTGAGAGCTGCTATACTCTACTTTTTTGACATTTCTGAAGAGTGCGGACATGCTTTAGAGGAACAGATGAGATTGTTTGAATCAATTAAACCTTTGTTCCAAAACAAACCTTTAATTGTTGTTTGCAACAAATCTGACATTGTGAGCTTAAATGATCTTCCTAAAGAAAAACGCAGTGTTTTAAAAGAACTAGAAGATGATGAAAATATCCCTGTCATGGAGATGAGCACTGCTAATCAAGAAGGTGTAATGAAAGTTAAAGAAGAAGCATGTGAAAGATTGTTATCCTACAGAGTTGATCAAAAAGTTAAAACCAAAAAAATCGATAGCTTACTATCTCGATTACATGTTGCTCAGCCTGTACCAAGAGATCATAAACTTCGACCACCATGCATACCAGAAGCTGTTTTGCAACGAAAACAATCAGGACAAAGGCCTGTGAGAGCCAAAAAATTGGAACGCCAAATTGAAGAAGAAGAGGGTGATGATTATGTTCTTGACTTAAAGAAGAAGTATGATATTGAAGGAGATCAGAAATATGATATTATACCTGAAATTTGGGAAGGTCATAATATAGCAGATTATATTGACCCTGAAATATTTGATGTAAGTTGATATCAATGATCATTTTGACTTTATAAAATTTTCATGGCAATAAATATATATATATATTTTTTCCAGAAACTTACAGAGCTAGAGCAAGAAGAAGAGTTACGAGTTGTAGCTGGTATGTACGACATGAAACTCCCACCTATGACTGAGACTTTGAAAGAAGTCCGTGAGTTGGCTATGCAGATTCGTGAAAAAAAATTCCTTCTGAAAGATGAAGCTTTGATTAATAAGCAGTGTACAAAGCCCGTAATACCGCGTACTGCTCCAGCTAAGTCTCGTGGTAGATCAGTATCCAGATTGAAAAATGAAATGGAGGATCTTGGTGTTGATATGGAAGACACTGAAAATGTAAGAGCATCTTTTTATCTAAATTAACTTTTCCGAATTGGAATAAAAATAATTTGTTGATTGCATGTCATTAAATCAATGATTTCTTTTAGGCTCATTTCACCAAGACAAAGAAGAGAGGTAGGTCAGAGTCTAGAAATACTGAAAATAAGAGACAACGCATGGATGTTTCGAGAGCTCGTAGCAATTCAAGAGCACCCAGAGATGAAATGGGTGTTGCAAATGATGAGATGAAGTTCAGACTCAAGAACATTGCCCACAAAGCTATCAGCAAGAAAGTTGGTCCTAAAGGTCTTAAGGGAGAAGCTGATAGATTTATTGGTAACAAAATGCCTAAGCATTTGTTCTCTGGTAAACGTGGTGTGGGCAAAACTAATAGAAGATAATTTTTTTTTATTCCATCTTAATTCAATATATTTTAATATTAGAATATGTTATAGAAATTGTAATAGTAATTGTGAACTTAAAAGCTCACGAAAACTATATGTGTATATTATTGATATAGTTTAACTAATTTAATTAATATCATTATGTAATACTAAGATGTGCATATTATTAATTAATAAAAAATAAAAATAAAAAACTAATATATAACTTTAATTTTTATGAAAACCTGAAATATACTTTTTTAATCTTTGAAACCTCGCGACATTTATAAAAGTAATTGAAATCAGCACTAGTTATGTCTTACTGAATTTTATCTATTAGTTTCTCAAAAAATCTTATTTAGTGAAAGTGAAGAAATTCCATTGCAAGTTTCAACTACTGCAACGAACAAATTTTCATTAATATGAAAAAATCATGGAACACTACATTTAATCGCTCTGAAGCTTAAAATCAAAAGGAAAATTACATAATTATAGCCTAATGTTAATGACGACTAGATCTCACTTATATATTCATAATATATGATAATGATAATTATAATAGCTACAGTGGTTTTGCGTAGAACCAATTAATTTGAATATTCGAATTTTGCGGGTTACTGCGATGGATTGTCTGCTGCATATTGTCGTCGGCTCGGCACTCGGCATTTTCGCGATGGCACCTAACCTATAAGTTACAGACTTCTGAAAGAACATATATGTGATGAATCTTTAGGTTTTTCAATTTTATCGCTTTAACTCGAAAATTGTAAAATATTCATCATGAATTCGCTCATTAGCAAATTATTTGATCGGTAAGCAATTGATAGGTTCTTGTTCATGTAGTTTATCAGTTGTCATTTTGTTGAATAATTTCAATTACTATATAAACAGAAATTTCCTTTCTTAAAACATGATGTGATTTTTGTTAATTGCAGCAAAGTGGCTGGTAATGCTTTACTGCAGATCCAAGCTTTAGCAAGTGTGTCAGCTAGGACATCTTCTAGCAATCCCATTAAAATACCTGACAGGATAGAACGAGGACCTACTGATATACTTGAAGTAAATATCTATTTCAGTTTTGTAGTAAACTTTTTAAATTTTTTTAAATTAATTTCTTCTATGTATGTAGGCATTAGAAACTACTATTCATAGAGATCCTACTGCTGCAGACTACAAGTACATTGATGATCCTTTTCTCATTCCAAACTCATTGAGTAAAAAACGAACCTACTCTCTTTCACGAGAATCTGGAAAAAAAGCTGCCATGTGGATATTGCAACAACATCCAGATCTCTTGACGAGTGAGCTATCAGAACCATTGATTGAAGTGGGTCTCAAATATATATGTGGATATAGAAAATAATCAGAATTTACTATAAATAAATAATCAATGTATTTTAGGCTTTTCTACCACCCAAAAAGTATGAAAGTAAAGATCAGGTTACTGAAGAGATTTTACTAAAGTTTATAAGTAAAGGTCAAGTAACTGAAGCTATTCACATATACAACTTATTAGACAAGGATGTCTCAAAATCAGCAAAGCAATGCATGTTAGAGATGTTGTGTTTTTATAATAGTCATGGAGATCAAATTCCAGAAGAGTTTACTGAAGAAAGATCTTATCAACAAGAAAAAGAAATATCAAAAAATATATGGATGTTAGTAAAAATTTTATTTTTATTGTAGTTACAGTGATTTTATTGTGGCTGTTATTTGTGCCTTATTTACAGGGAAACTGCAGAGATTGAAGCTATTTTTGGGGAATTAAGAAATGATCCTGAAACGGCTCCTCAAGCTTATAGTGCTTTAATTAGTGGCACAGCAAAGTATTTAAAAGTAAAAAATTTATATTTTTATTATCTTACAATTTTTTGAAGTATAAACATATAAATATGTCTCATTCTAGGTTGACAGGGCTTGGAAACTTTATGAAGAATGTTTGCAGAAAAATATACCTATTTCAGTATCAGCATACAATATGCTTATGCAGATTGTTCCACTATTGAAAGATAATAATGAAGAGCGTAAAGCTCTTTTACTTACTCTCTTACAAGATATGGTTAAGCAACCTTTACGACCTAATGTTGGAACATTGAATTCAATGCTCAAAAGTATATCAACTTTACAAACTCAGGGTTTGAGCAAAACTTTATCTCTTGATATTCTGACTGAATTCAAAAATTTTGGAATTACGCCAAGTCTGGGAACTTACTATTATTTATTGTTAATTTTCTGCCGGCAAAGTAAGTTAACAACTTGTTAATCATCTTAACTATATTTTACTCCTACATTTTTTGTAGATGGTCCCACCAGTCATATTTTATTAGAAATACTAGATGAGTTAGAAGCAAAATCTGAATTTGAAATGCAAGACCCAGCAGATAGAGCATTTTTTGGTCAAGCAATGGAGGTGGCTGCACATCATATTCAAAATATGGAGGCAGGACATCGACTGCACAAACTTCTTCTCACAAAAGACAACTATAAATTCATTGGTGGTCGACTGAAAGTAAGTGCTGCAATCCTTCTCAAAGTTATGAAATCTAAAACAAAAATTTTGATAAATTTTTAGGAAAGCGTATACTATCGTAATTATTTACAACTTATACTCATGAGTGAAACACTAGAAGTATTTATGAATATTTATGATACTTTGGTTCCCAATGTGTATATTCCTGAGCCAGCTGTAATGAGAAATATTGTTGAAATGTTAGAACTCAATGAAAAATCTCTTGCTATTCATCATTTACCAAAATTGATGTCACAAATGGTTCAATTTGATATGTTAGATAGGCATCAGATTATGAAACTCACTTTCAGATTAATGGTTAAACACTGTTCACCGAAAGAAAAAGATTCACCGCTGCATAAACAATATGCTGAAATGGCTTGGACTGTTTGGACTCATATTCAAGTAAATAATTTTTGTAACACTTATTTAATTTCTTCAAGTAAACTATATTTAATCTGAACCTTTTATTAGGAGTCAAATCAACGAAGAGTCCAACGTTATATGTGGCCTGCCGATGTGTTTGGTAACATGTCTGTGTTGTTAGTGCGTGGTAATGAATTTGAAAAAATGCTCGATATATTGAACTTCCTCGTAAAATCTCCTGACAGTACAATGGGCAATATTAGCTTCTTAGATCTGCAGGAATTATTCAAGGCTGCTATCGATCGTGGTCACACTGAAGCGGCGATGGTGAGTTATTTTTTCAATATCTTTTATCATAAAATTTAAGAATGAGAGTGTAAATACACATTATCAAACTTGTTTTCTGAGACATTATTGAACGTTTTTCTAAATGACTGTATAGCGATCTTTTCGAGCATATTATGGAACTCATTAGAAAAATATTCAGTAGAAGTTTTGATATTCGCTCAAAACGAACCGAAATATATGTTTGTCTTAAACTAAACATTTATAATGATTCCAATGCTTTTTCAGCTTGCCATAGAATACGCCAGCGAGAGTGGTTTTTCCGAAGTGACTGAAATGTCAAAAACCATGGTGGAAATTTTGCCACTAAGTGAATCTCAGGAGAGAAAATTAGACGAGTTAGTCAGTGGATCAATGAGCCAATCTAGATTGAACGAAAAATTGAGAACAGCGATTAAGAATCCAACAGCAGATGTGTAAATTTTTGGTTTTTCATAAAATTTTGTAAGGCATGTACATATAAAAGTAGTTGACTCGTCGTTAGCGTGAACCAATGAGAATGATGTTGTAATGCATAATATAATATGCATGTATACTTTGTTATAAATGTTTTAAAACGCACCGTAGGCAAATAATAAAGCGTATGGATATAAATAAAATTATAAGCACGTATGTAACAAAAATCTGCTCTCCGTTTTATTGCTCAGCATTCTGCAACTGGGGTTGCCACTAGTTTACGAGAGATCGGGCGATAGACATATCAATGTCCTTGTCCCTTGAAAAGTGTTTGAGAGAGAGAGAGAGAGAGAGAGATACACTCGAATAGCGTATTACCAGATATACGTGTACTTATTACGCTAAATCAAGTAAGTAGTCGGCGGAACATCGGCGTGCATAAACGCGTGTGTGTAGGACGTGCTATATCAGCTCGCGCAAAGGGAGATGGATAGAGATGGAGAGTGCGTGTGTGTGTGAGAGAGATATCCCCATATGCTGTGACATCCCGCAGCACACACAAGTTAAATGCCCATTTCCTGCATTGGGTCACTCGCAGTCCAGCCTCGTCGTCGTCGTCGTCGTTGGTCGCAGTTGCCGTCGAGTCGAACTCTAAACGCATCTCTAAAACGCTCCACAGCGCACATCTCCCTGCCTTTAAACTCGCGCGCCCGCGCAAACCTCTCTGTAATGTTAATACGGATGAGTGACAGTTTAGCTGCGGAGCGCCGATCGTTCTAGTTCCGCGCGTTTTGTGAGCACTGAGTTCCGTATATAGTCTTTCTCCTCGCCTTTCCGTGTCATAGCCAGCGAACTATGGAAGATCAAGAAAGGGTTGGTATATGCGCTTCTTCTTAATCATTAACCTCGGTTACCAATTTCACGCCCGCTTGGAAATTAATTAACTGCCTATACAGGCGTGGTAGCAGGAAACTCTAATTTGAAAATCGAGCTTCCGTTATTTGGTTTAATTCAAAATGATTATATACTTGCAAAATCGGCACAAAAATCGGCATGATAAAATCGCTCACATTTCATCCAAAAGTCTGACTAATCTGTAAAAATCTGAATTTCGCCATCGACTCGTGCTCGCGGGCAAAACGAAGAGCGTGAGACTGACGCTGGAGCGACTGCGCGAGCTGTTCGCCAAGGAGGAGCCGGACATAGAGATCCTGAGCTCGGACGAGGCCCCGGGCTCCGGGCGCGGCGACAATTACACGTCGATGCTTTACCGGCTGGAGGTGCAGGGCCGCAATCGGCGCACCAGCCAGCCCTGGAGCAAGTCCATCATCTACAAGGTGCTGCCCGAGTCGAAGGAGCGCCGCGAGCTCTACAAGAGCGAGCTGCTCTTTCGCAACGAGGTGGTGTTCTACACGAAGGTCTGGCCGGAGCTGGCGCAGCTCCAAGCCGACGGTCGGCCGGTCTTCAATGGCGTGGCCAAGGTCTACCTGGCGCAGCACGATCTCATCGCCATGGAGGACCTGCGGCCCAAGGGCTACAAAATGGCCGACCGCGTCAAGGGCCTGCAGCTCGACGACCTGAGGCACGTCCTCAAAGCCCTGGCTGGCTTTCACGCGCTCAGCTTGAGCCTCAAGGATCTGAGGTAAGTCTGCACTCTCTGCAATTTGTATATTTGGAGAAAGAGCGACGAGGACCGAGACGTACGCTCCGCTCGACAGACCGGAAACGTACGCGCGACTCTCGCGGATGGACAACTCGGACTCGGAGTCGGGCTCGGAGAGCAACGAGGCCGTGCAGGAGGCTCTCTTCCGAATGGAGAACAAAGAGTGGTACCGCACTTATTACCGCATAGCCACGAGCAACGCGCTCAAAATGCTGGCCGACGGACTGGCCGCCGACCGGAAGGACGAGGTGATCGCCAAGTTCCGAGCTTTCGTCGACGAGAAGCGCTTCTTCCGGGAGATGTGCGAGCTCGTCTCGACCCAGGGACCACTGAGCGTCTTTTGTCACGGCGATTGTTGGACCAACAACTTTTTGTTCATCGACAAAGACGTGCCCGACGCCGAGGTAAGTCGCGCCCGACCGAGCGCGCTTATAACTCGAGCTGCGCCATTTTTTCCCATCCCTTCTGCCTTCGCTCGCCGCAGGTTGTCTGTTTGGTGGACTTTCAACTGACGCGAGTCGGCTCTCTGGCGCTCGACTTGGCCTACGTGCTTTACTGCTCCACGAGCGGTGACGTGAGAAAAGCTCACATGACCTCGCTACTGCAGCACTACCATCGTCACTTGATGTCGGCGCTCAATGCTCTCAACCCGAGCTGCACCAGAGACCCCGACCACATGTGGAAGCTGTAAGTCATTTTCTCTTTCATCTATTTTCCCATTAATATGTCGCTATTGTATTTTCTGCCACTGGCATCGATATCGATAAAGCTTGAACGACGAGATGCGACGCTGCAGTCGCTTTGGACTCGGTCAAGCTCTCGACATGCTACCCATCAGCACGTGTACCAGCGACGAGGCCCCGGACTTGTACGAGGACCAGAATACCGACGACGAGGAGAAAGCTGAAGGTGGTTACAGGGCCCCACCGCCCGGCAACGCGCAGTGCACGAGGCTCATGACGGATCTCGTGCTTGAGCTCGTTGACAGCGGCGTCATTTAGTCTGTCTATTTTTGCCGAGACCAAGTTTCATCGGTTCTTCGCGCGCTGCATTGCTCGTTATTTTCGTGCTTTGGGCTCCTGAAAAAAATATCTTAATCACGCGGGAGCAGAATGTATTGCAGTTTTTTGCTTGTCAAAAGTATACGTGTTGACAGTTTAACAGAAAAATCTGAGCACACATATCTATAAAAACGAATTATATCCAATATTTATAATGTATATTATGGAAATCATATGAAATATTACAAATATTCAACTCTTTAACTATATCGTTTTCAAATTTATTGTACATAAAAAGTTTACAAATAAAATCTGGATATTTTTTATAAGCATATAATCTGCTGCTCATTTGTCAAGTTTAATACGGTTTCGCAATTAAAAATTTAATATTTAATGGTGAGTAAATGATTTTTCATGTAAAAAAGAAAAGGATAGGACTTGCCTTTGTTCATAATAAAACAACTCTGTTGTATATATTACAAGTAGAGTATGTATTAAATTATTGAGTTGATTACAACTACTGTAATAAGTTTTGCATCATGAAACAAACCCTTAGTCTATATAACATCTTTTGTCAAGTAATCAAATAAAATATATTTTATGCTAGTTGCTTTGTTTGTGACCTAAAAGTCGAATTCTAGTTTTACAACTATATCCAATCAAAGTATATTTTCATGAAATATATTTTTATTAGTATACTTTTCTTTTTGACATAATTATAATTACTCATATTATAGTAATACTTCAGATTACAATTTGCAGACGTTCACGTTTCCAGAATTGAATTTAGCCCTTTTTTTATAAAGCTTGTGCGAGACTCAAAATGCAAAATTCAAAAAAATAAAAATTTAGAAATATTTTTCGAAATTAATATGTTCAGCTGTAACTTTGAAATAAATTGATCAAAATAAGTTTATGAAGATGCGATTACACTGTATTGATTCGAATTTGAATTAAGCCAATCCCAGTGATTATTTTGATGAATTTACATACATGCATTTGAATATCAATTTTAGAAAAAGATTTAATGATTCGAATAAAAGAATTCTTCAAAAAACACAGAAAATTGGTGGAATATCTACAAAACCATAATACAAAAACATGACATAATTGCCACAATACAACCAAAATGCGATACTGTTTAGATTCGCTTCATCATTTTATTAACTAACAAGTATCAAAGTAAATATCGAGTAAAGACAGTTTTTAAAATCGTAAATAGTTATAAAATATTTTCCGATTTTAGGCAGCTCTAAAAGTGAAATATTTCATTTAGAAGCATAGCCTGTACCTCTGTTACTATAGACATTTAAAAAAATTATTTTATAGTGTACGCATTTGAAGTATCTAATATTATCGTATTCTTAAGAGTAATCAATTTAAGCTGGTTGCTGCGGAGGCGTATGAGGTGGTTGCGTTTGTGGACTTGACGGTTGCTGTGGTTGTGGTGGTATTACAGGTGCTGACTGCTGAGGTGGTAGCTGCTGAACGGGTTGGCCTGTTGGTTGTGGAGAAGGCTGGGCGTTCGTCCAAGGTCCTTGTTGATTTTGTTGAGGTGGAATTGGTGGCTGCGCCTGCGGCTGTGGCTGTACCTGTGGTTGCGGTTGCGGTTGCGGTTGTGGTTGTGTTTGAGGCTGTGACTGTTGCTGCTGTTGATGTTGTTGTTGCTGCTGCTGCTGTTGTTGTTGCTGTTGCTGCTGTTGTTGTTGCTGCTGTTGTTGTTGCTGTTGCTGCTGCTGTTGGGCGAGTTGTTGCTGCTGTTCTTGAGCTTGTTGTTGCATTCGCTGAGCAGCTTGTTGACGTGCCCTAAATTCTGCTGCTTTAAGCTGTTCCAAGTGAAATTGTTGTCTTTCAGTAATAAGTTGTTGTCTTTGATATTCTAAACCTTCACGTTCACGCTCCATGGTAGTTTCTAACTCTTCAAAGTGGCGAAGTTTGATTTCTAGTTTCTTCATTTGAGTCTCAACAAGCAAAGCTACAAGCGACTTAATTTTTCGTTCTTCTACTGCTGCTAAATGTTTAGCTTTTACAGCAGCAGCAGCTAAAGCTGCCGCTGCTGCAGATTGAAGTTGAGCATCTCGCACCAATTTGTCTTTCTTTTGTTTAGCCTCGCTATCTTCGCCATCAGATTTTTTCTTATTTTCACTTTCATCATTTTTGTCTTTCGCTTCTTCATCAATTTCCATTTTTTCAGTTTCATCAGACTTCGTTTCAGCAGTTGCTTCACCATCCGTATCCATTTCTTTCTTCGGTTCTGTCAATTTTTCATTTTCAGTAGTTGCTGCAGCACTATCTTTGGGAGAACCTCCTTCAGTAGCTGGCGTTGCAGGAGCAGTACCTGCGGATTCTGTAGCACCTTCTTTCGTTTTATCGGCAGCGCCGTCTGTTGAGGCAGGAGCTTCGTCTTTTTTACTGTCTCCTGAAGCTTGTGGTGACGTAGCTGATGATTTTTCTTTATTTTTGTCATTAGATTCTTCTGGAGGATCTGGCGCTGTACCAGCTATACCTGATTCAGCTAATCCTGCAGCTGGATCAAATTTTCCATCGGAATTAGCACTATTTTGAACATTGCGCAAATGCTGATCAAGTAAATTAGCTGGTACTTGATCCTTGATAGCAGCAAACTCTTCCATTGCCGCCTTAGCAGCGCTTGCTGCTACTCTGGGATCCACGACAGATGCAAGAAAAGCTACAGTACTCATTACAGGATTACCAGCCTTTGAAAAAGGTATAGGCTGGTGAGCTAATGGTCCAAGTCCTTCTGGTTCTTCGAGGTAGGGATCTTCGATAGGCAATCGTAGGAAGTGCAATATACACTCATCTTGAGTTCTAGTACCAACATGCTCACATACCTACAAAACAAAAAGATAATATTTTAAATTCTGCTAAATTTTAACGGATATATTTTATAATCAACATATAAAAAATGTTGATAAAAATGTGTTAATTACCTTATTCCAATCATCTTTGTGGAGTTCAAGACCTTCAAGTAATAATAAGGTTTCTTGTTCTGTCCAATCCCTTGTGGCACCAGCAACTTGTTTGTTTTTCAAAACAGCTGGTTTCTTTGTGTATTGATCAATCTTAAGACCAAAATTGGCCATAGGACCGGCGTTAGGAATCTTACCATTCTCATCCATAACAGGCTTCTTATCAAGATCAATTAAAGTTTTAGCTGCTGATGGTTGAGGTGTCTTTGGTGGGTTAGGGTTGACTGGTGCTAAACCTGACGGTGTATCTGACAAAACATGGAAGTGAGAAGTAGGTGGTGGACCCATTGGTGTTGGTCGAAGATCAGCATCAACTTGATAATTGATGAGACCCCACTGTTCCAAAAATGCATGAACCCTCATAATAGCACATACATCTCCAGCCAAGTTACGTCTACACGCTGTTGATGTAATATATTCAGTGGGATTGAGACGGTATGTATCAATCATAAAATTTCTGTAGGCTAAATAGATTTCAGGAGTCTTTGATTTGTTTTTGCCATTGAAAAATTCTGAAAGAGCACGTCTCTCAATTGTATGAATAGAATTGTAATCAAACCAAGCAGAATAGCTTGGTACAACAATGTGATGAGTCTGCTCAGTAACATTATCTTCCAAATCGTCGTTCTTACTTTCAGCCCTTTCTCTATTGGCATCTCTTTCTTCTTTGTCTTGAGATGCTTGTGAATTGCTTTTATCTAATAGAAAAAAATATCAAATTATATTAAATTCAGTAACACATTTTACTTAAAAATGAGAAAAAATTCTTACCATCTGTTTGTTCATCAAGATCTGCCATATTACCAGATTTTAATGGTTGCAGTTCATTGTCTTGTTTTTTACTACTAGAAGAAGTACCAGAACTGTTTTGAGTTGAATTTTGAGAATTACTATTCGAAGCTGTTACTTCAACTATTCTTGGTTCTGCAACAGGCTCTTCCATGCCTTGTGTCAAATCTTCTTCTTCGTCTATGCCTGATCGAGATTTTTTTGGCCCTGAGGCAGGACCACTTTGAACTCCAGCAGGTCCTCTTCCACTAATAAAAATAAAAATTTTGTTTACTTACAAGAATCAAATAGAACAATACCCAGAGTAATATAGAAAAAACATTAAAGAACTCATAATAATTATTTGTATTTTATTCATATGAAGCATTAAAATTGCTTGGAATTCAATAAGATTCATCCATATGTATATTTTACAATCAACACTTAGAAATCATAAAAACTCACCTTTTCCTCTTTCCTACTTTGGGTGGAGGTGTTGGAGAACGCTTACGCTTTTGCTTTTTTGTAGCAGAAGGTTGAGACTGAGGAGCCATTAAATCTTCTACGGACAGTCTAAACTTGTGCACTTTTTTCTGACCATTATCATCAACCTCATAATCTTCTTCGTTCATCCATTCATTGTACTGCTCCAAGTCTAAAGCCCAAGATGCAGATACTTTATAAGTTGTTTTCACTGGTGCACTACCCAGATTGGTTTCAGGATAGTCCCATGGAAGTTCAAAATTAATCCATGAATCATAGCTATCAGGAAAGTAGTACCAGTGAAAGAGTACATTTCGATCTCTGCGAAAACAAGGCCTTGCATATTCTTCTTCTAATGGATCAGCTACAGGAAAAATAGTGTGAGTAGCATCATCTTCATTTTCAGCGATGGTGCCTTGATGTTTTCGCACTATATCTTTAACTTTGCTAGCAGTAGTTTTATCAACATCTGATCTTACAAATATGTTTGGCACAATCAAACATCTACTTTGAATTAAATCTTTTTCTATGGCTACAAGCATTTCTAGCATTCTATCCATACGAGTACCTGTCTGCTGAAAACATTTGTATTAGTAAATATTTTGAGATTTCAAATAATAAATCATAATTTTCATATTTAATTACAAACCTTTGCAACAGGAAAATCAAATCTTCTCCATCCTTGCTCTTGTTTAAACTTGTACGCAGTTGATAAGATATGACACAATCCACCGCCTGGTTTAAAGTCTAAAAAGCATTTCATCTACAAAAAAAGATTTAAATTGATGAATACTTTTTATAATAAATTTTAATAATTTTCTTTACTAGTACTCACAGGAATTTTTGTCATGACCGGTTTGGTATTATTTTTACCAAGATTGTCTTCTTGAAATTGAAGGATTTGTACCGTAAGGGTAGAAAGAATTTTGTTGGTGGGCACATCATTTTGTACATACTGAAATAACAATAATAATTTACATCAGTTAAATTTGTATTGGAGCACATTGTACAATCTTTGAGTAACAGGCACCGATATATGGGTAAGAATAACAAAATAGCCACATCAAAAGTCAATACGACTCTGAAGAAAATGAGGTTAGGCAACGTATGCGTGAAACTATATTATTAAAAGAATTTATCGTTTGATGTGCATAATTGTAAAGAAGCAGATCATAAGTATTGATGATAGAGAAACGTTGCGGATGCAACTCACTTTTTTGGCATTCTTCAAAAGCCACTGCTTGACTCCATCCAATTGGCTGAGGATCTCCGGCGAGTCGAAGAATTTGAGATTCGGGCCACCGTCTTTTTTCGGGCCCAGCGTTAGCATGTTGATAAGCTGCTCGCCCGGGCAAGAGATTACAAGGTATGAAAACTGCTCGACGAGGAAGCTGTCGAACGAATCTGGACGAGCGCGTTTATTTTATCACACGCACACTGACTGTCTCGCGTTGTTTGTTGCGGCTGGCTTGTCTTTTATCGCTTTGACTAAGGGGAAGTTGACGCAGTGCTGCGATCGCGTCTCTACAATTATGATGCACGCACACGAAAGGTTCCCGAGTCCTAACTCCGGAGCCGAGAACGCCGGTAACGCCACCGGCGACTCGGCGGCCGTGCATACAACACATTTTCATTTTTATATGTGTAGCGTATGTGTGTGCGACTGTGTGTGCGTGCAACGGACAATTCGGCAGCGTTGGTGGCGGCGGGTGATGCATACTTACAGGCGTTGCGATGCGCGCGCATATTTCGTTATAATTTTGCCGCGGCCGTGACGGTGACTCGATGACATTTGCTTACGAGACAATACGAGATATCAAAGTGCTCAGTGCAGTGCGTTTACGTGAATTCGGTAGTTTTTCAATTAAATTACAAGGGTAGGCTTAGCTTGACCGAGGGCAAGCGGCAACGATTGAATTTGGAGAACTTTGAACCCAATCCACTCGCTTCAAAGGCACTTTTTCCGGCAATCGATTTCGTTGTAAAAGATAATCGCTGTTAAGCTATATCTGAGCGGAATTTCACGAAAATGCATGAAATGAATTGTAAAGGTGCTTTGCAAATTAATTATTAATTTAACAACATTGAAAAGAGTTTAGTTGAACAATTTTTTTACTAGTCATTCACTTTTTTTCTTCTTCTTCTCTTTAATTTCGGCAATGTAATTTATTTGGGACAAGTTTTGAAAATATTAGACGCATGGCTACTATAATAGTCAACAAAATTGAGAAATTGTTTTTTATTACCTTCATTACATCAAAATGACTACATAGGATTGAATTTTTCCGATGCAGTACATTCAAATAATATGATTCAACAAAATAATATCATGAATGAATTCTAGACATTTACACATTAGTTTAATATTGTATTATATCACCATCAAATTATCAGTCCTTTTTACGGTTGAATTTGGCCAAAAACACCATCAAGTTCTGGTCGATGATCCGCTTACGTCGATCGCTTCCAAATCCGCTACTGGAATTTCGAAACTGTAGAAGAACGAAAGATTTTGGAAAGTTATAGTTTTACACTTCTCCGCTATGGCTGAGCCTCTGAAATAGCTGTCCCCTGCCTGCTTGTTGAGATCGGACGGGACGCTGTCACCGGATTGCAACAAGCTCCTCTTCTTCTCCATGAAGTCCATCCACACCATTTCTGCATATACCATCCTCTGATCTAACTCGTAACGCTCGAAGGTGGAATACTCGCCAGATTTTAGTTTGCTCATCATATTCTCGGCCCAATTTTGGAAATCTGATAGCTCTTGGGTGAGAAATGACATGACTCGACGTATGGACTCTGCATTATCCAAATTATTGGTGACGTTACTTGGTTGAGCCATCATTGTTATCTTTCTTTTTTTTATTTAATTTATTCTTGAACTTGAGCTGTTCCTCAAGTCGTCTCTGCTCGTGAAATACGCCTTGCACTCCAAAAAGAACACTGTCAAACCCCACGTATACGTGTGTAACGTCGGCGGCGACGACTCTACGAAAAAAAAACGGCGGCACGGTATATTTTCTGATCTAGATATACAATCCGATTCGGTTTTGTGTACATAAATGTCTATTTTCTCTCTATTTCTAAATATGGTGTAGGTTTTTTTCGTTGTAGGGGTCGCACCGCCGACGCTACATATGTATACGTGGAGTTTGACAGTGCCCTTTTTTGAGTGCAAGGCGTATTTCACGAGCAGAGACGACGTAAGGTACATCTCGAGTTCAAGAAAAAGTTGAAAATATAAAAAATAAAGATCAAGATAGATAAAGGCCATGGCTCAAGCAACCAACGTCACCAATAATGTGGATAATACAGAGTCAATACGTCGAGCCATGTCGTTTCTCGCCCAGGAGCTGTTGGATTTCAAAAATTGGGCCGAGAATATGGTAAAAATCTTAGCAGTGAAACAAGATATGGAAGATTGCGACATCGAGCATTACGAAATAAGGATTAGGCTGACGCATGCCGAGATGGTGTGGAATGACTTCGTCGAGAAGATGATAAGCTTGGTGCAGATCGGTGGCAGCGACACATCCGATCTCAAAAAGCTGGCAAAAGATAGCTATTTCAGAGGCTCGGCCATACTGAAGAAATGTGGTACTGTTTATCAAAAGGCGGTGGGTTGTATTAACGGGAAATTGGTGAAATTGAGCTGAAAGTGCGACCGAGAAAGAGACTGACAAATTCATGGTGTTTTATACAATGTTTAAGTAATGTGCGATTGTCGAGGATTTATTACCGTGAGCTACTATTTAAATAAATAATTATTAATTGAATGTTTTATGCAACACATCTGTCTTTATCACTTCATTAAATTGTACGTATATTTTCGGAGAAAATTTATAACTGTTCTTAAGAATTATCAAATTTTTTTTATACAATGTATATCTCTATCTAGTCTGATCGAATACTTATATTTCCCCATCTGCAATAAACCTCAATATTTTTTATTCAACTTCTTCTATTTTATTTTGATTTTCCTCACACTTTTCAAGATATAGGGTGACTGTACCAATACTCAGCCATCCGGTTATTTTTATTCAAGTCAAATAAACTTTTGAACAAATTTGAAAATGATATAAATGGTATGGTCAAGTCAGTTATTATTCGATAAGTGTAATTTTTGTTTTACAAGTGATTTTTTTCTCGTGCAGGATCTTATAGGACATTTTTACAAGGTTTCGATCGAGCTTATGCTCATGAAAGATGTATCTGTCTTCTGATTTCGCAAAAAAAGAAGATCAAGAGGAAATCTATTCAAACTGCGAATAAAACAATGCAACTACGAGCCGCAGCGAAATTAAGTTTAGAAATAAATCAATTGATTCGTTCAAGTTTCGAATTGATTTGTGCGTTAAAATTGTATATGAAAATTCCTTACTTCACCCTAAATTTTCGATCGAACGCGCGAACCATCGAATTATGCTGCTCCGAAGTTGCAAGTCGTCGATCGCGACTCCCGTAATCTTTTTGCCCGTTTCGCATTTGGCAATTCGCGAACTCGTTGGCAAGTGGTAATAGTAGTCTCCTACTTTTTTCCGTCATTACACATTCTACACACATATATATAGAGCGAATACGTTTGAACCCGAGCGGGCGACTGGCCTGGTAATAATTGTACACGCAACATCATACACAGAGTGGTAGGTATATCTGTATACAGCTCGCTCGCTCGAGCAGTAGCAGCAGCACACGTACGACTTAGCGTACACAACTGGCAGCCCATCTATCTCTCAAATCTCTTGTATATATGTGTGTTGTGCTCCGTGTGTATACACCTGAGTTCGAGCTGCCCGCGAGCCAGAATCATCTCTGTTCCCAAACGAACGTCGACGACCGAGTCCCGCATAGGGCTGCAAACGGGGAGCCAACATCAGGTAAACATATTGTTCACTTATAGCAGCCTCGCAAAATCGTCGATTCTCGGGTGCAGAAAACGAGACCCGACTCGAGGCCGAATATCGTGACGTTGCTAAACATGGTTTTACCATACGTGTTTGCTTAGCCTTCTTTCTTCGTGTCTCAAGAGTCGTGCTGCTGCTCTCGCTGAATTTTTGAGTCTGCGAATGTACCAATGCCAAACGTCCGACGTACAGCGGACTAGAGGTTAACCGTGAATTTCGCAGAGGCTGCTCTGCACGCGCGCTTGCTGGATCCCCACGTAAGATGCGATAATTGACGAAAGTTTGATCGTCTCGCCAGTGCAGCATCGAGAAGAGTTGTCGAACATGTGCCCGCGTTGATAAACGATCGAGTGGGTGAAGATTCACACGACAGATGTGAGTAACTATCGCGATTGTGCGATACATCGGAGCAAGGGCAAGGCAGCAGCTCTGCATAAGAAGCAAGGGACAGCATCGAAGCTTACGATCACACGACAACGTTCCGTGCCTCTTCGCTCGCGTAACTTCGCATAAGCTTGTAATTCATAAAGCGCGAAAGCAGTCGGGTAGGGGCCTTTTAATTTCGACGTCGGAATAATTTTCTGCGGACGTGTGTGCGAGATATACTCGCACAAGTGCGTGCGAATGACTCGCTGTCTCTTTATAGTGCTCCGAGTGCTCGCTGCTTTCTAGCCTTCATTTCTTCCTTTCTTCGCCAATTCTTGGGCAAATTTTTCGCGATTTTGCACGAGCTATCTTCTTGTATCCGAAAGTGGTGGGTGTCCATTTACCCACGACCCAAGGTATGTTATAAACTCTTTTTCTTGGCGCGCTCTCGAGTCTCGATAAGCCATCGTAATCACGGCCTAGTACTCGAGATTTATAATATACATGCTCTATCAAACTTACGCGATACAACATCGTGGTCGTGATTGCGTTATACCATATTACATATGATATGAGCTCGGATATTCCACGCCACTCCTGGACTTGGACTGGTTTCGATTGGAAAATTCGCACAACCTGTTTGACACAAAATAAAAACAACGTGTACGCTCCGGAGGCGCGAGCTTGAGTGCGACGAGCTTCGGATATTATAATAGCGCCCGACTGCTGTTATATTTTTTCTTTCAACTTGCTCAAGCGCTGCGTGATATATAGCCTTGCAGCTTGACAAAATTCCGAGCATACTTTGCTCGCGTGCACGCACGGAGCTCCTTTTTTCCGAGCCGCCGAAAAAAGTTACTTTTGTTTATAGACACGTTGACATGTATACATAATCTTTAATCACACGCTTTTCGCACGCACTCGAGCACACACATATCGTCAGTCGAGATTTCCTGCTTCTCTCTCTCTCTCTCTCTCTATCCACAAGTTAAGGCAACAATGCGAAAGACACGTTATATATTAAACTTTTGCAAGCGCAAAGTCAATTCTCAATGAGACATCTGAAATGTACATTAACGCGGACGTTTTGTTCGTATCTTTTTGTTGCAGAGTCATCGGTACAGCTAGATCATCGCATTAGTGCAACCAGTGCAAGTTTATAAAAGCAGCCTTTTGTGAGCTAGTCGTCGTCGTAGTTTTTGTGTTGAAAACCAATTTGGAACAAAGCCTGGATCATGTTCATTTGGGACTGGTTCACCGGAATTCTCGGATATCTTGGTGAGTCAAATCCAATGTCTTCTCAATCATGTTTTATGCATTATTACGCGTTAGTTTCTGCCTTATTTACTCGATTCGCGATGTATTTAACTGTAATCATTGATGCGTTGATGCAAAACAACGCTTATTTCAATAAGTAGTAAATAATCGTTTTATCTTTACTATTATTTTTTTTCTTTAAATGTTCAAAAAAATTTGATATCTAGAGCTTTACATATGATAACACTTATTTTACAAGTATAAATATATTTTCAATTATAGTTTCAAAATATATGTTATGAGTTCATTGGTTCTCTTTTTCCAATACATAGTATAAAATTATACTCATCATGCATGTTATAAGACTTGGCACAACTGTTTTACTGCAGTAAATAGGTATTCAAGTTTACCTTTGTTGTGGAAGATTTTCTATTTTCAGTTTTCATGCTGTTCCAATCTAATTAACTATGAGAATGCTATCGTTCAAATAGACTTGATTAAAAATCATTTATAAAAAATCAAAACTTTATTGTAAAAAGTGCAATATTTTTCTAACATAATTCTTATTGATTTTATTTAAGGTTTGTACAAGAAGAGTGGTAAACTTCTCTTTCTTGGCTTAGATAATGCTGGCAAAACCACATTACTACATATGCTCAAAGATGACAGGCTCGCACAACATGTACCCACATTACATCCAAGTAAGTTTTTAGTTGAACTTTTCAAAAATTTAAAAGAAGTATAATTTGATCATACTCATAAACAATTCATTGAGCTGGTATCTAATTTGAATAGTTGTAAGTAAAATAGCAAGCTCAATCATTACTGAAAATTTTCTGTTCTTTAACAATTTGATATAAGTAAAACTACAAGTAGATATAAAATATTAATTGAATTATTACTTTTTAGCATCGGAAGAATTATCTATTGGTAACATGAGGTTTACCACATTTGATCTTGGTGGTCATACACAAGGTATTATTTTGATACATGATACTATTATTGATTTAAAAATAAATGTGAGTCATTTTAATTTTTTTTTATTCTTACAGCAAGAAGAGTCTGGAAAGATTATTTCCCTGCAGTAGACGCAATAGTGTTTTTGGTAGATGCTAGTGATAGAACGAGATTAACTGAATCTAGAAAAGAGTTGGAAGTTCTTTTGACTGATGAACAATTGAGTCATTGTCCGGTGCTTGTTCTTGGAAATAAAATTGACAAGCCTGGTGCAGCATCCGAAGATGAACTTAGGACTTTCTTCGGTCTATTTGGTCAGACTACTGGCAAGGTTCGAATTTGGAATCTAAATTAATAATATTTTTATGCAATAGTATGACGAAAAATGTCTTTTTTCGCACATTTTTTAGTGCGCCAAAAGCGTTTTTGGACACTTGTGTGCGGTAAAATGCTCCATTTTGGATACGGGTGTGCGGTAAAACGCCTCATTTAAATGAACGTATTTTTCGTCTACTATTGCATAAAATTTTGTATGCAACACGTGCCCAGCTTTTTGCGCACAGTGTGCGGAAAAAACACCCTCTCGTGCCGGCATAGCCGGCACTCGTGTCTTTTTCCGCACACTCGTGCCCAAAAACGCCTTTTGGGCACTTGTTACATAAATAACTATTTTGTATTACTTGAGAGTTTAAAACTTAATTTTTATTTAGGGTAAGGTTCCTCGTGGAGATCTTCCTGGACGCCCATTGGAATTATTCATGTGCTCAGTACTGAAGAGGCAAGGATATGGCGAAGGTTTTCGCTGGCTTGCACAGTACATTGACTGAATTCATAAAATTTACATCTGTACACATCAACTCCCCAGTAAAACATGGTTTTCAAAATTACTCTTCGTTCTTCACGTTGGCGTTAGTATGACAGGATGAATTAAATTTCTATTGAAAAACTGTATTTAAATAATAGGTGAGGGTTTCAGTGAATTTTAAAACACAAGTCAGGAACATTGTGTTCAATGGTGGTTAGTTGTAAGCTCAAGTCCTGTGGTATCAAAGCCGTGACGAGTCGACACACTTATTTATAATGAAAACTGCATTCATGAAAACTCATCGAAATTTTTATTCTATAGAGTTTACTTAGAAAATAAAGTGACATACTGAGGAGTGATTGGAACATTTTTAATAATGAAAACAATAATAAATTAATTATTTAAGAAGTCCAGATATCTTTACGATTCTTTTATTTCATACATGCTTTGTCAAAAAGGCTTGATTGATAAAAAAAAAATTAATTATTCATTTTACCATTCACAAAACATTGATCTATTAGATAGTTGCTATTTTTGAGACTATAAGAAAACATTTATAGATATGAGAATCTTTTTTCCTACGATAGACAAAAAGATTTTCAGAACAAATTAAAAATCCGCTGTAGTAAAATTTTTGTAATGTACACCCAAACGAATATTTTTTAATCTTTACTTTTTGTTACTATAGCTTCATTTTTCGAAATAACATATTCCAAAGATTGATGAAAAATCATCTGTATCTTCTACTATTGTGAAACAACATAAATTATCTCTGTATGTAAAGGAGATTATTTTTAACAATTTTTTTCTCGTATTATTGTTAATTTTGATAGAAAATGCGCGCGAGTGAGTACACAATTTAGTAATTTTAATTTATTGTAAAAATAACATCCGATGCTTAATGTTGATTGTGTGATTGGTTAATTCATTATATAAATAATATAAATATGTTCAATGTGCATCTGCAATAGATCTAAGATACATAGTAAAATTTGCATAACTTCTTTGGCTTATTTTACACGAATAAAGCGAATGTTTTTACATGCAGAGGTTTTGATTTGAAAATAATGTTTCTTGTTTCATAACTTAAATTTACGGTAAAGCTAATTCGTCTCTTGGGGATAAAAATTGGAATCGTTTTTCGATCTGTTCATTTGTTACTTTCCGTAGTACTTTAGGATTCCACTTTGGCTTCTGATCTTTGTCTATCAGTCGAGCTCGGACTCCTAAAATTTGATAGAAATTACTATTAGTTGCGTATACTTTTTTCGTAACTCTGTAGGCATAAATAGTTACTGCTTCATTTTGACTTGAGTTAAAGAGATGGTGAAGCTAGCCCAAAAATCAAATTATTAATCTCCTTTTCTGAAACGTTTTCTAAATATTTCTCGAAAAAGTTCTATAAACCCCAAAGAACTTGAGCAAGAATATTTAGTAGAAGTTTCAGTGAACGGGATGGATACTTTTTTTGAGCTGGCTTTTTCATTTCTTTATAAATGTAATTTTTAATTTGGAAAAAAGGAAATTTTGGTTTGAAAAATCAATTGCCAATAATGATTTTGTTACCTTCGTAAAAATCGCTGTTTCGATTTAAGCAAGCCCATACCAGCCTATATTCTGTACTTAAACATTCTGCAAAATTTTTCTTGATACCTTCGTCAAAAGCCTTTTTTGTTACTTTGAGCGAAGTAGGTGATAATTTAGAAAGAGTTTCAATGACATTTTCCGCCCATTCAGATTTTTCGTCAGCCAATCTGGGTTCAATTATTTTCAAAGTAATAATTGAGTAATTTAAAAAATGATTAATTTCATAAAGCTGCATACCTTTCAATGATACCTTCAACGGTTGACGGTGAAAAGCAGTCGTTGATGGTCTTCAGGTGAGGGGACAAGCTGTACTCTTGGTTATCAGCAGTGCTATATGGTTTCAAAATATCTTCAACTCGTTTATTATTCAAAATAATATCATGAGTGACTTGATCAATTATTTCGGACGGAATGTAGTGCGTAGCGATTCCCGCGTGCAAAACATCGGCACCTTTCAACCGGTAGCCTGTGAGGCCCAAAAACAATCCCAGCTTTCCCGATAAACGGGGCAGAAAATACGAGCTTCCAACGTCGGGGAAGAGACCAATGAGATTTTCCGGCATGGCGAATATTGTCCTGTCCGTGGCCACTCTGTACTTGCCGTGAACCGACAAGCCCACGCCACCTCCCATTGTTATTCCGTCCATGATCGACATGTACGGGACTTGGTAAGTACCAATGAGATAATTGAGCCTGACGATCGAAAAGTAATATTTGATTTTGTCGCGTTTACATGCGATGATTGAGAAATGAGCCAATTACCTGTACTGCTCGCGAAACAGGGTTCGACCGTAATTTTCACCGCCGGGTTTTTGTAAATTTAATACGACTGTTTTGACATCTCCGCCGGCACTGAAGGCTTTGCCACCAGCTCCTTTGATGACAACTATATTTTTTTCCGACTGCCATCGTTTCAATGCCGAGCTTATTTTTCGTACCATCGATAAGTTAAGAGCGTTGAGCACTTTTGGCCTGTTCAAAATTATGACTCCACTTGTTTTCACCTGTTGAGTAAAATGTTTGTTATTAGCTTCATGAACGTTGGATAATTTTGCTCGCTCGATCTAACTCACATCTTCGATCAGAATATCGGTTTCTTCGTCGGAGATCTTTTTCGTGGAAGCTTACCAAAATGAATCGAGATTAAACAATGCATTTTCACTTGATTTTTAAAAACGGTGACACATTCATGAAAGTGAAACGATAAGAAATTGTCATTGATCTTGCATGTTAGGGCGAAGTTGATGCGGTTTAATCGAGTCGCAAACGAGTCGGATGTATATAGTAATAATAATAAACAAGCAATCGCTTTTCACGGATACCTGTTTTCTGCGCGCTAAACGTGCGAACGCAGCAGCAGCGAAGCTTTGGCACTGTGCCGCCGAGGTTGATTAACTTCGTCATTGTGCGCGCAGTGGTTTTTCTGTGAGAATTTCTAAGCGCGACTTGTGCTACACTCGCCGAACTGACAATGGACCAAAAGCATCGCGAGACATGTTTATTTATTGACTATGCGAGAGAATAAAAAAGAAAAGTTCGCAAGTGCGGGATTGAAAGTGACTCACTTCACTCCGACATTTTTCACCTGTTAGTCGTAGAGCAATTTTGTTATATGTGCGCGCTATGTCTTTCGCGAAAAGAATGAAAGTGTCGTATACGCAATGGCAAATTTAGTCGAGCCAACGAAATCAATGTCAGCGCTGATATACATATATTTGACTAGACAAACGCATGACCATTGATTAATGAACGAATACAAGACTAGACGAGGTATCGTCAGTTTGAAGCTTATAAGTATAATAAACGGCACGATAGTGATTTTTAAACATAACATTTTATATACAGAAAAAATAATAACCATACAAAAATATTGACAAAAAATGTATAAAATAATTAATAAAGTATCACATTACATATTTATAAGTGAGAAAGTAACAAGTCTTTGTCTGATGATAATGGAGCAAATCTTTTGTCAATCATTGCGTCCGATACGTCACTCAATTTCTTTGGTTTCCATTTGGGATTCTGATCTTTGTCAATCAATAAAGCTCTAACACCTGAAAGATACATAATTAGATACTGTATCGGTAGAATTGTTTGCTTCAATAAATACCTTCGGCAAAATCACTATCCTTGGTCAAACATGCGCAAGCTAATCTGTACTCCATCCTCAAACATTCGGCCAAAGTTTTGGAGGCGCCTTCCTCGATGGCTCTTTTGGTCACTTTCAAAGACGTGGGTGACACTTTGTTAAGTGTCTCAACGATGCCTCGAGTCCAGTCTGTGTTTTTCTCTTCAAGCCTGTCAAAAGGAAAATTTTTATTGAATTTTTGAGCGAGACTTTTGTGAAGATGATTCTATTGGGTACAAACTTGGAGATGATTTCTTCGACAGTTGGAGCCGAAAAGCATTCGTCTATTACGTCCAAATAAGGCGCCAGACAGAATTGATGGTTTAAATTTTTTGGCAGATACGGTTCCAGAATTTGATCGACTTCCGTGCTCCTTGACGTGAGCTCCTGAGTCAACGACTCGAGTTTGTCGGAGGTCGTGTAATGAGTCGCGACGCCAGCGAATGCAACGTCGGCACCTGAAAAACATATAAAAAGGGTATTAAATAGAATTAGAGTAAATTATTAAATAAACAATGGTTTCAAATTTTACCTTTAAGTCGGTATCCGGTTAAGCCGAAAAATAGGCCCAATTTTCCCTTGAGTCTCGGTAAGAAATAGCTTCCACCAACGTCGGGAAACAGACCGATGGCGGTCTCTGGCATAGCGAAAACTGTCTTCTCCGTAGCCACTCGGTACTTTCCATGCACCGAGAGACCAACGCCACCACCCATTGTAATTCCATGGATCAACGCGACGTAAGGCTTTTTAAATGTACCAATCAGATGGTTGAGTCTGCAATTTTTTTGAAATTTTTTAGTTTAAAAAATAAATAAAGGAAATTAACGACAAAAACGTCGAATGGAGAAAAAAAATGCCCTCACGTATACTCGCGTCTAAAAAAGTCCTGGCCCAATTTCTCGCCGCCGGCCTCGTTGAGCGCAACGACCAAGGACTTGATATCTCCACCGGCGCAAAAGGCCTTGTCCCCGGCGGCCTTGATGAGGACCAAGTTTCGCGTGTCCTGCCATCGCTTGAGCACCGGGTAGATTTCATTGACCATCGACAGGTTCAGAGCGTTGAGTACCTTTGGCCGATTCAGCTCGATGACTCCGCTGTCCGCCACCTGTGGATGATCAGCGTTTCGATCGATTGTTTATTGTTTGCGCGCGCGTTGTTGATCATCGTGCCGCCTGCACTGCGCTTTATAATACAGCCGCAGGCAGCAATTGTTTCTCATAATTAATTTTGCATTCCAAGAAATAACACTCACTTCTCTCAGTAAGACCTCGGCATCGGTGTTGGCTGAAAAGAAAAAAAAAACGAAAGTCCGTTGTAGAATCAGACCGAAAGATTTGGACATGTGGCAATATTTTTTCTCGATACATTGAGATAAGAGTGAGTGCGTATGTGTGATTATTACCGGAAGACATCCTTCGAGTTAAGCAGCTATTGTAACTCGTCGTTGCGGCCGATAATCTTCCATCGATTAAAATAGCCCGTAACGTCGTCGCTGATTTCATCTAAAATAGACGTAGAGCACACATTTATAAAGCAAAATGAAAGGTAAGTGACGGACGCGAGTGACGAGAGGCTTTTATTTTTTGTTTCGCTATTCGCTACGACGTAGTCGTAAGCTCGAGAGAGTTTACCATATTTCCCCGACACAGACTATTTATGCAGTGCAGTATATAAGCAGTTGCTGTTGTCACTCGTGACTCGGCTCTCCTCGACGAAGCAAAAAACAGATTCAACTCGCAGCACGACCAAGTGCTCGATAAGACTGCAACCGGCCCCAGTGTGTGTGTGCGCGTGCACTGTGTTGTAGCACGATACGCGACAAGCTGTTTTGGCCATTCGGAATTAAATCGAGCTTGCCTGCATCGCCAGTTCTTAGGTTATACGCTTATTTTTCAAATCATCCGCAGCTCCGTATCGAAGCTTTCTTCTCTCATTTTTTGCTTTCATAAGTCGACGATTAGCTTGATTTCGATCGTAACATCGACGATCATTTGCTTTTCGGCTTTTCGTTCGATTTTTTCACGATTATTTTGCGGTCGACAAATCGTACCAAGTATCTCATGTTCGATGGTAATTGACAAACGAAGTATGAAAATTTGCCACGTGCTACCGAGCTGCTGAGTCAAGTCGTACAATGACTGTGTGCTTTCTCTTCAATATAATTTCAATTAGTTAATTTTAGTTAACTTTCTCAACTTCCAAGAAAAAAACATTTTAAAACGATTGTTCTAATCGATCGTCGTTGTTGATCAATGAAAATGATCCGTTCATTAAATCGCACTTTAAAACGAGCATCGAAATCGTCGTGAAAAGTTTTCCATCTGACGGCTAAAGATTTTGGCAATTGTTTCGTGTACAACGTACTGATGACGTAATCGCACACCACCCACGCATCTAGAAAGAAGTTATGATACGACCGAGGGAAGAGAAGTTATGTTAGCATGACATTAAAAAACGATAATGTACACCTGCAAGCTGGGCTTGCGTGTTAATTGTTTTTCGCGCGATAATAATGTAGCAAGGCGCAAAATACGCAGCCCCTATAGGCACTGCACTCGATATCTTTTTTAAGGGTTGTTCATTGCAGCACTGCAAGAGAACTTCATCGATATCGGACAATTTTTTTCTTTGCTTTTCTATTTTTTCTTGTCTTTTCATTTTTTTTGAATAAGTCACGTAAACATTCAATTTAATCTCGCGCTCAGGTATGAAAAAGAATTGTACGCTTGAAGATATGAGACTACGCGAGTCGCGAAGCGGTATTATTATTCGCAGCTTTTCGCAAATCATCTTGAAATTTTCGGAGCAGAACCAGTAATATCCAGACTCGCTCTCGCAATAATAAAATTCGTAATAGCGCGAACGTGCAGGGGTGGCCCTGCCGTATTAAAAACAGCAGCGGCAGCAGCGCTACGAACTCTACACTAGCGGCGCGCTTGGTTGGAAATTTCCAAAAAAAAAAACAAGCTAAAATATGGCAACAGCGGGTTGTTCGATGAGGTTGTGTGTACTACCGCATGTAACGAGCATTCCATATACATTGGCCTACATTATTATATCTGCCGTAAAGATACGCGCTTTGGCATTTAGATTTGGCTACGTAGCATAAAATGCGGGAGTCGCCGCCACCACCACCGCTGCTGGTGGTATAATGTGTGCGCGCGTGGCCAACGACTTTCACTGCGGTACAAATACATATATGCTGCATATTATGCATAATATACGCGAAATATATAGCGCACACGTGAATACGTGTACACATTTGTCGATGGTGCCTCTAACCTTAAATTGGCGCAATGATTTTTGAATGCGCGTCTGCTCAGCAGCGAATTCCCCGATGGACGGCAACTGGCAAGGGTCGAGAGACGGGGATATCTTTCACGAGCTTTTTTGCAAAAAATAGATGTTTTCTCGTTCGGTGGGTCACGTATATCTCTACTCGTTCTCTGTTTCAGAGGGGAAAAAACGTCGTCGCACGTTTTTATCCAACGCCAACTTCCGTATGACCATGGAATAGCGGTATTATGGGTATACGGAGTTGGACTATGGATTGTGCGCGCGCGCGCCGCAGCGAAATTCCAAAGAATAGGTGCCTACGTGCGCTGTATATATAGCTATACATGTCTATGGCCCATTGGAGGCGCGCAGTGCATATAAGGGCTCAATGAGAAAGTTGCTCCGATGGTCCGCGGCTGCAAGACAGAGACAGCTACATAGATTCGCGCAGTGAGCAGCAGCAGCGCAAAATCGCAAAGGAAGAGAGAGAAGGTACAGCCGCACTGGGCAGAAACGGCACACGCGACTCGTGGCTTGAAAGCCGCACCTCGTCGACACGTCGGGTGCGTCTCAAGTGCAGATTCACTACTCATGACCGCCGTTGGTCAGCGATATAGGTTATAAAATCGCAATTGTTATCTCCGCGTATCTTTTTCCCAGGTCGTAACAGCGTTCAGTGCAGCGCGCCCAACCACGGTGTAACTGTACAACTGCACAAGGCAGCGAACAAAAAAAAAAGAAAGAAAAAGAAAAGGAAGAAGAGAGCCCGAAACGGCAGCAACAGCGTTCGCGTGCACGAGCCTGCAGCCAGCGCGACACGTATTGCACATAGCCTCCGCGCGATCGCCGCGTGCGTGCTAAATTAAGTGTGTCTCTCTGTGCGTGCTTGTTTCGCTATAAGGCTCTATACACGGAGCCGAATTGGATTGTCGCATTATCGTCGCAGGCCGATTCGAGGCCCGATCGATTGGCCCTGTGAAATAGCCAGAAAATAGCGAATCTCTCGCTGGCGGCCTATCAACCGACTCCCCGCTGCCCTGCTGCTCCTGCTGCTTGCATTGCGGTCGAGCGCGCGTGAGTGCGAGCGAGCTGGAAAGCGCAGCACTCGGCCTCATCGTCGAGTGCCCCGAGAGATAAAGAGAGACGAAAGACTTACGTCGAGTATTTGACGACGACGACGACGATTAGTGCGTGTCTTGCTTGCTGCGCTGTAGAAAAAGACGGAACTCGGCGCGACGTGCGTGTGAGCACCTTTGCCATTGCGAGAAAGAAGGAGAGAAGAACGAACGGAGTTTGAGTAAGAGGAAGAGAGAGAGAGAGAGAGAGAGAGAGAGAGAGAGAGAAAGCGAAGGTGGAAGAGGAAAGAAGAGCAAAGCATGGCGAACAGCGTGGCGCCGGACTCGTGGGAGCAACACCAGACCGAAGACAGTAGCAGTACAGCGAACAGCGGCAACATGGACAAAGCAACAAGCTCCATCGAGAGTAAGTTCTCCACGCTGAACGTCAACGCGGCTGAATTCGTGCCTTCCTTCTGTATGGGACCGCCACCCTCGGCTGCTCCTGCTGCAGCAGCAGCAGCCAATACTCCTGCTTCTGCTCCTGCTGCTGCTGCCTCGTCAGCGGTAGCAGCGACGGCAGCAGCCCCTGCAGCTGCACCACAAGCTAACCGACAAAGTACTAATGTTACTTCTACTATCTCGTCCTCCTCTTCCTCCTCATCCTCATCGTCATCATCGACAGTGCAGCCAGCCAATAATCTTCTCGCACCCCATCTCGAGCAAGACAAACTTCAGCATCAGACAATACACCTTAGCAATAGTCCAGAGCAGATCATTAACAATCAGTCTCAATCTCATTTTCAACAACAGTCGTCCTCGTCGACGACGGCCTCGACAAATCTTAACGCGAGTGCGACACAGACGACGAGCAGTGCTGCACAACAGCTGCAGCAGGCCCCAGCGCCAGAGGATGACGAGGCACCTGCTGACACTGCCTCACTGCCGTCGTCCACCACGCACTCTCAACCGGCATCGCCGGCTAAAAATCCGGATGCCCTTAACGAATTCGACAGTGATATGCCTCCTGAAACTCATCACGGTTAGTCCCCCCTAACTTCTTCTGCCTCAATATTCTTCAGCCCACATCTAGTTTGCTCCTAGTTTTTGGCTTTTATTAATGGCATATCTTTGAAGATTTGTTGTTTATTTACAGTTATATCATTTTTACTTTTTACTGCTGAGTTCCTATGTGGCATGATCCTTTTATATTGTAGCGCTCTGGCCCAAAACACTTACCAGCTGCTTATCAGCGGTTAGGTTTTAACTGCTGGTTAAATATGTGTCTCGCATATTATGTAGTGCTTTGTGTGTGATTTAGTGTTTCAGCAGTTTTATTCATGCTCTTACACATCTGTCTCATGACAAATGTCATTGCAATGATAATCATACCAAGACGCCCAATATCAAAATATACCAGCTTGGAATTGCATGGTTTGATACTATTGAGCAAGTTTGTTTTTAAACTGCTCCAGTTTGGTGTGTAGATTTAAAACTTTAATTCAATGTTTGAAAGTAGTTAGACATCAGTTGATTATTGTATTTCATCCTAACGATGTTTGTGTTAGTAGCATAAATTTTGTTATTTGGATTTTCTTACTTTTATTTTGATTTTTTATTTTACAGTTGTAGCTCAATTAATATCTTTGAGTTCTTCAATGTATTTTTCGTCGAATGCTGCTATTTCAGCAACTTGAAATTTCTGTACCATCTCAGTAATCTAGTTTATGGATTATTTCTTCCATAATTTTGACTTGTTTCACAGAAGTGTCGATGAATGCTCCGATGGGACTCCTTTTATATAATTGTTATATTTTTCAAAAATGTAACAATAATAACCTGAAATATTTCTCATCCAACTAACCCATTTGCAATTTTTTGTTTTCCTTTAGACACAGATTCACCAACTGTTCCACCAGATCCTGTTGTTTCGAGAGACACAGAACCACCACCTCCAGGCACTCCAAATGCTGATTCTACAAACACTAGTCCAGAGCATCAGCCTGCAGACTCGTGGGAAGAAGCAGCAGTTGATGGAGAACCTTTGTTAACTCCTGAAAATGAAGAGGTAAGAAACAGGCAATTATATAATAACACATGAAGCTATTATGACTCATACTGATATCAACAGCTATAATGAAGTGTATCACCAATTAGTTCAAAAATCAATGCTTATGATAATTATCAAATATTTTAGGCAGAAAATGATATTGAAGATGATGAAGAACTGGTAGTTAAGGTGCCAAAGAAAAAGCCTGTTAAAGTTGCTGAAGATACAAAGAGTAAAAAGGAGCATGTTAATGTTGTTTTTATTGGTCATGTTGGTAAGTTCATTTATCAAAATCAAATTTCAAAATGTGAGCAGTTTTTAATTATATATACAAATTTTTTTTTATTAGATGCCGGCAAATCAACCATTGGTGGTCAAATTATGGCTTTGACTGGTATGGTAGACAAGCGTACACTGGAGAAATATGAACGTGAAGCTAAGGAACGCAGTCGTGAGACTTGGTATTTGAGTTGGGCTCTAGATACCAATCAAGAAGAACGTGAAAAAGGTAAAACCGTTGAAGTTGGCCGGGCCTACTTTGAAACGGACCGAAAGCATTTCACAATTCTCGACGCTCCGGGCCACAAGAGTTTCGTGCCTAATATGATTGGTGGAGCTGCTCAAGCTGATTTAGCTGTACTGGTAATCTCAGCTCGTAAAGGTGAATTTGAAACGGGCTTTGACCGAGGTGGCCAAACGAGAGAACACGCCATGTTAGCCAAAACGGCTGGTGTCAAACATCTAGTTGTGCTTGTCAACAAAATGGATGATCCAACTGTCGAATGGGATGAAGCAAGATACAACGAATGCAAGTGAGTGTAGCTACTTTTTTGCTACTCAATAATCTTTCAATAATTTACAACTCACCAATGTATCAATTTTCAGAGATAAAATATTACCGTACTTGCGTAAGTTGGGTTTCAATCCAGCCAAAGATCTTACATTCATGCCGGTTTCGGGACAACTTGGAATTGGATTGAGTAGCCCAATACCCAGAGAAATCTGTAATTGGTACGATGGTCCAGCATTTATACCTTTCATTGATTCCTTGCCCTCGTTAAATCGCAAGAGCAGTGGTCCATTCATAATGCCTATTGTTGATAAGTACAAGGATATGGGCACCGTTGTTATGGGTAAAGTAGAAGCAGGTGAAGCTAAAAAGGGACATCCACTTCTTGTAATGCCCAATAGAGTGAGTATTTAACTTATAATTAATTTCTCTTTGCCCCAAAAAACTTTTTTACATTTTATTTGTATTATTTTTTAGACACAAGTAATTGTGGACCAACTTTGGTCCGACGACGAAGAAGTCACGTCTGTTGGACCAGGAGAAAATGTGAAAATTAAAATCAAGGGTATTGAAGAGGAGGAGGTTAGTCCTGGATTTGTGCTTTGTGACAGCATCAAACCCATAAAGACTGGCAAAGTCTTTGACGCTCAAGTCGTTATCCTCGAACACAAGAGTATAATCTGTGCTGGTTACAGTGCCGTGATGCACATTCATTGTGCTGCTGAAGAAATCACGGTTAAAACTCTAATCTGTTTGGTGGATAAAAAAACAGGTGACAAGAGCAAGACGCGGCCGAGGTTTGTTAAACAGGACCAGGTTGCGATTATGCGAATTGAGTGCGCTGGAGTTATTTGCCTTGAACAATTTAAACTATTTCCTCAAATGGGTAGATTCACACTCAGAGACGAAAGTAAGTATAACATTTTTCCCTTAATAAATGCTCGTCTATTAGATATTTCAATATTCTAATCCGGAATCATTTTTATCATTTTAGATAAAACAATTGCCATTGGCAAGGTGCTGAAGGTAGTTGAATAAACAATTTTCATCGTTTCATCAAATAATAAAAAGAACATTATAACAGTGTTATGAAAAATGTGAAAGCAACGATGGGAAGCCGCACTTCATGTAATACTATGACAAAGAAACAGTATACTACAAATTTTTAACAATAAATAAATAAGGCGATTACTCGCGAAACACCGTCATACTGTAAACACATTAAAATAAAGTACACTGTCGCGTACGCACTATACAACACTCGACACCAATTTATACCTTCGTGTGCTGATGAGATTTTTTATCGGACTTGGCAAAGGTATACATACGTGAACTATTTATTATATTTACGAAGAGATAGTATGAAAAGAACGCCGAAATCTAATCTATTTTAGTCGTGTCTAGAGGGTTCATCAAAAAACGACTGATCAATTACTCAAAAATACATACTTTCTGAGGCAACGAGTGATATATCTTTAAAAGAATTATAAATTTTACAGTACTTGTGAAGTATATAAACGTTTTTTCACGTGCGAAGGTGAATTGTTTTTTTGAGAGTTTCGCAAGTTAATGCGGGTAAAGTAAAGTAACTTTGATGCATAAAAGAATGATTATTGTGAAGGATTTATTATTATTATTATTAACATTATTGTATTGATTATGTTGTATCACAATTTGGTGAGTTAAAAGAGCGGGTCCCCTCGGATAAACTTTACTACACATGCAATTTATAAATATTTGAATTATTTTTATAATATGATGATGATTATAACTATTAATTATTATTGTACTGTTTCTTATTTTATTGTCATTAAAAGCAAATATGAGAAGGAGAATATCTATTTTTATTTTGTTTTCAATACTTTTATGCTCAAAACTATTATAAAAAGCAAATCATTAGGAACGTGCTGTTTAGAAAAAACGGTACTAAGTTATGATTCAAATGTTGCAAAGCTATAGTTCGATACAGAAATAATTTTGTTTTGTTCTGTTTTGTTTTTTTTTTCAGCGAAAGTTTGAGCTAGCTTGTTGTATGTATCATGCGTATGTCGTCAGTGTAAAACGTTTTTACTATTGCTACTTGTTATTACATGTGCAGTTAGGAGAAATAAGTTAAGCTGAAAATGTGCATTATCAACAAAATCAGTATACAAATGAACTAAATGTTCGCGCAAGAGCTTTAACATCATTTTTTGAAGAAAATTCCCGATCTAAAAATCTTAAATTATCTTATGAACAATTTTGCATTATAGTGATAAGCCAGTCGTGCTTCGCAGTCATGACTTTTTGGACGAATTTTTTCTAAGCTCGTAACTTGATAATGCTTTTTACTATAAAATAAAATAGAACTATACTTTAATTGTGCTGTGATGCGTGACTCATCACAATCAAAGCATTGATGATAGTTTATATAGTAAAATATAAATGATTGGAATTTCTTGAAAAAAGTGTGAACAAAGACTTGCGTTTTGTGATCTGTACTGCACCGTTGTATCTTTGTAACATCAAATTCAAAAAAGTTTTTCTCCTTTTTTAAAATGTGACTATAATTATACAGAAATACGATGCATTAATAGAGAAATGGTTTAAAAAAAGAAAAAGTATAAATATTAATTTGGGAAATATTTGTAAAGTATGTGGATCGACTTTCGAGCCCATTGTTATTATTAAATATTATTATAATTGAAACTAATATTAGTTGATATACAATTGTGAAACTACCAATAATTGCTATATATATGAAAAGTATAAAAGTGCACAGTGTATGATGGTGCAATGGTGAGCAACTCAAAATAAATAGTAATATTAAATAAATAAATAAAAAAGGTGAATGTTTTGCAAAGTGATGATGAAAAAAAGTAGATTTCCAAGAGGCTTAGCATGCACCGCGATCTGAGGTCACATGCATATTTTTATATGTATACATAATAAAGTAACGATAATTGCGCCAAAATACTGTGGAAAAGACCGTATTTGACTCAATCAAATTTATCATCGTCATTATTATATATAATTCACTCTTATTCACGAAAAATAAAAGAATCACTAACACAAACCAAAAAAGCACACTTGAGAGAAAAAAGTTCATTATATCTATTTGTAATGACAGCTGATTTGTACAATACTTTGTCAATTTTTTATTTTGTCTTAGTAATACTGAGTGATATTGAACTGCTCAATTAATTCGCGTAACGACAGTGTTGTGTCTTTGAAAAAAAGCAAAAATAATAGCTTCCGGCTCAAGTTTCAAGCATCAGAAAATTAATAATTTTTTCTATGTAAAAAAAATAATTGTCTAACTGAGCGATGAAGAGAAAAGGAGAGAAAAATTAATAAATAATATATTATAAAATGCGATTTTTATGAATTAATACCTCGTGCATACACGAAAAAGAAAAAATCAAGGACAATACTACCTGGTACGCAGAGTCCTGAAAACTGAAGAGAAAAGAAAAAATTTATTCGTCACATAATAATGAGCACAGAAAAAAACAAAAAAAAACAATAATTATATTGTTAGGCTGCCTCGTCGTCGACGACAATGTGTAAAATGCGTTTTTCATCCATTATTTCGTATGAGAAAAGAAGGATATAATATATCATGAAGCTTTTAAAAGTGCATTTTAATCCTGTAAATAAAAAAGTATTTTATAGCAGGAATCTCAAAAATGTATGAAATTCTTTCAACCAATGGCCAATACTCGATCATATGTAAATTTTTTGTTGGATCAACAGAAGTATCATAATCATATTCTTTGATATTTTCTGCTACGATTAAAATTAGAGTTGAAGCCATAGCAGCTGCATTGAGAAATTGATCGTAAGATTTTTGGAATCGAATGTAAAGCGTTGCGCAGTAATAATTAACGATGCGCTACGGTGGGGGCGTGCGATTTAAAATGACTCTTTTGCTTTATATATAAATCGAAGCTTGTTAAATTTTCACCATATCGCTTTGAGGTTTTGATATTAAATAATGAACTGCGCGGCATCCTTGAACTAAAAGAGCATTGGCAAATATAACGCACGGAATTGAATGAATTAGACATCGAGACGTTGAGCCATAACAGCTCCGCGAAGCCGATAAAACGTGTAACTATGCCAATTAAATAGACTTGTGAGATTCCAGAAGTGTTAGACACTGCGATTCGATCGGCATTTACGGCACTCGAAATTCTTCGATTATACATGAAATTCGGGAACCTCAGTCACTCAGAGACCGGAGTTAGTAGCATCAGCAGAGCAGAGTTGTTGATAGGCGATAGCTGATCGCAGGTCGCGCCTTGAGCCATCGAGTCTGCGCAAATAATATCTCTCGTTCTGCTATAACTGCTCTGAGGCAAAGTCAGTTCCGCGTAAAGTCTGCTATAGCTATATAGGCAGACTAATACAATAGATATACGTAAACTCCGCCAGGCATACACACAGCGGAGAACGTAATTATACATGCGAAATGTGCGTTGACAGTGACGATGCTCCGTGTCACGTATAGTCCAGGATAATCGTAGTAGTGTGTAGACCGTAGTAAGCTGCTGGTGTCACGCGCAGCCTTCTCTCCGTTCGTTGTCATAGTTATGTTTCCTCGCAGAAGACGACGATAAGAAAACATGCAAAGTCGCACGATAACCGGGGAAGCGCAGCAAGTTCGATTGTTTTATCGTCTCCTCGTCTTCGCTGCTGCAGCAGCGAGCCACGCTATGCACTAATAATAACGTTCTGCATATTTCGCCGCGTGATGTTTCACCAGAGCGCATTAACGTAGTACAGAGCAGGCATAGCGATAGACAGATTAGAGCAGCAGCAGCAGCAGCAGCAGCAGCAGCAGCAGGAAAAGCCAGTCGCACATTGTCTCGTATTACGGATCGAGTCGTCGTCGTCAGCTGCTGCTGAAGATACACACGTACATACATACAACGCGTAATGACGACAGTGCCAAGTGGTCTTTCTACTTTCTACTAAATTTCGAGAAATCTCTGAAGAATGTAGGCACGCTATAGAGTGTGTCGATTATAGACGGAACTATGGTGATTCGATTGGTCTTTAGTAGACGACGACGCGCCTAATGCTCGACGACGTGCGTGCGTGTGTATGAGTGATATGTGCCAGAAAGATAATATTTGCGAAAAAATGTGTGTAACACCGTCGCTGATCAACGATACCGTGAGGACAACAATACTCGTTCAAATTTGCCGGATGATCGTTTTATTATTCATAAGCAGATGAGACTTGTGACACTTGGTCGTAGCTTCTTTCGCTCTTCTCACGCACCAGACACCCTTGTCATATTCATAATTAAACCCTACGCCGCCTCCAATTTTTTATATATGCCTCTGCAGCCTACCATCCCAAAATGTATGATAACGTAGGCTATTTTTTAACAACAGTCGCTATCATATTCGCCATTATTGCTGTTTTATTCGACAGGTTAGTTATGAGTTTTGTTTATCATTTTCTCACCTCAGTCTCAGCGTTAAAGCTATGTGATCTGATGGAGCTTTCATCGACTATCAATTAATTTTTCAAACCATTTTTTTGTTTATTTTGCAGCTTTTTCTGGGGAGTTTTTCTATGTATTTTATACGCAAGTAGTTTGGTATGGGGTACTCAGATTATTTGTCTTGTAAAAAATGCTGTACTAAGCCAATCTAATGAAAACTCTGCGCTAGAAGCTGATAAGTCTTGTGGAGTCTGTGGTAATGCTCAATGCAAAAGGCATCGCAGATCTCATATACATCCTATACCAAAAGTTCCCAAAGGATTTGACGCAGCTTTAGAATGCGTAAGTTTATCACTGAGCAATTATATTCTCCATGACTTTCATTATAAGTAACAACATATATTTTTATTTTAGCTTTTAGAGGAAATATTACAAACTTACGTCTGTACCTGGTATTCTAGTTTATCATCTAATGAAGCATTCGTCCAACAGTTAAGATTAGCCATTACAACTGCAGCTACTAATATAACTGGTCGTTTGTATAAAGCTGATCTTTCACAGATTATTTTTAATAATCTCATACCCTTGGCTCTTCATCATGCTAAAGACTGGCAAGAGTTGACAAAAAAAGTAAAAGATTTAGGGGGAACGCCAAATGATCATATAGCTGACTTTTTGGGTTCAAGAATCCATCCAGCTGCTTATTCCAGAGAAGCAGAACTTAATTATTTGAGAGGCCTTGTTGCTACATTGTTACCACATTTATTGCCTGCCACTCATGTTTCTATTAATAATCAAGTAAAAGTTACTATTCCTTCTTTTTAGTTTTCTTTTGTTTTCAAAATGTATTTTTTACTGTATTTTAATGAAATTTTTATTTTATTGCTAGGTTATTCTTCGAGAAGTTCTTGCAAATTGGGTTTTACTGCCAGCCATAGATGCTCTTGCGGATCCTGATAACTTAAATATGTTGATAGCCCTTTGCACACATCATGAAGGAAAATTTTCTCAATCTACTGACACTATATATGTTCCTATGCTTCAAAAATGGATTTCCAATCCACAAAGAACTCAAGATATTTCAAATACGCTAAAACCAACATTGGAAGAAGTCTTGAATGATCAAGACTTGCTTTATTTATTTATGCAACATATCAAAGACTCTGGAATAGTTAATTTACTACAGTTTTGTTTAAATATTGGTATGAAAGTACAATTTTCTACAAAAAAGTATCATTGTTATGATGAAAGTAACTTATTTCAATAATTTTCCTCTTCAGATGATTTAAGCAAAAGACTACTGAATCCAGATATGAAACCTGAAATGGAAGAGACGCTACATGCAGAAGCTCTAAAAATTTACTCAACTTATCTTGATCCTGAAGGGCCTGATTTTTTAAATTTACCCATCTACATAAGCCAAGGAATGAAACAAAGTAATACCAATACTTCATTACCATATTAAATTTCTATTTTGTATAGAATGTATGGTTACAACTAATGTTTTTTAAATTTAGTTCTAGACCAGGGACCGAGTAAAGTGCAAGAGCTAAGAACTTCAAGACCCTTGTATGAAGCTCATCAAGAAGCTCATACGTTGTTAGAAAATACTTGGCTTCCTTCTTTTCATCATACATATCAAGTTAGTAAATTACAGTTCTAATAAAAAAACCCAAGTACTAACTTCCATAAATATGAATTATCTTTAATTTTTAGATTTATAAATTTTTATGTGGCGTTCCTGTTATCAATACCAATGTCAAAACCAGTACCCAAAATAGGTACATTACTTTTATTAGTATTTTAAAATATTATATAATTCTCATAAACTTGATATATTTGATGAACATCAAATGAATTCTTTGCTTTTGTTATGGCAGTATGTCTAGTGGTGGCGTCGGTGTGGGTACTCGTATTACTACTTCTTTTGGTAAAATACGCAGCGTTTTGAAAGCAGCCTCAGCCGTGGAAGGTGCACCATTCAATGCCCAGCAAATGTTTCAAGGTGCCGAGGAAACGAGTGGTACTAGTACCGCCGTTCGTCCGCCTAGTCGTGATCTCAGCACTTGGAGAGTTTCGATACCACAGGTCGAAGGTTCTGGTGTACATACACTTTACACAGTCGCCGTCCATAGCGTGTCTACCGACAGGTCTTGGCAAGTTCTGAGGCGTGATCAGGACTTTTATGTACTCCGAGCAAGGTTATCAGAGTTCCACGGTGATAAAGAACTCAATGATTCACCCTTGCCAACGAGAAAAAATGCAAATTCGTCGCAAGCGGCCAACAGGTGATGATACATATTTGATTTACTATAAAGACTATGACGATTCTAAGCTACATAAAAAAATATTAATATCCTTGTGTAGGCAACGTTATCAGGACTTTTTGCAACGATTACTAGCCAAACCGACGTTGCGCAGTAGCGAACTTCTGCACACATTTCTCACGGCACCGAATCTAAAATCTTTATCGGCCAATCAAACCACTCCGGATATTGGTGTCCTCTATCAAAGTATGGCACACAAATTACGCAAGGAAAAGGGACAACACCTCGACAAGTTCATGAACCACTTTTTGGCTTCGACGAATTCGGATTTGCCGGACATGGGTGTCGAAGTGGCTGGCGATCATACCTTTAACGAAAGTCAGATTCGTGGGCGTGATTTACTCGGCATGGGACCTTTCCGCAACAATTTGAATCTCGATTCAAGAATACAAAATTTCCCGTACATTGTAAATAAGCTGCAGCACACGAAAGGCGCCTGCTTCTGCATAACTGAAGCCAGTAAGTTTTCGATCATGCAAAAGTTAAATATGAAAACCTTAATGAAAAACTCAACTCTAATTCATTTATTTATTTACAGTTGATAGTTTAATTGAAGTACCCGGAACGTTTTCAAAACTACTCTGGGTAATGGCTTCGACCTTTCGACACAGTCTTGATCCATTGATTAATCGATGGTTCTACAATATGATAGTAAAATTATTGAGTGGTGGCAGGGCAGCTCTTGTAGTAAAACTTTTACATTCGACTATTTTTGATACGGATTTCGAGGACGAAGATTTTGATACCTCCTCACCAAAGCTCGAGGCCGAAGAGCACTACAATTTAGCGAAAAGTGGTCTTTACAATCTTGTGCCATGGTGGGTGTTTGGTGTACATTCCAAGTGGTGTGAATTGATGGATTCCTTCCTAGAGCCTATACAAAACGCTCCATTTAATAAACATTTGGCTTATACGTTGGTCGATCAGTTGTTGATCAATGTGTTTCCAGAACTGACTTGAATCCAATCCTCTACAAAATTAATCGATGAAAAATTGTATTATATGTATAATATTATATATTAAATTTAAGCGAGTGCGCGTGCACTAACGTAACGTAATATTTAGAATTTTTTGTACATTTTGCGTATGTATATGTGTAATAATCGTCGATGGTGTATGTAAGACGTTAAAACAGCAAAAAAAGCATATTAAAGACAAATTAAGCGCACATTCAAATTGGGAAAGTAAAATTTTTTTTACTTCTACACGGGCTTTAAGTCATATCTCTTTTTTTTATCAAACGAGCATTTACGAAAGTGATATTTTGAAAATGTAATCATTTATATTCGTTATATTAATATGTATTATATTATCTTCGTTCTCTCTCTTATTCTAAGTTTTATCCATTTTTATAAGAGTACAATCACATAAAAATGTTCAATTAACTATTTATGTAAATATTAAATAAACGATTTTTAACTCATTGAAATTGCAATAATATTTATTCGAAAAATCACATTTACGGTATAGAATATATTATATATTTTTGTTCCAGATTAAAATTACAATAATTTTATAATACTATTACGTAAACCTATACGAATCTGTGTACGTTACGTATTGCCACAGCAGTTAAAAATTATTCATAATAAATCTAAGACTATTTATGAATTTTTTACTCTTACGACAAGAAAAAACAATAATAATCATAATCGATAATAATAATGGTAATCATAATAATCGTTAGACGACGATAATAGTAATATCTAAATGTAATAACAGCTAAGATCAGTCTTTGGTGCAGGTATGTGCGCAATGCTTATAACTCTATGTTACATTCTAAATTAAAAACCAATTAGTCGCGCGTCATTGCGCTCTTCACACTCGGGCTCAGTTTTGTATCACACGCTCACACACATCTTAGTCGATTAAGTCAACAGATTAAAATACCAACAAATGTCCCGGTGGACGCACTCGTCTCGCCAGGAACCAATTCGGTCCTCCTTCTCCTTCATTACAACGATCTAAAAATGAAAATACGCTCGTGCGGCTGGATACCAGCTCCTTGATAATTGCCTCGGAATTTTGTACGCATAGAAAATTATTCATACACAGCTCGCAAGGACAAAGTATATAAGAAGGACGCTCCTCCCGTCCGCGCGCAATCGCACTTTTGCTTTTACGTCTCCATAATATGTACAATGAACATAATTTATAATTAAGTCTACGATCGCAGCTACCTAAAGCTGATTCGATTTGTTTGGTCGTTTATACTTTGACGTCGTAGCTGTTGCCGGCGATCGAGCTGTTGATACTGCTGCTGCTGGGCTTGTTGCCGCCCAGCTCGAACTGAATCTGCTCGAGGGTCTTGCCCTTGGTCTCGGGCACGAGGAACAGGACGAAAACGATGCCACCCAGGCAGATGCCCGAGAATATCCAGAAGCAGGTGTAGTTGCCCGCCGCCTCCTCGAGGGGCGAGTAATACTTGGTAACGATGAAGGCCATGAACCAGTTGAAGAGGCAAGCGCTGCTACCGGCGATTCCTGCGAGTCAACAGAAAAGCGATCGATTATAGTACACGATCGTGATTGCGTGGCTCGTTCATGGCGCAGTCGAAAAAGATATTGTCAATTACCTTTGATCGTCGAGGAGAAAAGCTCGCTCATCATCATCCAGGGTATGGGTCCGAAACCAATGGAGAACATGAAAATGAAGAGGCAGATGCAGAGCAGCGGCAGCCAGCCGATGCTCTTGACCTGCTCGGCGTTCTGATGCTTCAGGAAGAAGTAAATGCCGATGATGAGGGTCGTGACGAACATGGAGACGATCGAGGACAGCAGGAGGATCCGACGACCGGCCCGATCGACGATCAGAGTACTGATGAAGACCGCGACGACCTGGATGACGCCGACGATGATGGTGGAGGTCGAGGCGCTTATGTCCTCCGAGGCCGAGGCGAAGATCTTCGAGGCGTAGAAGATGATGGCGTTGACGCCGCTCAGCTGCTGGATGAACATGAGACCGAAGCCGATGACGAGGCCTCGGATGGCCGCGCGCGACCTGATGGCCGTCGAGAAGGACTCCTTGTTGCGCTCGGTCTCGGCCATCACGGCCAGCTGGGCCTGGATCTCGGACTCGACGTTGTAGTTGGGCCCGCGGAGCCGCACCAGGGCCGCCCTCGCCGAGTCCTCGTCGCCCTTCTTCAGGTAGTAGATCGGCGACTCGGGCATGAAGAAGAAGACCCCGGCGAAGACGACCGGCACGACGGTCGAGAGCAGCGACAGCTGGTAGATGTCGAGGACGGTCGCCAGCAGGTACGTGAACAGAATGCCCACGGTCAACATGAGCTGGAAGTAGGAGCCGAGGGTGCCCCGAATCGAGCTCTCGGCGATCTCGCTCGTGTACATTGGGGCCGCGACGCAGAAGGCGCCCCCGCTCAGGCCGACGATGAAGCGGCCCAGGTAGAACATGAGGACCGAGTTGGCGAAGCTGATGACGAGCCAGCCGACGGTGAAGGGCACGGCCAGGCCCAGCATGGCCGTCTTGCGGCCGATCTTGTCGGAGATGACGCCGATCGGCACGCAGATGGCCGCCGCTCCCAGATTGACGAACGAGCCGATCCACGAGTACTGCTCGGCGTCCACCTCGATCTTGTATTGGCGGCTGAGCTCCTTCTCGTCCTTGACGGCCGCCGTCCAGGCCAGCACCATGCCCATGGCCAGGGCGCCGAGGGTGGCCGACACCGCCGCGATGTACTGGGGCAGCTTGGCGCCCTCCGTGGCGCTACGGTCGCCCGGGCTGGAGACCAGCGTCTGCTGCGAGATACCGATGTTCTTTTCCGGCATTTTGCGGCGGCCTCTCGACGAGCTCGACGACGATGCTTGCAGTAACGGCGTGGACTCGTTGTCCTGCGGATCATATAAAGTTTTCTCGCGTTAAATCCCATTGCGAGCATAGCGGCGCGTGTATGTACGCGTTGAATGTGCGCGCGATCTGGAGAGCGCGAGCGGAGCTCGAGGATACTCGAGGGGGCCGCGATCGTTAAAGGCCACGGCCGATCGCGATTGCGGAGCTATAGCTCGAGCGGCGTGACCTGAACTTGAACGGAAAAAATCGATATCCGCTCGTTGATCAAAGTCTCCCGAGCGAGCCCGTGTAGCTGAGCTTTTTGCATGCGAACGCCAAGACATAAATTTTATACGTTTTGCGTTGTATACAGATAGAAGGAGTAATCATTGTCGTCCGTTACCGAGTTGACGCACACATCGTACGGAGACGATCTTTGACTCTTCTCGTTCGAATATCGAGTTTCGCGAGGTACATTTATCGCTATTGCAACGATTGCGATTCTTGCGGCTAACGTATACATGATGACAGCGTGTACAGTCGCAAGAATGAGTCAGTGCGTAATTGATCGCAACGCATGAATCGTCGACGATCTTGCGGACGATTCCACACACGCATTTTTGTCTATACGATACGCGTGTATGCGTAGCTCTTTCACGCCCACGGCGCGTCGTCGATACGCACTATTTTTAATACATTACGCTGCCGTGAGATATTCGTACGTACCGCCGTGTAATCCGATTGGCCGTCGCCATCGTCTGCTGGCACTATAATATTCTCGTCGTCGTCGTTGCTGCTCATCGTATACACTCCACTCTTTCCTTATTATTTTATATTTGCAATCGCGAATAAAAATCGACCACCTCCGTAATCTTATCACCGCGAGTGTGAACGAAAAAAAAAATACGTTATCGAAGCGAGGAGGCGTACTCGAGCCAATTATTGTGATTATCAAATGTATTATACGCGAGTGCGCGCGTCGTTCGACGATCTTAGCTCGGCGACGCCATTACGACACTGACCTGCTGCTGCAGCGTATTTGAGTCAGTCATGCAATACAATGGCTGGAGTTTATACGCGACGAGTATAGCGCGTGCGGAACAAAGTACGAGGCGCCTCTCGATAGGCAACCGGATTAGCCTCGGTGTATAGCTGAACACTTTCTCTTTTTCGCAACAGCGCTGTAAAGGTTCGATCGTACTTTTAACGCAAACTTTCCGTTCGATAAGCGAGAGTGAGAGACTGAATCAATCTTTTTGAACTTTGGCACGAGACGATTGTGCATTTATAATAAATGTTCGCGACGATTATCGAGCTCTTAATTAACGACTCGAATTAAAATTGCCTAGCTGTAAACTGCCGCTGCGGAAAAAAAAGAGAAACAAGTCGCAAAGTGCGCAGCAGTAGGCGTATCGGAGTCGCGTCGAATGGAAAGTATGATACCTAATCGCGGACATTCATTACTTTGCTGCACACACACACATACTCACACACAGGCACGAAAAGGCATTAAGCCTGGAAACGCATCCCTTACGAAGCGGAGCCGGCTCGGCGGCAGGCGCGGGCCATCCATTTATAGATCGGCGCTCGTGCAGGAGCGGAAGTCACGGCGGTTGATCGATCGCGAGCGCAAACATCTTCGGCAAATTGCGCTAATGGATTTCCTCCTTTTCTGCAGCTTTTCTTTCCTTTTTTTACAACGCGACGCGACTCTTTGTACTTGGCTCTTGTACGGTTAGGACGTTGCGCCTTTGCTATAGAACGATTATTATTAACGCACGCGTGAGTGCACGAAGCTCCGTCGATCAAGGCGAGTCGATTTAATAAATATGGGTTAAGCATATAATTCACGAGTGTCGCGAGAGCGATCGATCGCGATCGGACGCGCAGAGAGAGAGAGAGAGAGATCGATGAGCGCGATTACGCGACATTTTTGCTGCTCGCTGCAAACCCGTGCCTTATCAACGTAAACAATGTTCCTCGTCGCAGTGGCACAACGCGACGCGCGTACAGGCCGCGGCCTCAGCGATACCATCTTCGCGTTCCAACGATTTCTGTCCCGCAATCGAAATAATTAGCTCATCCGAATGCCACGGGGGGCCGTGTATGCCACGTAGTCGGTCATATACGCATAGAGTCCGCTTAGCATCCAAATACCCCCGTACGTAGGTAGATTATGTGTCGCATCTTGCGCCTGCCTCGGCAGCATCTCGCTTGCCAGCCACTTGACTAATTCGAAGCGCGTCGGACCGCGCATACGTACGCACATGTTACGTGGGCTATGCCATAGCGATCGTCGCTCCTCTATTAAATGCTAATTCTCACAATTATTAATACATTTCGCGAGCGATGTATGCATTACACTTTGAAATGAGTATATACCGCATTATTATAGAAAAGGCTTAGTCGAGGCGATCGCGAGGCGCACGTTTATCAGCAACGTGATACCGATCGATTTGAATTTTTCATCGCGCGTCTTTCACGCGACCCGAAGCGCTCCAATAACGGGGGTTCGATTGAAAAAATTTCGTCGCTTGGGAGCCAAGTTCGGCGTCGATGCACCGTGAGTGCGAATCGCGACCCGAGACAGCGCCGCAAAGTTTGCGCTCTCTTAGATCGTTAGGAACGCAGAATCAAGGATATGGCGAATAATGTACGTATTTTATTATCAATCGTCATTTCCCATCGTTTAAGTCTAACTGATTCTGCGTCGGTTTATAACAGTACAATCGTTATATATACTCGAACGAGTATATAACCATTTCCGTTTACATAATGACGCGCATTGCGATACCGCTGCATAATTATCGCGCTCGCGAGTTTACATTTTTCTCTGCGCGCGACTTTTGTTCGTGGCCGCGTTCCGGGAGAGATGGTAGCAGGGACAGACCTCGATAAACAAACGAAAACAAGCAACAAAAATGTTGCATCCATATTTGAGCTGGACGTTGGCCCCAGCCAGCGGAGCCGCTTCGTTTTTTCTCCGACGTTATAATTTATCGGCTCAATTAAACTTTGGCTACGTGTGTGTGTGTGTGTGTGTACGAGCGAGCCCGCTGATGGCGCGGCTGCTGTTTCGTGCTCCGAGTTCGAGCTCGAGCGACTGCACTTCGTGCAACACCAGGTATAGCTATATACACATTTGTGCCGCGTGCGAGCGAGTCGAGAGAAACTTTTTTAACGGCTTTTGATAATGCACCGGCGCGCATATTCGCGTTTGATCGATACTTCATTTTATTTTCAGCTCCGTATTTATGTGCACCTGACCCGAGGGTGAAAGTACTGCGGGCAGCTTTTACACGTACTCGCGTAAAAACTACGTGGTAAAAACTATTCGTGTGCCGCGAGTTCAAGTACATAACTCAGAGCGAGTCACATGGGTGAAAATCTTACGTACACAGCGCGTAATTAAGCAGCTCGGCGGATAGAACGCGGCCAATCGGAATTCCGATCGAGTGCGTGTGAATTTTTCTGACGCGCAGCTGAAAAAATGCGAAACTCGCTGACAATAGCCTCGTGTGTACTACGGGTGTAGTGTGCAGTGTGTGCAGCGCAGCAGGTTTGATACCTCTATAAGCTGCTACACAGTTGCGTAATCGCGGCCAACAACGTGCGTTTTAACGGCCCCGTCGAGTGTAGTGTGCATTGCATTTGCCGCTCGACGTTATACAAAGAGATCGTGGCCCATTCCAGCAGCAGCAGCCCAGACCGCGCCTGCAGCTGCATTCGGCGATAGGCTAATTTTTTGCTGCAATTTATACGACGATTCGACGGACTCGACATGATCGCGAGATCGATTCGTTTACGCGTTTTTGGCGAGCCGCGATTTCGAGGAAACGCCTCGCGATTCGCGACTGTACGTGAGATTGAGCGCGATTTACTTCTCGTTTTCCGGACGAGCCTCTCGATGTGAGCGCCGATTTTGCAGCGAGCCCGTCGCATCTGTTTACATAAATATACACGTTGCGGCTGCAGAAAACAGTCGTTGTTATCTCGCCGACTTCCTTATTAAGCAATTTCGCAATTTCTGGCCAGGATATTCGTTCGTTCGGCGGTTGTATAGATAATGGATCGATCGTAAAAACATAAGCGCGGATATGTATATAATTGCAAAATGACAAGACGCTAATGATCGACGAGCGACGAACGACTGTCGCGAGCGGAAAAGATAGAGAGAGAGAGAGGCAGAATTACGGGAAGAGCTTGCTGGTGGTATTTGCGGCCAACTTTTTGCGATTGATATAAGGAACCGCTTGAGACAGATTAGTTGGGTTAATAAATCGACTACACATATGATTGCTTTTTGAACGAGCTGTCTTATCACTCGATTTGCAGTTCAGGAATATTACATCATTATAATATTTGGTACGGTGTTAAAAAATTTTACAGTATAATTAATGTAAAAAAAAGGAAGTCCAATTTCACGTACAAGCATATAAATTCATGTGATTTGAATTTAATATAAAAAGTTTTATGAATCATCACGCCTTAATTTAATGTCAATATTTTTAAATTTAATTTATTTAAATCACGTCAATTTTAAAGTAGTTATTTTTAATTTTTTAAATTTGAAATGCCAATTAAATTGAATTTGTAATTTTTAATTTAGTAAACTATCGTAAATACCTCAATTTAGAAATGAATCTAATTACGTCGCATTCATTGTCAATAACGTTAAAAAAACCTATTTCTAGGTTCAACAATTTTTAATAAGAACCGATGTTTTTTTTAGATACCCAAGTAGTTTTTCAAATCATCGATTCACCTTATAGCCTCAGTATCCCTTTAGAATATTCAATTAAATTTAATACATGAGATGTTTCATGTACAGTAACCGGGTATATCAACGCTGTTAAAGAAGAGTAGCACGTTTCTATACATTTTTAAATGTAAATGTGTGAAGTTCCTTGGAAGCCCTTGGTCCTTACACTTCTTGACAGACTCGTCCCGGGTGTACGGAGAGAAACGACAAAAGAAGACAGGCGGTTAAATAAATAACGGTTTATTTAAACTAATTTACCAGATTCCCGGCGAGGTATTCGCCACACGTGAGGCTATGAGAGCGAACAAAATTACAAGCGAGTTAATTCTAATTTGACAGAGGGTTTTATACAGATTTTCTTCTCTGCTCTCTCTTCTCCTCAGAGCGGGGTTAACCCCTCTCGTCGCCTCGAGCGCCGAGTGATGCGAGGGCTTGATGAAGGCGGCACAAACGTGCTAGTTTTCCTTAACAGCATCGATATATACAAATATTTTAATTTTTACACTTGTAGATTTACGGATAAAGGTACTCGACATCTAGCGGTGGATGTTGACGTTAAGTTTTATTAAATTTTGATAAATTGAATTTGACTTAAAAATAATGTATGTGATTACATTTCATGAATTTATAACTCTAATTGTAACCGATAAAATAATTAAATTACATGTAAAAATATTTTAAATAAAACTTAGTATCGATTATTTTAATTATAATGTCTGACTTTTACATTATATATTATATTTGATTTTTTTTTGTAACAGTAATTTATAAGAATCAAATTCGGCCGAGCAATGACACGATCGGCGAACTGAATCGATGGATTAGCTTTTCATTTTTTTTCTCGACAACGATAATGAAATCCGATGGCGTATGGCATGATGCGTGCGCGCGGGTGCAGGTTGATTTTGCGGGAGGAAAGAGGCGCCGGTCTCGCTGCTGCTTGCTCGCGGGGCACAGCCAGAGCAAAATCGTTTTCGGGAAATTACACGTGCAGAATATCCCCGAGGCAATCGCGCAGCACGCGAACAACGGCTGTAGCAATTTTTATCCTTGCTGCTGCTGCTGCTACGTACGGCAAGATTGTCACGGAAGAAACTGGGTCGAATGGGTTTCGTAGCTCTCGTGCGCGCTGCAGCTTCTTTTTTTTTCGTCCTCTAGCAGATCGATCCGAGCACATTCGATGCTGCTGGCGCTGCTACTGTGTATCGAATCTCTGGATCTAAATTACTTTCGTTCGTATTCTATTGTGTAGCACAGCGTGTTCAGAGTGAGAGAGAGAGAGAGAGAGAGAGGAGCGTGTGCAAGCCCAGGTATCATTGTTGTGCGCGATTTTGATAGGATTTTTTTTGCTCTTATACTTTCTTTCTCTCTCTCTCTCTCTCTCTCTCTCTCTCTTGACTTGATTCTCTCCTGCGACGAGCGAGCGGCATTTATTTATCGTGGGTGCAGCGCCGTAATGGCCTCGCTTCCACGCCGCTTTTTCGAGAGCGCGCAAATACACATGCGAGCAGAGGTAAATAACGAAAAAAAACCCGAAGAAATAAAAAACGTTACACTTTCGAGTATTTGAAAAAAAAATGTTGTACTGGCTATATATATCGTTGTATATAATATGTAATCGTCGATATTGGCACAAATCAACGCGTCCGATTAAGATCGGACGCGCGTCGATTCGTGCCGGCTATATAAATTCCTCTGCTCTCTAGACACTCTGTTTCTCTAGATTTTGTTCAAGATCGATCGCCTCGTCACGTACAGCACGTGAGCTTTCGCGGCTCTAAACTTCTCGACAATTGCCAAATATATATATCCTAATAGGTTTACGTGCAAAGTGCAAGGGTACACAAGTCGAAGGTCTCGCTTGCAGGCGCGCGATATCCTGCCCGGAGTTTTATCAACGTATTAGCGGCTCGATTCGTTCGCTGTACTATTGGAATGGCGCTCGCAAAAAAACTTCCTGAGAATTTGTGTATCGACGAAAATTTGACACGTACGTCAGAGTTGCGTGGCCGCGAGGCCGAAAACAAGTTGTGCAGCGGCCCAAGCGCGTCGGCGGTGCGCGCGATAATGAATAGCGAAAAAATAGCCTATACACCTACTGTGTACGTTATAATACGCCTGTAACTGGATAGGCACGCGGAACACGATGCCAACTAGCATGTAACAATGGTATTTATTCGACAATGCGATCAACGATGAATATTCCGACGACACATGTGTATTGTAAGCTGCGGCGCTTTGAATTTTCTCGAATCGTTGTGCAGAGTCGAGTGCGATTACGAACGACGACGATCGGCTTCTGCGTTCGGCATTGCACACTTGGACGATCGTAGGTGTATACCGATCGCAATGACGTTTTCGCAGGAGCGCAGGTCAAGGTATCGAGCGACCTTTTTTATACCGGCCAACTAATTGTCACACGTACACTTTATACATTGTTCACATTTACACTCCACACTACGTACCTTTTAAGACTGCAGCGAGTTGCGACTGCAAATTATCAAGAGCTCCGGCAAGAACTGGCCAAAATTTGTTTGTGTTCACCCACTGAGTGCGTATCGAAATCGGCGCTCGAAAAACTCAACAACTCGACGCGAAGTCTTTGTATTAGTGATCGAAAATAATGACAGATACAAAGTGTGTCTGTATATATCGAGAGAGAGAGAGAGAGAGAGAGAGAGAGAAAAGTCGAAGCGTCGGCCAAGTGCGATGTTTGAGAACTGAATCGCGCACGCGGTCGATCAAGCCTTTTAAATCGCGAGAGGCAAATGACTCTCTATGCGCTTGCCCCCTCCCCAATGTCAATCGTTTATATACACGCTGGATGTGGTGGCTATACGCTACTATAAGATATATACTCCGCGTACTCCACTCGCCGCGAGCCCTGATGAAACAAACTCGACGATGACGTTGCTCCGCGAGCGACTATATCGACGACGAGCTACCAAGGGGGAGGACGTTACGTATTATTACCTCAAGGTTGATGCAAAAAGTGAGGCTCGATTTCGCGTTGAAACGTGACCGAAAATGGCCAAAGAATCTCTCTTGCTGCCGATCCGGCCGAGAGATATCGTGGAGGCGCGTTTATTGTCGCGTCATCTTGATATTTGTGAATTTACCCTCGCGTCATCGCGATAAACAACATCTTTCCGACGAGATGCTGCTATTTGCAATACTCTCTGTTATTTTCTTCTTTGCATTATTCAAAGTGAGTTAACGCCAATATCGCGTTAGATAATTAAGTATAAAGATAAAATAAGTGCACATAGTTGTTTATCGGCTTGTAAACAATAGACGATCGCGTACCCGTGCGCGCGCGAATCGTCGCGCTTCGTGCGAGCGCATTTTCGGTGTGACAAAAAATTCTAATAATGCGTCATTGTTTATTGTGTCTCTGGTACCTCGATCGCGGTTCATTGACACGACGCAGGCCAATACCGAAAATTGTCGTTTCTCGCTGCGCGCTGTTGTTCAAACAGCTTTACACGTTTTTCTTCGCGGTACGTGCAATAAAGTACATTTTTCATGATATTTTCATTAAAAAGCCAGAAAAACGTCGACTACCGAACACGCATGCCGTTTATTTCGTAACTAATCGCCAGCTCACTGCTAAACAAACAACTGTATGCAATCACAAAAAAATAATAATACGTAAATATTTTTATTTACTAGACAAATCGATAAGGTCTAATCCGACCAATTAAATCGCGACTCGAATCTAGTTGACGTAGTACAAAGTCTACGAATTTAAAAAAGCTTTCACTCGAAAGCACGAAAAGTCTCGCGTAATCGTGCAAGATAGTTGGTAATCGTCGTTATCTTTGCTCGAGATCGCGATTGTGGCTGGCGAACTGACTGGCTTGACTGGATTTTTTTCTGAGGATTCTTTTGTACTTTGTTTTTCTCGGAAGGACATGATGATGGTTGTCAAGCCTGCGCTTAGCTCACGAGCTGAACGAGTGCACATAAACGACTCATTGATAACGACGTCGTCTAATGGAACACTTCCGATGTTTAGCAACATTTCGTCTTTAAGGAATTGTCTCGGGCGCGGGGAATTTACGCGCCATTATACGATAATCGAATTATTTGTTCGCCCGTTGCATCGTGTCAAAGCTCAGCTTTTCATGCATGTATATATTTTTTTTTAATAAACACAATGTAGATTCGAGAACAAATGAGCCTTTCATAATTGTGATAAATCCACGGCGAATCGGTGACATAGGTGTATGCGCGTTGCGATGCACAAACTCAGACATATGCACACACACAATGTGCAATCCACTTCGCGTGTGTCACAGAAAGATTACACGGTAAAATAATTTTTAATTTATTAACTTATGTAACTATTTTAATAAAGGAATTTTTCGCGGAAAAATAGTTGTATTATAATATAACGGAGGGAACGTTGCACATTGCGAAACTTTGTATTTTAATATTTATGACGCAAATTGAATTGCTTTGAAAAATATAATCAATATATATGCCTACCTGCTTACTTGCATGTGTCTGTATATACGTTCATGTGCAATGCTGTAGTACATGCAAACGCCAGATTTTTCATACGAGCTGCGCGCGGGCAAACAACTTTCATTTCTTCCAAGCGTTTTAAGAGTCGCTACGTGCTCAACAAGTTGACGCGCTCCTTGTTTTTCTTTTGATTTTTTACACATTTGTTGCATACATGATAATGTATTATGTAGAGCAGAGCACATCATCATCATCCTTGTCATGATTTGATAAAATCATGAGCAAATATATATAAAATACGTAATTGCGAATTTCCACTGAGCTGCACTGCCACTGGGCTAAGAGAGTCAAGGTTCGGAGTTTGTGTACCGAATCGTCAAGAGAAAAAAATGTTCTTTCTCGACTTTGCAGGCCAAGTCACTTGGCTCTTCGTGCAGGCACGAGCTAGAGAAGAAGGAAGTCTCCCGGGAAACTTGGTCGGCGTTTAATAATAATACACTTAGGCGAATACAAAACAATTATTGTCCACGATATCGCGTGCGAGCAGCTCGTCCGCCAAGCGATGCGTGCGTACCTATCAGGAATGTGTCGTACTTTATAAAACTGTTCATGAATATAATTTAGTCTCGTTTTTTGATTACTTCGTGCTTTAACAATCAGCTATTTTCCTTGAATTATGCTCGTAACTGTGTGCCACAGTCCTATTTTCGTGAAGCTTTGATATCGAATCTGATTTCTAATTTTAAAAACGTAATTTGATATTGAGGGATAAACCACGGAAAATGCCGCAATGTATACGCAGGCATAAACATCCACATAATATCGTACACAAACGCGTAATATCGTGAGCTGAAATTCGAAGCTCGCCTGTTTATTAATTTTAATTTAATCAAGGCGCGCGTCGCTAAGTTAAAAATACCTGGTCGAACGCGCGCAAATCGATTGTTTTTCTTTGTTTACAATTAACTGCGTTGCACACCTTAATTTATGTGCAAGCATTTATAATGGTTATTTAGTGTTCGGAAACTCTTTTTAATTGCTGTCTCATGATAGCTCAGGCTGCCACATACTTGCGGTTTGCAGCGTTTTTATTTTTATTTTATTTTATCTGGTTCGGCGCTTGGCTCGACTCGTAAAAAAGTCTTTTATTGTAAAATAAAAAATTGCTAAAACATTTGCTTCGTTAAAAGTCAAAAAGTCAGCTCCGAGAGCTTGATTAAACAAGCGCGCGAAAATGAGTTGAAAAAACCTCGGCCCTTATTTAGCCGACCCGAGTCGACTGACGATCTAAATGCGTAGTTACGAAGGCGAAGCAAATAACGCGCGCGAAAAGTCGCAGAAGCGAGTAAGCGATCGCAGAGAAAATAAAGCAAAAAAAAAAGAACGGGAGCGAAATAGCGGGTCTATAATGTATAGGGGAGTATCAATCGAGGGTACGTATAACGTGTCCAGAGCGTCGAATAAGTTTCGATCATTCTTTATCTGGATTTAATCAGTAGCACCGAAAAAGTCTGTACTGTGTACGCTCGGCTCGCGCGTCGAGAGCTCGAGAGAGACCTGCCGAGGAAAAATCGCCGAGTAGCGAGTCTACAGCGGAACGATCCAGTTGATGAAAGAAATAAAAAAAAAAAGAAGAAGAAAAAAAAACTTGCCTACGCTCGAGGAACTGGTATATATATAACGGAGGCGATAAGTTGCCTAGTCGATTACATCCGGTACAGTGTGTAACATTTGTATGGTTTATCGTCGAGCTTGGAAAATTTCATCGTGCACGCGCGAGAGAGAGAAAAAAAAGATACACCGAGCAATGCACGACGTATCCAACGATCGTCGGCTGCATCGACTCGAGAGTTTGCCTTTAAAAAAAAAAGCGAGTTTTTTTCCGACCAACTGGAAGAACTTGAAAATATTTAATTTGCACTCTGTAACGGTCGTTTGTTTTGGAATCGTCGCAACGTTGAAATGGGTATAAGCTGGCCGGACTCTCGCAGCAGCGGACTTGGATATTCGTAGCGCGCGAAGCCATAGCTATATATAATAATAGGCACGCAGAGAGCCGTGTGCGTGTTGGCCGCCTTCAAGATCGATTATGGAAAATTAAATTGTCAATCAAGTATGTTTATACAGCGCACACTAAATATAAATTACACGTCTGCAGCAGCAGCAGCAGTTGCGTTATATATTATTTCGCAGCGATCGATCTTGATTGTATATATAGAGAAGAATTGCTAAAAAGGATGGCGCGAGGCGAGCGAGGCGAGCGAAGCGTTACGAAAGTTAATTACGCCTCGAGTTCGCATACGAGAGCTCAGGATTTTTCCGATATTTTTCCTCGGCGTGAAGTGTACGCGATGATCAAGTTCATCATCCTCGTAAAATCGATGAATTTAACGGCTAAATAAACTTAACGCATTCGTACACATAGTTGAGAGGGAGAGAGGGAAAGCTGGTGCACGGTCATCCGCGCGCGTGTGTGACGACGACGATGATTTTCAATCGCGCGTATACGCGTCGTAAAATTTTAACTGCTCGTCCGCTCCGCGATGCTTTATATACGAGCTTTATTGACCGAACGGAGTGACTACGGAGCGACGGAAGACAATAATAGGGTCTCTGTGTGGCGCCTGACCGCATGCAGCGGATCGCCGAAGCTCCGAACTCGGGCCAGAAACGATACGCGAAAAAAAAGGTGCGTTCGTTCGTTCGTTGAGCGACAGCGACGAGCCTCCGCGATCCACTCACACAGACGCAAGCACAGACGAGTTTTTTTTTTTGTTACGGACGTATATACCGATCGCTCGAGCGCATGCTAATGATCGCGCGACCGACACACGATAGCAATCGTCGTCGTCGTCGTCGCTCGTCGTCATCGTCACGGTTTTAGATCTGACATTTTATAAATGTGGTGCAAGTCTGTGTGTGTGCGCTGTACGTGAATGTATAAGCACGGGACCTTGGCCTCGACCTCTTCGCTCGCAGAGTGCACGAGTGCGCCGTTCGCTAATGGCATTTTTCCCGTATATTACTCGAGCGAAACTATGCAAGTGCGATACGGTATATATACAGTGGAGGACGATTCGCTTTTGTTTCGCTCGCCTCGCGCGCCATGAATAGAAACTCCAATTGTTGCTAGTCATTTCGTGCGACGCTTCTTATCTCGGCAACGAATACGACGACGACGTCGACGACGAGGCAAAGAAATTCCAAACTTATTCTACGGAAATAGATGAGAAGCAAAAAAAAATTGTTGCACGAAACTGTCGCACAGTTCTATCTCTCTGTCGAATATACACACATGCGTACAAAGTT